TATGCGCAGATTTGACGATCGATTTGCACGTTAGAACCGCTGCGAGCTTTTACTAGAGTTTCCTCTGGCTTTACCCTATTTACGCATAGTTCACCATCTTTCGGGTCCGAATAGTTATGCTCTTACTCAAATCCATCCGAAAACTTCAGGATCGGTCGATGATGCACCCGTAAGGGCTCTCACCTCCGTTCACTTTTATTACGCGTGAGGGTTTAACACCCAAATACTCGCACAAATGTTCGACTCTTTGGTCCGTGTTTTAAGACGGGTGATTGATAACCATTACGCCAGCATCCTTGCAGAAGCGCGTACCTCGGTCCCTAGCAGGGTATTATACAATAGGCTATAACACTCCCCGTAGAGAGCCATATTCCTATTGCACCCTAAGCTGAATTACTATTGCGGTATAATTATTAATAAAGTAAAATCACTTTTTTGTTATAGCTTAAATACCAAGGTATAATTCCTAGTGTATCGGGACCCATTTACTTAAATATCACGAGCTTTCCGCTTAACTTTTAAGATTTCAATCTCAGCTTTATATTTTATTTACCCTTATTTATATAATATGTTGCACGGATGTTAATACGGCATCGTATAATGCATAAAACTAGCTTTATAACGCATATTATACCGTTATAACAGCTATAAAACCCATCGAAATATCGTTAAATAATGTAATAACCTCTTATATAAGCATTGCGCAGCGGTGCCACACCGCCACTATGGGGCTGACGCCATAGCTGGATATAGCTAGCGCAGCGCAGCTGTATTAGATTCTTGCTTTTGCAAGAATCAGTCTTTATAATAATATATAATGTATTAATTACTATTTGACGTTTTATTGGTAAATTATTATAAATAACGATATCTCGATGGGTTTTATAGCTATTATAACGATATAATATGCGTTATAAAGCTAATTTTATGCATTATACGATGTTATATTAACATTCGTGCAACATAATTTAATATATTATATGCCTTTATAAGTGTGTAATTACCTCCTATATAGGCACTGCGCAGCGGTGCCGCACCGCCACTGTGGCGCTGACGCCACAGCTGGATATAGTTAGCGCAGCATAGTTGCACTGGATTCTTGCTTCTGCAAAAATCAGTCTTTATAGCAATATATGGTGTACTAACTACTACCTGACGTTCCATTGGTAAACCGTTACATTTATAAATAAATATAATTTATAAATCATTTATAATTATAATTTTTATATTTATTATAATATTTTATAAATCCTTATATATCGCGAATTAAAAACCTTATATAATAATTCATATATTATGTATTATTATATAAATTAATTTTTGCAAAAGCAAAAATCCAATGCAGCTTTGCTGCGCTAAGTATTTTTAAGTGCGGCGCTGGCGCCATAATAGCGGTGCGAAACTGCTGTGCAGTGCTTATATGAGACTTTGTCACACCCTTTGTTATAAGCATATTTGTCTTGTTTTGGGATCGTTTCTCAGCCATCGCGAGCATGCTTTTGGCCATGTTATACGTTGGCATATGTGCTCCTTGACATGTGTCAGATACATTGGTCGCAGGGTGTCATAACCTGGGCTACCTCCGTACGACATGGCCAAGAGCATGCTTGTGATGGTTGGGAAACGATCACGAACTAGGACCTATGTTCCCACGACAGGAGACCGCTGCCCTTGCCGATACAACATCTGCCATGACAACAAACTAAAGGAATGACATGGTGGACTGTCCTCCCGGGCATATAGGTCGTGGTTCGTGGTCGTTTCCCACCGAATGCGGACATGCATCTTTGCCATTGGTGTAATGGTAGTGCATGCCATGACAAGGAAACTTTGAACAATAGAGACAACTTGCAAGTATTGCGAGCGGCGTGATTGATCACGATCAATGGACGGGTCTTTGAAAGAGACCAGAATTAGTAGTGTCAATACTTTGCAATAGGCGTGTTTGTAGATATTCGCAGACTACGTGAACTCTATCCCCATTGGACCAAAACTTGCTTCCGCCCTTGCTTTCCCTTCTTCTTACCCTTTCCGCTGTCTGTCTCCTCTTCGTTTCCAGTGAGGTTATCTTGTGGTGTGCTCGCAGGACCTGCACCCCAGCTGAACCCAGTATTCCTCCCACCAGTATCTCTTCTGACTGCTCCTGTGCCATAGCCAAAAATTGTCGTCGTTGGCTTTGGCGCTGCTGGGAGGGCCGGAAAGTTATCATCCCGGCCAGCTGGCCTTGCGGTTCGCGCAGGCTGCGACGTGTTCCCAGGTGTCCACTGACTTGAGGTAGTTGTGCGTGAAGCTGCACCCGAGCGAGCTGTCGGCAAGGCGGGAAAAGACGCAGCTGCTGGCAATGGCCGAGTCGACCCACTTGCTGCCGCCCATGATGTGGACTGTGGCGATGATCGTTGGGACTGCTGTGTCGAACTCTTGAGCTTCAAAACGCGTGTCGTGTGTCGCTGTGCCGGGGCAGCAGTGCTAGATGTTGCCGAGGTCGACGCAGCTGCAGCCCAGCCACTGCTTGAAGTAGTTGCACCATGCATCCCGGAAAGGGCTGGCAAAGTTGGGTAGTCCTCATTGATCGCGCGCCAATCGTTCCACGCCTTTCGCAATGTTTCTGCTTTAGCTTTATCCTCGAACAAGTCTGCGACCTCTCGCACGAGCGTGCCCAGCGCCGTGGTGGATGTTTCTGCAAACAGAGAGAAGAATGAATCGACCAGGGTCGTTGCTGATGTTTTGTTGTTCTGATATGAGGAGATGAGGGTCCGAAAACGTGCAATCTTTGACGAGTCATTTTGAAGGAGATTCGACGCTCGCTCAATGACAGCGGCATGTCGCATCAGGCGGGCACGCTCCTCAGTTGTCAGGTCGGGGTCTACCAAACTAAGACTTTCCATCTCTGCAGCCGGAGCTGGGTTGCTGGAGGACGCGGCAGTGCCGCGGTTGCGATTTGATACAGGAGCTGCATTTGACGGAGTCGATGTTGCTGCAGACTGCTGTGATAGTTGACCGCCAAAGGTCCGGTTTGATACGGACTGAGACGAGTGGATGGCCATTTGCCTCTGGAATGCCAGCTCATCTCTCCTCAAGGGCTGGGCGGAGCTCGCTGGAATTGCTTCAGCATTGGGATCACGCCCACGTCCTCTTCGCTCCCTCTCGCTATCGCCTTGTCCGCGAGCACCGCCCCTGCCTCCACCCCCGCGTCTCTCCTGATGGTATGATGTGCGGAAATCAAAGCCTGCCATATCGACAAGCCTAGCATCTCTACGTACATCCTTGGATAGTGAGCTGCCATGTTCACTCAACTGGTGTGCCTTCAGATCCATCTCGGATGCAAAGACGACAAACTTCTTCTCTTGACATTCACGATCCATGCAAGGATAGTGGTCCTTCTTGAAATGTTGTTCGAGAGCATTATAGTCAATGTAATAGTGAGGCTGCCTCGGGTCTTCGCGATCGCAGAGGAAACATCTCTCATGCTTATTCCGGCAATGCTCGTAAAGCTTGTCTCCATCGTAGAAACGCTGACCACAGAACGCACACAACGGGTGACCCTTGAAACCTGTCTGGTCTACGGCGCCAGGTCGATCGTCGCCATGGCGCATATGTCTCTCAAGCTCTTTCTCAGCGAACAATTCATGTTCGTGGGTGAAAACCTTCTTGTTGCGAGTGCAGAGATCGCACATCTTCTTGTGATGAGTGCTACGCACATGGCGGTGGAGGTCTGGCCAACTCAGCCCAGCAAAGTCGCACTCAGTGTCAGGGCAGTTGTATCTCAGCAGCAAGACGGTGTCGCCCACAATGTCCTCCTTGTTGTAACGAATGCCAATATTGTCATCAGTAGTTGTGATATCAGGAGCACCGTTAGAATAGTCTTCGAATCGCTTGGTGGCATCGTCCGTGAAGATGACGTATGGAGCGGCCGTTCGGCAGTGGGCGCATTCCTTGTTCTTGTAAAGAGCTCTCATCCGTAATGCGCAGATGTGGCAAGTTCTATGGTTGCACGGAGCAACGGACTGATGGATGACCGGACTGGCGCAGATAAAGCAGACCTCGGCCTCGACATCATCGTCGGCATCGGCAGCGCTGGCAGCGGGGGATATGGAATTCGGGGCGGCCGCGGGTTGTGCAGATGGTGCGAGAGCCTGCTCGGTTTGTTGTGGTGCTCTCGGTCCGCTCACTGTTGCTGTTGCTGCTCCTTTGCCGCGGCCTCTTTGAGAACGGCCTCCTCTGCCATTGTTCTGATTACCCCGGCCTCTGTTCCTCCCTCTTCCTGAACCTTGGGCCTCTCCGCGACCACCTCCCGTGGCCTCACTAGTAGCTGCCCTAAATGCACCCGAAGCGGATGCCATTGTTCGTTCGACGGCTTGTTGAGTGGTCACGGCGAAGGGCAACAGTCCAGCTTCTTGATGCTTGGAGCGGCGGGATTCGGGTTGGCACGATGCGAAAAGTGGCGCCGTGTCGCTTCGATCTTGGGTCTCTGGGTTCTGAGCTTCTCCCGGCACGAAAGGGACGACAATAGATTAGTAGAGCTGTTTTGCAAGCAAAATCGTCGACTCAATAGGCACATGGTGGGGCATTTTATTCAGCAAGCTCATACAATTGACATTGGTGTGGATGATCATTGCCCCGCCATAATGAGCCACCGTCGCAAAGCCCCATCGGCCAATGAGTCAAACGTGGCTGAGTAACAGCCATTTGACGGAGTGACGGGACAGCCGGTCAAGCACATTAAACATAAAGTGACACTTGTATATGACCAGCACGACTGCAATACCACTAACGACGAAGACAGTCATTCTGAATCATGTAAATATACATTGCATGCAGATTATGCTAGACAGTAACTGCAGCAAAGATTGGATTCAGCAAAGTAAAGGCCATTTTCTTGGAAGTATGACGTGAGCTGGTGAAAAATTGCAATGCCAGTGTTGTCTATGGAGAATTAAGTAGCCTCTTTATTTGATCATCGCTTGCAATAAGTGAGCAGGTCATCGAGGGTGACATTGCTTGCTTATGTGACAGATGTACATTTCAGTTTTGCATGGAAACAAAACAGCACGCAAATTGCAACCCTCACCAACACGGCTAATTGATGGAAACGATGCTACAAACCCTAGTCCATTTTCGACTATTCTTTGTCAGCAGGCTGAAGCGACACAGCTGAATGCCGCGAGATCTCTAGCCGCGTGATCGGGAAGAAGCGCCATTGGCTCACGGCGCTAAAATTCCCATTGGGCTTTCCGTTCCCGGTCGCTGTGAATGATCAGCCCGCCAGTAGTAGTTTGCCAGTGCCGGCCAATGGGTCATTTCCCCAGCACCCAACTCCACATTCGCGAACAAAGGTCGACCTACGCCATTGAGAGATCGCGAATGGAAACCCAGCCACGCCGCGGTTGTTGACGACGGTTTTTGGTTTGCTGCCCAGTCATCATTAGCAGCAACTGTGTATCCTTGCGCCTGCTTGCAATAATCTTCTGAGGCTTGCATAGGGTTGGTCCATTGTGTTTTCTGTGTCTCTACAAAGAATACTTGACCTTCCTTGCCTCCACCACACCCGCGTCAAGCTCCAACTGCAACAAATCAGCAACTCCTGGATCTTTTTCATTGCCATATACCATCCACCCTTGTCTACATCGGAATATCCACTCGGCTCGAATCACGGTGTTCCGCCAAGTGCTGGCAACATTGAACAAACACACACCACGGCCAACCGAAGGTTGCATCTATTGCGAGTAGTCGAACCTGGTCCCTTTGCGAACGATACCCCGTCACAGCGCACGAGTCGACAACCTGCATCGTGGGAAACCATTGCAGCCATATTGTTCGAGTCTGGAAGACTAAGTCGAAACCCACCGGTCCCATTTGCGGAATCGCTGCTGGATCCTGTAGCGTTGTGGTTTCGACACTGCCCAGGCGAGCCTTCCGTGATGCGTTAACGGAGGATTTCTCGAACCCGCCTGCCCACATTTGTTCACCTTCACGGTTACGTCGTCGCGGTTGCGCTTTTACAGCTTTTGTTGTCAGTCTACTAAAGTAGGAAAGCGGTCTCTCTTTCATTCTCGCAGGTCCCAGTTCTGCGGTTTCGCAGATCCTTCCAAACCTCAAGATTTTCACGATACCTCAAGATGTCTGCACCTCGTAAGTACTTCCATATAGTGTTCACGCTTTCCGCAGTCACCGTGGCAGGTTGTGTCGTACTCTTGCCTTGCTCTCCTACTGACTCGAACTTTCAAGTCTCGGCTGAGGAGGAGCGAAGATACACGGAGATCATCGATGGCATCCTAGCAACTGCCAACCTCGAGACAATTTCACGCAAGAAGATTCGAGAAGGACTTGAAGCAGCGCTCGGCGGCAAGGACTTGAGAGACCAAAAGGTGAGTAATGTACCATCCGGAATCGTGGTGCCTATCATGGTCCACTGGCCTTGACTTTGTTTGGCATGGTAAAGCGAGAATTTCAGCAGTCGAGCAAGTTTATGCTAATTCCGACGTTCCCCAGACCGCCATCAAGCTCTTGATTGAGGAACGGTTTGATGCTATTTCTACCGATCCCGAGACTGCCCCGCCAGCCCCAGATGCGTCCGCAAGCTTAGCAAGTGCTTCGCCGCCCAAGCGACAGGCTAATGGCCATGATCATGATGACCTGGACGCCAGCCTGGACATGGATGGTGACGAGATTCGCGTCTCGGTTCAGCCACCAAAGAAGAAGCAACGGAAGAGCGAGGACACGGAGGATGCTGATGCAAAACTGGCTGCCATGCTGCAAGCGCAAGAGAATCGGATGGGCCGTGCAACGCGAGGTGGTGGGCCCAAGTCGAAGGCCGCAAAGAAAAAGGCGACGCCCAGGAAGAAGAGCTCCAACAAAATCCGGCCCGAGGATGACAGCGATATTTCAGGAAGCGATGCTTCGGGTCCGAAGCGACGCAAGGCTGGAGGCGGCTTTCAAAAACCGTTCAATTTGAGCGAAGCCCTGGCCGATGTCTGCGGCGAACCAACTGTAAGTTACAGGTCGCTGACTAGGCTGCACGATAATGTTTCTAACTATCGATACAGCTTTCCAGACCGCAGGTTGTCAAGAAGTTGTGGGAGCACATCAAAGGCAACGAGCTACAGGACCCGAAGGACAAGCGACAGATCTTATGTGACGAGAAACTGCAAGCTGTTTTCAAGCAGTCGAAGGTAGACATGTTCCAGATGAATCGGTTGGTTGGAGCCCATCTCTACCCAGTAGATGAGGTTCAGTGAACAGACTTATCAACCAACTAGCAATAATCTGTGCCTCTCAGAAATGTTGAGGCCCTTATTTTATGGATTTATATCCACACAGCAACAGGTTGACATACCGGACATACAAAACCCGCCAACATGCAGCTATTAGATGGCAGCCTAGGTTTGACTTGAATGTTCTTGATTCATAGCGATGGATTTGGCTGGTGTCCCCTTTGAGATCCACCTTAGCCATCTACGTATATCAATGCAACGATAACTAATATGCTATTTTTTGGGCCATATTGATATGCTCGGCGGATCCTAGACCCACATGCTAATGTAATATACCATTTGGCTATCGCCCATGTGGCAGCCATGGCAATTAAATACGCAGTAGACAGCCAGGAAAAGAGCGTTATATTGCAAAGCTTACACGTTGCAACCCAGCAAGTGGTCTCTCATCCATGTCTTGTACACAGGCATCGCTCTTTGCAAGATGTTCAATGATGGTTACGACTCAAGAACAGCGTCTCGGAGAGGCCAAACCTGCATAACGTCCAAAGCTCAGCGCGAAATAAATGGTTACTGCTACTGTATCGGGATTTTCATTTGATTCCTTGGGCGAAGGTCACGTAGTGCCTATCAAGGTACGTAGGTATCTGAACATCTAGCCGGAGGTATGGCTTTTGCATGCACTTTTGATGTTGAGGAAGAATGCACACTTTCGTATGTTGTTTCGTTGTGGTAGTCGACAGAGCACGCTGTGGAACATCGTGTCCTTCAAGAGCGAAGTGATGCTTTATTCCACATTGAAAAGGTTTGGAAGGACCATAATCATTCGAGATATACAGTAACCTGTTTCATGCTTCCTGTTCATTCATGTCTAATATGGCTCTGCTACTGGCAAGCGTCAGGCTTTTCGATTACTAGATAGTAGTTAGTCACCACTGCTTGTCCTTTGGGACACGGTGCAGCTTCTGCTGTACCGTCTTACTTCAAATTCACTTGTTGGAGTTCGTATCAACTATGAAATGCGCCAATCTCCCCCGATTCACCGTTCCAAAGTAAGTGCAAGAAAGTCTTAGCCACTCAAAAATGAAGTCTCAAGAGAATGGAGTGGATAACGTAAATGCTCAACACGATACATTGAATGGAAGGAATTCCTCCACGGCGCTGAGTTATGTTCGCCGCAAAGGCCTGGGGCGGGAGTATTAAAGATGTCGTCACTTGATGGGAAAGCTGACATCCCTTGCATGTAGGACTCAAGCATGCAGGATTTTGGAGCGCTATCAAAAAGTTCCAAAGATTTGAGAGATAAGCAAGTACAGAGTATTGCAGCCATCATCAAAGTGTTTGGGACTGAAGATAAACAGAGGCTTTTGAGACCTTTGCAACCTTCTTTTGCGAACTGACGAACCTTGTTGTTCTCTGTATTCCGAGTATTTATGCACGAACCTTGTCTGCTAGGCGCAACATTGAAGTATTCAAAAGCTTCCACTGATGGGGCGGGCTCCCTGGTGGGTCTCACAAAGTCGGGGATCGGATGTTCAAGCCCCCCACATTGTCTTCCCATGCCTGCCATCCTTTTTTAGCAAACACGTTGGTTGGTTGGATGGAGCTACCTTACATTAGGTATCGCCGCTTCAAGCGCACTTGTCTGACAGCCCTGGCGAGCCTGGTTAGCAAGTTGGCATACCGTCGTGCCGTTTTAGCACAGCGTCTCTGGTCTGGCCAAAAAGGGAGTTCAAATGGCCCCATAATTCCCCCCTGCATCAATGAGGGTCTGGTCTTTTGAGGTCCACGAAAAGCGATTTCGAGATTTAGATACTGGTATTTCTCTACCTGCATACTTGTGTCCGAGGCATTGAGCGCAGGTAATCGAGCATTTTGATGCAAAGCGACAAATCAGCGGGTACGGCGTAGCTACTCACTTTGACTTGATTGCTGAAAGCCACAGCCAAGAAACCGTACAGAGTACATACGGGCGGCCGGGCTTGCTGGCAAAAGAGTACATACGGTGGGCAAATGGTTGGTCAGGGTGGCGTCACAGCTTTGCTTTTAGCATGGGACTGCGGCGCTATGTAGGATTTCGACTTGGAGATGCAGGCACCATTTTATCCAGAAAAGCAAGAAAAGTTTCGACTTTGCGCGGCCGAGAGAGAGACATTTGCGTAGAGTGACTTTCAAATGACTTAACTTTCCTGTCTGCCTGAACGTCTGATTCCCATTCCTGTCTGTGTCGCCGCCGCCGAGTGTCAGCGCTGCCCATTCGCCCCAAGGGCTTGTCTCACCATCAGCAGGAGATCATCCTTCCCCTCACCTAGGGAGCCTGCGGATGAACAGGAAGCAGAAGTAGTTGTTCTTCCGCCTTCCACGCAACCTCGCCAACCCGCCCACAACTCCATCGATCCATCTCGGCTTCAGCGTCCTCCACATCGCAACCCCATCGTCTTGACGTGAACCTGACTGTGGTAATCGGTATTCACCACAAGCAACTGGAGGCCTTCCCCTGCCTTAGCGTCTCGTGCTTGTATTTCTTTGGGAGCAAGCGACAAACGAGCAGCTCTGAAACTAGTAAGATTCGTGGAGCACATTTTCGCACCTTCCGTGTATTTGTGCGTCAGGGCGTGGACAGACTGCCGGGTATGCCTCCTGCTCTCTGCATGCAGCAGTGAAACCCATCCGATCGTATGTGATTTTCATCTGTCGCTTCTTATCGCATCCAACTTCATCATCTCGATCATTTAATGCCCCAACATCCTTACAAGTGCGCTTTTTGGAAATCATCTCGCCGCCCTCCTCGTCCGAACTTGTCACTGAACATTTCAACTTAGCGTCAACGGCATCAAACATCAATCCTTACGGCTTGCGTCGTTTAGTTTGTCGATACCGAGTCCTTCTCTTGTACCGCCGACTAGTCACTCGACCCGATTCATTGCAACTACGCCCTATTTTATTGAGCCACAGCTATACTAGCCTTCGTCCTCGATGTGAGCTCACGCTACAATACTGCCTTGCATCTATATCATCCATCACGACTTTGCAGTCACGACTATGTTGCGACGGCCTCCTGCCGAAGGACGGCTTGTCGCTGAACCGCGCAAGGCCAAAGTCTTCCTCGTGCTCGCCGTCATTCTACTCTCGTGGCTCTCGATCGCCGAAGCTCAGCAGCAGCAGCAATCCCCGAAACATGAGCAACTACCAGTAATCGCCGATACATTGCGTGATGGTGGAAAGTCGACGGAATATCACCAACGACATGACGAGAACGAACGAGAGAAGCAACGGCTTATGGGTGACCCCGCCAATGCACACCTAGCGTACGAAAGTCATGACTCCAGCCGGCTTGCTTCTTCCAACTTCCAAGAGTCGCCTCTCCGAGCAGTCTCTCCTGGCCTGGTTGATGGGAAGCATGCTGTCACAACATCTTATTCGAGCAAGAATACCAACAGGCAGGCGAGGTCTTTAGACCGCCAGTTCCCTGATCCTCACGATGCGAGCGCCCTCGCGACTGTGGCTCCGGATTATCCCGTTCGAGCCGCCAAATCTCCACGACAACCATCCAGCATTCTCACTGGTGCTGGACTGTCCTCGCCGCAGTCTGCGCGGAGTCTGGAGAGATGGGAAGTGGAAGACTATGTTCTTCTGGCGACCGTCGATGGACATCTCCGTGCCGTCAGCAAAGAGTCTGGCGAAGAACGATGGCACCTTGTGGCCGAGGAGCCAGCTGTCGAGACTATCCATCATCGGCCAAACGACTCCTTTCCAGGAGAACACGATCGGCTTCCGCATGACGACTACGTATGGGCCATTGAGCCCTCGCACACCGGCCCGGTGTACGTTTGGATGTCTTCGGCCCATGGCTCTGGCTTGATGAGTGCCGGGTTTTCAATGAAGCAACTGGTTGATGAATTCAGCCCTTACGCAGTTCAGGATCCACCTGTGGTATATACAGGTGACAAAAAGACCACCATGTATATCCTGAACGCGGCCAAGGGCCAAGTGCTCCGATGGTACGGGCAAGGTGAGGGACAGGTTGCTCCTGTTGCAACGTGTTTCCAACCGACTGGAATCGTCGACGCGGACATGGAAGAATGTGCAGGGACGATTGCGCTGAGCCGTACCGAGTATACAGCAAATATCCATCATCAGGATGATGGCAGGCTTATTGCTACTCTCCGCTATCGTGAATGGGGACCAAATGCTTACGACAACGACCTTCACCGGCAGTATAGCAGCACACGAGACAATCGATATCTCACAAGTCGGCACGACGGCCGGTTGTATGCCCTTGACGATAGTGCCGATATGCAGTCTATCTCAGTCTCATTCCCTGCGCCGGTCGCACGAGTCTTTGATGTGGCACGACCACAGGATGTCCCACGCGGTGGTAACCCAGAACTTGTGCTTCTCCCCCAGCCGCCGCCTCCCATCTCGGAGGGAGATTCTGCCAGGGCTCGTGGATCCAGCATTTACCTGAATAAGACAGAGACTGGAAGTTGGTTCGCTTTGTCTGGTACTCTTTATCCACTAGTAGTGGACGCCCCACGTGCCAAGGCGAGCTCCAAAAATGGAATGGATTTCGACGATGAAAACATCATTCCTGATGATGTACTCATAGGAACTCACTCACTTGGCGGCTTGAGAGGGGCGGAGTGGGCTCAAGGCAAATCGCAATGGCCTAGCCTCCCTGCACTGCCCGAATCGGAAGCAGAACAACCCATTTTGTTGGACAATGCGTCAGTTGTACCCATCCGCAACGATAAATCAGACGCAGCTTCCATGATCAAATCTGTACCAAAGTACGTCGCCAATAGCGTGGTGCAGCTGATCAAAAACCCCATCTTGTACCTCATCGTTGCATCAGTGGTGGCTACCTGGTACAAGACCCGTTCGACAATATCTCTGCGAGAACATAGTTACGACAAGCCCGATGTGGCTGAGATTCAATCCGTTGAGAAGCTCAGGATCGAGAGTGACGAGTCACCTGCTGAACCAACTCTACCGCCTCCAGTCCTACCAGCCACGGAAACTTCCACGGATGAAGTACTCAACACAAATGTTCTGGAAGTCATCCCAGAGGCAGACAAGGCCACCTCTACGGATGTGCAAGAACCAGGGCAAGCTCAAGACTCAACAGCAGCTGAAGCACAAATCGCGGTACAACGGACGACTGAGTCCCCAGAGAAGAAGAAGGCCCATCGAGGGAGGAGAGGTGGTGTCAAACACAAGAAAAAAATCCATCGGGACGCATCTGTGAACCAGGACACGAAGCGTGTAACTCTGGACCCTGTCGCGCAGATTGATCAAATGGTTGAAGCACAAGAACCCCAACTGAACCCCAACATCAAGTCCATTGGCAAAGCCGATGATATTGGCGTCGGTGGATTCGAAATCAATGGGCTAAAGGTCGACTTGGACGAGCAGCTCGGAATGGGCAGCAATGGTACCGTCGTTTTCCCTGGAACCTTCCATGGACGCGAAATCGCTGTCAAACGCATGCTGCACGAATTCAACGATCTGGCTACACGAGAGACTAAGCTGCTGCTAGAGAGCGATAATCATCCCAATGGTACTGTTTCGCCCAGCAATCGGTTGTGTGCTCGCACTGACATGTATATTTCTAGTCATACAATACTATGCTATTCATCGCGACAAGACCTTCTTGTACATTGCCCTGGAACGATGCCAAGCTTCGCTAGCTGACATTATCGACAAACCGCACGTCTTCAAGGAGCTGGCACACGCAGGAGAACGTGACATTCCCAATGTGCTCCTACAGATTGCCAATGGAGTCAGCCATCTGCACGGCCTACGGATTGTGCATCGTGATCTCAAGCCGCAGAATATACTGGTCACAGTGACTAAAGACGGTAGACCTCGACTTGTAGTATCTGACTTTGGCTTGTGTAAGAAACTGGACGGTGCACAATCGTCATTTGGTCACACTGCAACGCGGCCAGCAGGTACATCGGGCTGGCGTGCTCCAGAGTTGTTGGCCGAAGAGGATGCACGTGAAAACCCCAATTCTATGGCGAGCATGCACAGCGACTCGAGCACCCTCGTTGGGGCTGAGAATGCCCCCAACCGGCGTGCCACACGGGCCATTGATATTTTCAGTCTTGGGCTTGTTTTCTTCTACGTGCTTACCAAGGGAAGTCATCCCTTCGATTGTGGGGATAGGTATATGCGTGAAGTCAACATCCGCAAAGGACACATCAACTTGCAAGCACTGGAAGTTCTCGGTGATTTTGCCTTTGAGGCAGAAGACCTGATACGTGCCATGCTCAGCACCGATCCACGCGCGCGACCGAACACTCGTAGTGTCATGGCGCACCCGTTCTTTTGGGATTCGAAGAAGCGCCTTGCTTTCCTGTGCGATGTTTCTGACCATTTCGAAAAGGAACAGCGCGATCCTCCATCAGACGCTCTCATTAGACTAGAGCAGTTCGCCCCTCGTGTTTGCAGAGGTGACTTCCTCAAAGTACTGCCCAAAGACTTTGTCGAGAGCCTGGGGAAGCAGCGCAAGTATACAGGTACACGCCTGCTTGACTTACTGCGCGCACTGAGAAACAAGTGGAACCACCGGGAGGATCTGAGTGATGCATTGAAAAAATCGGTAGGGACTAGCCACGAAGACTACCTTGGCTACTGGACTCGACGATTTCCAAACTTGCTGGTCATCTGTTGCGAGGTTATCTGGAGCTTGGACCTGCGGGACGCTGTACGCTTCAGAGAATACTTTGAGCCCATGAAGCCGTAATATGGTTGGGTATAGAGAGGTATAGCGTAATGAAATGAATTCGTGCTATGAAAATGTCCAAGCCGGACCAAAACATCTCAAGATTGCACTTGTCCTTCCAACGCCTCCAACTCCCTTGATCTATATCAAGTGTTGCGCGCTCGCTCATCTTGTCCGCTTCACTGCTGCAGCATGGGAATCGCATCCTTTCCGGCTTCTGCTAGGCTTGACTCCAATCATAATTGAAGTGCACCCGGATCTCGCGTCTTTCTAACCAGTCTCTGTTGAAGTGGTGCAGTGTTCTATACTCTCTGGTCAATCGTCTATGCTTCACACCAAAGTACCCTACCTGCTTTGTCCGTATTCCTTATTAGTAGACCCTGGAATCTGGATTCAGCTTGCGCGCTAGGATGATTGGCATGAAGACAGGCACTTTACCTATAAAAGAGCTTGAGCCGGGACTTGGCAAGCTGAATGCCGGGATTTTGGAGTCAGATGTAGGTACCCTGAGAGCGTCAATGCGCAAATTTGCTCCTGACTGTCATCGACTTAGTTGACTAGAGATACCACCATCAAGTACGCATTGCGGCAGTGGTGACTTGAAGTGACAGCCCATTTGCCATGTGTACTTGACTAGCTCTTTGGTGTCTCGTGGCCGTTGGTGGACAGAGCAATGCAAAGTACCTGACCGCAACGGTTGGCAGCCTCACTCTGCACACTCTGGCCATGTCTCCACGTGGATTCCTTGCCGAAGAGCCCGGAGTTGAAGTTCTTCTAGCTTGCAACTAGTCATTGCCCATGTCTAGACTGAAAGGCAACTACAATTAGCGGGTACGGGCACTTCCGTTGTGACACCTGAATGGTTGATCGAGTGAGCGTAGCTCTATTAAGGTTCGCTTGGCAAGCCACACAATATGTCTGTGTGGTAATGATCACGTCCTCGATGTTCCCTTGCATCGTCGAGTCGAATGCATACTTATCCGTTTTGGTAACAAAGTCCGATGAGTTCTTCTAGATTACTGTCAAATAAGTACATTGGTGAGCGGCCTCGAAAACGCCACTTGCATGTTTCCTCTCACCCCTCTGATGGCTTGCGAGGAGCATATTCGCTGTCGTGGTGCTCTTCTTCAGAGGTCCTGATGCCAAAGGGTTAACGAGATGGCGTCTTTGCTTGCTACATCGAGCGACACACTTTCGCCTTTGCCATCGAGCCACCGCGATGGTCTCATCGCGGTCACTGTGTTTGGGTTCTTGTCATTCATTGCAACTACAACTTTATTCATATATCTGACTTTCAAACTCATACGATGGCATCTACAAAAGCCGGCCGCGCGGATACAGACAGAGAGACCCCAAGTGCAGACCACTGACTTGTCGCTTGGGTTGTCGCAGTCGCACTTTGCGCAATCCAAGGCAGACACAGATGCCGCAGCACAACCGGATGTTACAGTCATAAGTACCGAGCGACATGTCCCTCATTTGAACCAGTTCCTCCTACTGGTCTATAATCTTCTCTTCGCCGAGATGCACCAGTCTACCGCTTTCTTGCTCAACGTTTCCTGGACTACTTCGAATGGTGTTTGGGTCGGAACGCCGGCGTGTTGGGCCCAGGGATGGTTCATCTCGACGGGTGATCTCGCTGCCAGCGTTTTCATCACTGCCATTGCAGTCCACACGTACTTGACTGTTGTCAAGGGCTACCAACCACCTCAACGCCTGCTCCTTGCTACGATAGCGTTCCTATGGTTTTTTGTATATGCTCTCGGAATCCTCGGGGTATTGATCACCAACAACGGGCGCGATGCTGGGGGGCTCTATGTTCGGGCTGTCGCTTGGGTTCGTATCTTTGTACCTCCTGTCAGTATGCGCATGGCTGATGAATATGTAGTGCTGGATGAATGTGAAGTACGAGAAACTACGTCTCTGGCTACACTACTTCTGGATCTTCCTCTCCCTAGGATTGACGAGCGGCATATATATCCTGATTTTCCTTTCACTTCGACGCGACAGCACGCATCGGTCCTCTGACAATCGCGAACAAGGGAGGAGACAACCCAATAATTCAACTGGTCGGGCCGCTGGCAGCCACCCGGGGTTCCTTGTGTATCCTATTATATATGCTCTTTGTACCGCGCCACTTGCACTGTTCCGTGTGGCGACTATGTCCGGTAGAGATGTCAGTGTCGGCATGTTTTGCTTCGCCGCTGCGATGATCGCGAGTAATGGCTGGCTTGATGTGCTCCTTTTCTCTTGGACACGCAGTTCCATCATCTTTGCGCCGTCTCCCGACGCTATGGACACTGGACTCGACACCTTTGCCTTTATGCGGACGCCACACACGAGGCGCTTTGGCAATATGGTCTGGGTGCAAGGCGGATCTAGAGGCGAGTCCAACGATCGAGGCGGTGGGTGGTGGCGAATTGGCGGAGAACGTACTCATCAACGGGCAAAGAGCAAATCAAACAGATGGCCTGGTGGCCTGGGCAGCGTCAGCCAGGAGTCGTTGAGGGGCGCTGCTAACAATGAGATTCAAATGGACACGGTCACGAGTGTGGTGGTTGAGATTGATATTGCCAATAAAGAGCAAGCACAGTCAGCTCATAGCTCGGAAAAGGGATTTGAGACAAGTTCTACAAAATACAGACTTGATTCGTAGACAAATTTAAACTCACGGGTACATATCATTCACTCGACCACAATCCAAAATCACCAATTCAATGTTAATTCGAATTATTTCGTCAACTTCCAATAAAAGAGTCAGAACTGCAAAGCTACATATCATCTATCGCGCAAGAGTGGACATGAAGACAGAACGACGCAATCCTAAGATGTGCATGGGTATCAAAAGACAATATTGGGGACGAGTCCCAAAGGGCAGCATTTCTTCCTTCACGGCTACTCAGAATGCCGAACCTGCACTAGAGGGGCGCGACGTAATTGGTGGCGAGGGGAGTTTCTTTGCGGATCTTGGGATGTAAGCCATTTTCATCTGCTTCTTTTTCGAGCCATCTTTCTTTCCTGATATGACCTCCACAGGGCGTTCCTGAGCCGGCTTTGGTATTTGCACGTTTGTATGGTCGAGGGACTTCGATTTCGCTGGCAAAGTGAATGGATGGGATTGATCGGTACGTTTCTGTTTGCGGTTCTCGTTACGCTTTTGCTTCCTTTGCCTAAGCGTCTTGGCATTGACGAGTGCATCGATCGGCTTTGGCTCTGCAGGCAATTGATGGGTCGTGCTATTGTCTTGTTCTTCTGATTTGTCAAGCACCTTGCGACTGCGAACTCGAGAAGCATTGGATTGATCGAATACCTGTGAAAGCAAGTTAGCAATCATTGCATGTTTAAACTTGGGGTTGCATACCTTGTTCGGGCCACCATCCTGGTGTGGCAACGCCTTGTTCGACGCCATGCAACGCTTCCGTGGTTTATCCCTCTGCTTATTGGCTCTAATGGTTTTGTCTTTGTTGTCGAGCTGTTGCGGCCTGTCAGCGCTGTCGCTACTCCCATGTTTCTTCTGCTTCTTTCGCTGGTGAGAGTCGTGTTCCTTTTCAATACTGTCAAGATCGTCCTTGCGCATTCGCTTGTTGCACTTCATGACAGTCTGATTACTGGCACCATGTGGACCATCCGCCACAGAAGCATGTGACGCCGTGTCACTCTTCATGGTCGACTTTGAGCTGCGATTCTCAAGTTGTGATATTATCAACAGATCCGCCTCTTCTGGAGAGTGAGGTACAGATTCAGATCGCTTCATCAATGATGTATCCTTGATTCGCTGTAATAGATCCGGAATGGACGGTGCCGGTATTGGGGTTGACTGTATTAACTCTAGTTGGTTGTCATTGACCTTGTGGTGTTTTATTGGCGTTGGATTTGGACCTTGACTTGAACGAGACAAAGCATCATGAGAAAATAGCAGAGCCCGTATTGGCTTCGCCGAAGTGGCGCTTGCTCGTTTTTTCACCACGCTCTTAGAGTTCTCCCTTTGCTCATCAGCAGAGCTTTCGGATGCACTGTGGGAATCAGAAGGCTGGTAGGTGGGATCTTGATTCTTAGTCAAATCTACCTCACACTTTCTCTGTGTTTCAGTAGTAGGTCGACAAGGTGTAGTGGCGGCGTGACTCCTCAGACGATACGAAGTCCTCCTGTCGGCATCAGGGAATTTCGATGCGATCTCAGTAACATTGGTCAACCACGAGGGGGATGCGTTGAGAACTTGCTCAATTGCGGCTGCGCCAGAGTCTTGTGAAGCAATGTCCGTGTCTTCATGAATGCGATTGATCTCTTTGAAAGATTTCAGAGGTGATCGCCCATGCTGACTTTGATTTTCCTGGACTTTTTGATATTGAGCTTGCTTCTCTGGGGACAACTGAGGGACCTTAACCACAATTCTGCCCAATGTCGCTGGCCGTGCATTTTCGACAGCAGCAGGACTCATAGCTGTAGTCTTTTGCGTCGACCTTGATCTCGTGCTTGGTGTTTCTACCTGGGACAGAGCTCTCTCAAAACTGGGGGTGACATCTAGGTCAATGTCGCTGGAATGATTTTCGATATGTACTCCAGGCGTGCTAACAACAATAGCTCTTGTCGACGTTGCACTGCCATCGTCGAGTCGTGGCGATCCATGGTTAGCAGGCGTCCGCACAGAATCGCTCGTACTTCTCGATGGGCTTGAGCTCATCAAAATGCCCAATTCTTGGTTGGATGGAGGCACCTCTTGTGATAGCTGTCTCATGATGAGAACTGAAGTGCTTTCTGATCCAGAAGATACAGAGCTCTTCATAAACTGTGGAACTGGGTTGGGAAGTTTCTCATCATCACTTTCGCTGATAGTATCGTGTTCCACCACCTCAGAATCGGAGTCCCAAAAATTACTGAGTTGCTCCCTGCGCACTGCCGTCTTCTCCATCTCGGCGATTCTGGCATTAGATGGAGAGCCATGTCCACTGAGATACTTCCCTTTCCTAGGTCCGCTCCGAATGAGACCTTTATAAGGACCATCAGCCACAGAACAGAAGCCAACATGAGGGGTAAAATTGGTCTCGTAGTCTTTGAGCCAATGTCGGAAGCCTTCAGGAGTACCGGGAATATCTTCATCTGTGATTTCGTCGGCCGTTTCAAAGCTGGTCGGGTTGATCTGGGGCTCCTTGGTGTTGCCTGCATCAGACTCATCTAGGTCTTCGAATGCATTATGTGCTCGCTGCTTATACGCAGCCGCAAGCCCCCCCGACAGCTGACTTTCAGGCTTGGTCTTCTTCTCGGGACATAATCGGTTAATGGGTTTGAAGTATGCCTCCCGGGTGGCGGCCTTCAACTGCGGCATTGCTGTTTGGAGGGTGCTACTGCGGGAGAACTCTCTTTCGTCTTCTGCGCTTTCGGAATCAGGCATATGTGGCTGTCTTCTGATAGCATCATCCATCTCTTCGTCTTCGTCGGGATGCCTAGGATCATGGAAGAAAGCGTCTGGGATGCGCTTTCTTGGTTCTATTCAGATATGTTAGCAGTCCAATCTAAACTGTCCAGTAAATACACTGCATCCGGCGAGCGTGACGCACCTTTGCGACCAAACTTCCTTTCAGTCATAGATTTGATGCGTGCGATAGCAGCACTTGGCGTATTGCGGCGAGCTTCCGCCTTTTCTCTCTTCTGTTTCTCCTTGATTTGTGCTTGCTGTAGTGCAGCTTCTTGTTTCGCGGCTTCCCGCGCTTTGGCCTCGCGCTGAAATCGTTCGTGTAGGTTCTTTGTCGCGGCAGCAATTCGTGAAGGTGTTAGAGTCAATGGTCCAGCACTTTTCACGCTCTTAGATGTAGATGTGGACGATGTTGAGGGCCTTCTTGCGGTATTTCTCTGTCCAGACAATTCTCTCCTAGTGAAGACCGGCATATAGCCTTGCGAGTTCTTCACCATGTATGGAGGGCTAGACTCGGGTCCTCTCGTTTCCTCCACGTTGTCTCCATCCGCGTCGACAACTTTAATGTGGTCGTTGATGGAGTGAGAATTGGAACGTTTTCCATTCTTGTCTGGGCGACTCTGCGGTTGGTGAGCCGGATTCTTGGTCGCCCCCTGCGCGAGCCTTCCTGACAGACCAACGGTGCTGGGAACGTCGGTTAGATCAGGGCTGGTTGAACTTGAGGACGAGTCCTCAATGACAATGACATTCGTCTCTCGCGGCATCGATTCCATGTTCGTGGGAGCAGTGAGGTCGATTGTTGTAGAAGTGACTTTATTGTGGTTGGACTTTGACTTGGCGAGCCTATCACAAGCGTTCACTGTTCCTGATTTCGACTTCTTGGCATTTTGTAACCGATTATCATCAGTATCTGATGGCAGTTCGTAAGGGTCTTGTTTGCCGCCCTTACCCTTGCTAGCAGGGCGTCGATCAGTTTTGATGGCAACGCATCTCGATTGACTCCTGCTGGGCAAAACGTGGTCCAACGGAGACGATCGAGGTTGTGATGAGCCCAGCCCCGAAGACCGAGAAGGAAATGATGATGACCTTTGGGTCAAAGCTTGAAGCTGAAGCAGTCCTGGTGTGATCGGTCGGATTTTCTTTACTGCAGGAGTCTGGCTCGGTCGTGACGGTGCTGCAGTTGTCAGGTTGTTCTGAGGAAGCTGTCAGTTGAGTGATATAGGCAAGGTGAGTCTGAGCTTACATTGCCCGTGATGGCATTGGACTCGTCTGGTGCTAGGACAAGCTTGAGCACTTCTCCCTGTTGAATGATGTCGAGCCCATCCTCCAAGTCCACGGAGCAGTACTTCTCGTCAAATATCCCGCCAGCTACCGGTTTGATGGAGCATTCCGGATGCTCTTTTGCGTACCTTGACAGTGCAACATTGGCTAGGTCGGCAAAATTTGAGTCTGGATCCAATCGTAGTCTGAATGCGTTTAATGGCTCTGCAGTCTTGTCCTTCACGGCACTTGGCGGCAGAATTTCAACTCGAATGGAGAGAAACCTAGGCTTGCCAACTAGGGCAGAAGCCATGGCGTCCAACTTTAGTGGTGTGTCTTCCGGGAGGAGTTCCTCCTTTCCGTGCGCATTCGAATGGTACTCGTCCCAAATGACCAGAGTGGAAGAGTCGGCAGACTGGAAGACTCGTGGGTTGTTCGTGGATTAAGTCAACCACAGAACTGAAGGCAGAAATCGATGGCAGATTGATCTGCCTAGCCGTCCAAGACTCGGGATTGGAAGAGCTTTGAAAATACAGACTTGGAAAGTGAAGCTGTCTCAAGAAGTGGCCGTATTAGGAAAAAAAATAGGGTGGGTCGCATTAGAAGTGTACCTCAGCGCATTCTCCGTGTTGGTGATAGAAGAAAGTGCTCTTCGATTTGATACACTTTACAAGTGCTGTTTGGAAGTGATGATGAGTATTGCTGTCGACATCACAACAGTTGGCTGACTGGAAACCTAAAGGGAAAATTGCTGTAAATAGGCGTGGTTGCACTTGGTATGCGCAGGTTGAAGAAGTCTGATTGTTGCCAAAAGCCACAATGCGTGAGAGCATACCTGGCTGGGCGAGCACCGCACTTGACTTTCTAGTGAGCACACAAGGCTGTTGCTCACTTCATCTACTGGATTGTCGATTTGACACACAACAATACACTTGTTTCCTTCACGATTGTTTTACAAAGTTTTATTCGCTGAACAGTTTCATCTGGCTCAAGCCTCTCGCTCTCTCGAGTCTTCCGAGGTACCCACCTGCAACTGGTTTGGGACGCGCTTTCTGTGATTATAGCGCGACTACCGATTACTAGCGCGTTTTTTGCCTATTAAAATGTTTAATTGACGGGACGAAGAAAAAGAAAATATCTTCGCCGCCAGAATTGTTGCCCATTCACTGTGCAGCCGGCATACTGTGTGGGGAGTTGACCAGCGAGGTTGGGTGATTGCAAACACATACAAACAGCATTTGTTCCATTGCTTTTTTCTTTTTTTTTTCTCTCTTTTTTTCCCTTCCCCCAGCGAGTGCTAATCCTTGGCTCTGAATAGGTCTATCCTCGCTTGATATTCCATTAAGTAATCTCACCTCTCGCTGGACACCCAAAGAGCGCTTACACTCACCCTAATCACGGGTAAGATGTGTGTGTTGTCTCCAGCGTCATTGCGACGATGCACGCATGGAGTAACGCATGTAGCCATTTTCGGATTCCTCTCACCTTTCGAAAGTGACAATCTTCAGAGAACCTTATCTGTCCGTCCCCTTGGTGCTGGTGCAATGAGAAAGAAGACCCAGCCACCCATGAACGGGGTCTGTTACATAGGTACGTAATTAAAGTTTGCAGTGCAATTGCGGGTGTAACTGCGGGGGTCAGTCACCCAAGTCGTAGGATGAAGGATATGATGCTGTCTATCATCCAGGGCTGAACTTCTTCCACCCATTGTCTGCAAGTACCTGACTGTCGGGAGTGTCGTAATTCGATCAAGTCATCTTGGCAGTCAAACACTGAAGTAATTGCAAAGTATTCATTTGTCTCATCTACTGTCTAGCTTCTATGCCTATATTTTGTTCATCTCTGCCCCCTTTTGTGAATGAATTCTGGTGTCGGAGACCATGTGTATTGAGTGTGCAAGAGCACCAACTGAGTGTGCACAAGCGTCACCTGTGCTGTATACTGTGTCTGTAGAGCAATGCTCTTTCAGAACTGAAAAAGTCGGATCACAAACGCCTCAAATTGAACATCGTAGAAAATACGATCATGGCTACCATTGGTCGTAGTCCATGACCGTGGTCTCAGCTGTCATCGCATTTCTCATCCCCATTTCTGATCGAGTCACATGAAGACGCCGCGGAGGCATTTCTTCAGCTGGCGGATGTCAGGGCTACGTGCTCTGCAGACCATTCATTCTGCAAGGACGCCTTACGAAGACATCTTAACAGGCTTCGTACCAAGACCGTTCCTGTTACGGAAGAACAGTACCCCCTTGCCCTCGCCCTCGGCATCCTTACTGGGCTCGACCCATTGACACCATCGTGCACTGCGCCACATGGCCTGCAGGAATCCCAAGGAACCATTCTTGGTGTCCGAGCGGTAGTGGCGGCCCATGACCTTCTTGATAGCCTCGGTGGCTTCATCGGCATTGTAGAAGGGGATTGTCGAGACGTAGTGGTGGAGCACATGAGTCTCAATAATGCCATGGAGAAGCTGACGGCCAATGAAGCCAAATTCGCGATCAATCGTGGCAGCGGCGCCACGAACATAAGTCCACGACTCGGGAGTGTAGTGGGGAAGCGTGGGATCAGTGTGCTGAAGGAACGTAATGGCCACTATCACAAGCCCGAATTAGCAAGACTGTATCAACAATTACATTTGTCTGATTGTGACTTACCGAGCCAGTGGTTGACCCAAAAATATGGCATAAAGTACCAAACAAGCATATTGTTCGTACCAAAGGTCTTGCACAGATAAACGAGTGTGCTGATGGTGATGGCCAAACCAATGTCACTCAGCACAATGAGTTTGGCGTCTTTGGCTTCGAAGAGAGGGCTGGACGGGTTGAAGTGGTTGACACCATTAAAGAATCCATTCTTCTTGCCCTTGCCTCTGCCCTCTCTTTGACGCTCGTGGAAGTTGTGGCCGGTGACATTGGCCATGAGGTAGTTGGGCCAGCCAATCAGTTGCTGACCTATAAGGTGAATGAGAGTCACAATGGGAGTCTCTTCTCCAAGCTCTCCAAGCTCATGGACCAGTCTGCCAAGTCTGCTAGCCTGCTGCTCACGGGTGCGCGGTACAAAAACCATGTCTCGCTCCATGTTGCCGGTTGCCTTGTGGTGCTTGCCGTGGGAAATCTTCCAGCTGAAGTAGGGAACGAGGAGGGCCGAGTGAAGAACCCAACCAACAGTGTCGTTGAGAACCTTGGAAGTGCTGAAAGATTGGTGTCCACATTCGTGAGCCAGCACCCAGATACCAGTGGCAAAGAGGCCTTGCATGATGCCATACAGTCCCCAGAGAGCTGCTCGAATTGGGGTCTGGGGAATGTTCTCAACCGTCACGTAGTTGTGGAAGATGTAGAAGGTGGTGCCGAGAAGAACAATATCGCGGAAGACGTAGTAGAGCCCCTTGACGGCTGAGCGCTCGAAACAGTGCTTGGGGATGGCATCGTGGATATCCTTGATGGTGTAATCAGGGATGGCAAAGTCGTTGCCGTACGTGTCCAGAAGCTTTCCGTACGAAGCCTTCTCGCCAATGGAAGCCATTGAAGACAGCGAGGTCGACGAAGCGGAATGTCTTGGTGAGTCCACGGGGGATGCAATGGCGGTTGAGGGTGCGGACACATCAGACTCGACTGTAGTCGAGGTGATGGTCCGGCGAAGTGCCGGGTTCTGCCTTGGAGCAGTAGCAGTAGAGGCCATGGTCAATCTTTTCTTGGGACGAGAATTGAATCAACTGATCCTTCGTATAAAAAATAATTGACGAGTAGCTCAAAGGGCCTGGTTCGGCAGTGAGAGAGAATGGCCCGGCGTTTTCAATCAACAATGTACCGGTTCCTGTGAGGTCGCGGGAGAAGGGGGAAAAAAACGTTTAGCGGGTGGGCAAGTGACAATTTTAGAAAAAGAAGCACAAATACTTGCTGGACCGAGGTTGCACGGTCACGGAAGATCTTGTGAAATTTTCTGGGGGTCGACAAATGCCACTGTCGCACGTTACTTTGATTTTTGTTGGGAGTGACTCGGATTGAGACTTGGCGGAATGAGCTCGGGATCGACCGACAGGCTCTTACCCAGAACAACAAGGTGCAACCACGGAGAGGCGCTGGACCAATATGCAGATTAACAGAGGGAGAAGAAGAAAAAGGCCAATGCAATCGTGCCACCAGTGGATGAAAGAGCTTTATTATATACTTCTGTTATATCTCAAGCTAGTATACTGGATGAGTCTCGAAGCCCCTCTGCATCCTACACCCTTGAGTGCCTATCAAGGGCGGGAACTATGGGCTGAATCGTGTAGCAGTGTTTGTCGCCGCCAGGCGAGTGAGCCGACCAATGAGGTTGTATGATAATCACTCATGCTGGCGGGATAGTTCAAAGGCCGATCTTTGTCTGGGACGGGAGGGACAGGAAAAAAATTCGTCTCCTGTTGTGTGGAATCTGGGGGGCAACTTGGCAAAGCCCAGCCTCAAACCAGCCGAGACTGGGGCACTTTTTGTCTATGGGAATTGGAGCTACGACTGCAGATCCGCGGCGTCAAACCAACTCATCAGGAACCAGAACACACATCAATGCTGCTGCCAGGGACCCTCACATGAGATAGGGGTCTCAGCAGGGATGCCCCGCTGCAAGCAGCTCTGAAACCCAGCACCAAATTGGCCAGTCACAGGCAAAGAAGCGTCAAACTTTCCAGAAATCGATGATCTTCACACTCGAGCTTGCCTTCAGAAGATCGGTATACAGCTAACATGGAGGTTACCTGACGCGCCCCTGGACGTCGGTACATTTGGCAATGTTCGTATTTTGTTACAGCACTGCTAAAGAAGGTTAAGTAGTCAAGTGCTGCTGATAAACTGCATTAAATCCTCATCTACACATGTCAGATACATGTATTATTACTCTGTAGGTCGGCCTGCACATATCAATTCTTGTGGATAGCACTCGGGCCGTCCGACTGACTTTGCATAGTACTGTGAGCTCTCACCGCCTTTAAGCACAGGCTAAGAGGCGCTGAATATTCCAAGGTTGCCGCTGCCTCAGTCTTTAGATCGAAGCTTTGGTATGTACCCGTAGGACCCGCCATGGCCCAGACAATCAAAGACAATCAATGTGCGATGTCAGATGAGAAGACGCTTCCTTCGTGGCAATACTCGCAGTCTATCTTGTTAGAGCATGGCTATCAGCACAAAATCTCGGACCTCGAGGCTCATGCTATAAATATTGAACGTTGATGAACCATTTGTATATTTTTACGGCCGTTGTAAACATCGTTGATTCCGGCGCCCCAGCAAATGTGCAATGCCTACCTGTGCTACCTCCACGTCGGACACATCACCTCGATACCTGGGTTCGTCTAACACTACGCATGCATGTACACACCTGTCTGGCAATTAGCGGGCTTTAATTGGTTGTTGCAAAAACACACAGAGTGCACGCTTTTTTCATGTGATCGTACATACCTACCTACCCACTAATATACTTTAATCACTTGGCAGCCACGTTGAATACCTATCTCCAAGTTCAACATGAAAATGTCTGATGTTGCCGTCCCAAGGTACATGTGTACGTACCGCTGCATTAGGACGTACATAAATTGGTGTGTACTCCGGCGATGGCAGCTGTTTTCTTCGGGATTCATACCTTTTCTTACGGGGCTCATCTTTTCTGTTGGGGGACCTTTAGGTGCTAGCTGCTGCACAGGAGGTCCTGGCGGTTCAGCTACCTTGATCCAGTGCAAATCCTTAGTGGCTATTCTGCCGAACCGAGAAAAAATGTTGAGATGCTACATCCCTGTCTCCCGCTTTGTGACCCGCCGACTAAGCTAAAATTTGCAAGTTTCCATGCTAGCCTCTACGTTCCACTCGTCTCCGCCACTGCTAAACCACGTGTGGGAAAGCGGCGCGGGGAGGAAGAATTGGATGAAAACATTGAATCCTCTCAAGCTTCCAGAAGTATCAGGGTTATGAAGGAGATTGTTTCCACGCTCTCTACGGTGCGCAAGCAGTGAGTGACAACGAAGAGCCCACAATGCTCATTTTCTGTTCATCGTGCGATAGATTTCCTTGACAGTGGGCTTCTAATCGAAGCTTGGAAGATGCTCTGGCTCGTTAGACCTGGAAGTCCACAGTTCCAGCCCATGTGGCGACGCCATCCGCCCGCCATTTGACAATGAGGAGCGTTCAACACGGTCTGACTGCTAATGCTGCGTCACTTACTACCGAGTCGAGGTGGCAGATGCAGGAATTACTACTACATAGGTACCTACTTAGTAGGCTGATAAAATAGTGAATAATACAGTCTAACTTATATGTATAGAGTAAGTATCGACGCATTGCAGTCAGTGAGCTTTTACTAGCTGGAGCATGTCTTTTGACATGTGATCACATCACACTCATGCCCAGCCAGTCGCAGTCGGGTAATGATGGGACTGTAAGAAAACGAGTATACTATCTGGATTTATTCCACTATATCGCAATTCCTTCTCAGGATCAAAACACACTTGTAAGTGGAAATATCAATGATATCCTCGAATATTCGATACAGTTTTCTAGGTGACATCCGTAAACCCGTGAGCGAATATGCAGGATGCTTTACGAGAAAATCGCCCTCATCGTCTTCGGAAATATATACACAGTTTTCTGAACCTCGACAATCGCTATCCTACAAACTCGCCTGTTGGAAGGTAGAAAGCTTCTGCTCTAACCCTTCTATTTGCCTCTGTAATGTCTCAAGTTTTTCGTTCATGGCCTTCCGCTCAGCTCTTTTCCGCGATCTGGTCCTCTTCTGCTTCTTGGCCACCTGGACAGAGTTGTCAGGTGTCTCCTGTGGAATGATCGTTTCGACAAGAGAGCTTGCCTTCCGTTTTTTGGATCGATCATTGGAACCGTTCTGTATGTCTGAGGAGACGTGGTTTGCCAGCGACTGGTTGTTACTGCTTTGGGGTTGCTTGGTCCTGACAGAAGTCGGCGACCGAACATGCTCTATGCGAACAGGCTTTGCATGAGGACTTGACGGCTGCACACTTTGCCCCTCTCTGGTCATTCTACGATTCCTTTTCCGTCTCTCTCTCATCGCCTTCAACTTCTGCTTCTCCCTTCTTGCACCGCGAGAGGTTGTCTCATTGACACTGGCTCCTGGGATGCTCGAGGGGGGAGACGATGGGGTTGGGGTTGTGGCGAAATACCTGTCTTCGTCATGCTCAGGTATATTGTCGTCTGAGACACCGCGGCTGCCTGCTCTATCTGTTTTGATGGGACTAGCTGTCGCAAAAATGGTGTCAGTCTGGGTCTCAGTATCATTTTCGTTCGAGTTGTCGTCTTCATCGTAGAGGTCAGATGGGAAAATGCATTCCGTACAGTTTGAATCCCAATCAGAACCATGATTGTCTTTATGAACAGCGGCCTTAGAACTCGAAGCAGCAGTTGGATGTGGCTGGTCATGGACAGGAAGATGGTGCGAAAGCATGTTGCTCGTGTTGGATGCCACCTTTTTCCCTTTCTGAGCACCAGTACCAGTCACAGGCTTCCACATAGTCTGAGGGACAAGGTGTGAGGGCTTCAATACTATGTCACCTCTGTTGACCTTCTTTTTGTTGCGCTGGTAATTTTCGGTCGCCGCGCGCAAGTGAGGGTGTGTCTCTTCCCGCCTCTGCCTTTCGAGGGGCGTGTCGGCTGCATCTTGGCTACAATTGTCATCGTCTGACCTCTTTGGCATCGGCTTGGACGCCTTGTTGTGCCCCGTGCCACTCTGAAGATTTCGTGACTGTAACTCTCTTGCCACAGCCTTGGGACTCGGGCGAGACGTCTTTGACAATCCCATCAATTGTGCAAACGTTTGTGAAGACGGTTGTGCAAACGGCTTTGGCGGCGATGCAGTCGGCGGTGGCGACGATGATTGTGGAGTGTTGCATGCAGCAGCAGTAGACTTTCCGGAGCTGCTGGCAGAAGGGCTAGCAGAAGTTGGGGTCTCGGACGGAAAGTCATGCAGTTCCTTATCGGAATCTTGCGTGCTCCTCCCAGGGACTGGCGATCCATTTGGGCAACCAGTGCGACTAGCAGGTGTGCCCAGTTCAATGCTCGAAATTTGGGGCAGCTTTTCCAATACGGCTTTTCCCTGGTGCAGCAGGACCTCAAAAGTCTCGAGTTTGGGTATCTCTTTCGGAATACCGAGCTTTGCCAACATGCCTTTCACCCATCGCTGCTCGATATTATCATTCACGAGCGTCAGTATTCCTTCCAGGTCACTGGGCTTGTCTTGGTAAGGCGACAGTCGCGAAGTCACTGATCCCTCTTGTGCGCTGTCTGATTCGTTGCCGTTGACATCATGATACTCGTCACTGTTGCTGAGATCCATCTCTATGGACTGAATAGCATTCAAATCCTTCGAAGAATGATCCTCACGCAGCTTCGTTTTCAAAGCCTGTACCGCTATCCATAAATTGGAAACGAGCATCTTGTGACTCTCAGGATCATCAGCTCCGGGCACGTTTTCTTCAGTTGAACGTGTGCTGACTGAGGTCGCGATTTTATGGCAGAGGAATTCCATGTTCCAGCAATCCCACAGCAGCCACCACTCCTGTATCAAGGCGTCATCGGGAATACGTGTCTTGGGTTTCTTCTTTAGGATGGACTGCCTAAAGGATGGCCTTGCCGCCGGATCAATTCTTAATTGACGGCAACACGCTTCCCAAAACTCCTTGTCTGGTCCCAGTTTCGTCAAATCGGAGTCAAAAAGCTTATCTATGTTCTGTCGCAGCGTTTCGAAGAGAATAGTGTCCTTGTCGTCAGTGGTCGTATGTGTCTCATATAGAATCTCCTCCTCGTCAGGAGAAGAACTTCTCTTTTTGTTCTTTGACCTACGAATTGTCTGGTCATCCGCCTTCAGGTCGAGTTCACAATCCTGTCAGCATAAATACAGTGCTATTTTCAATCATGCAAGTGCCAACTTACGTCTTCGTCCGTGTAATTAACTTGACTGTCTTCGCGGAAATCAATGTCTTCCAGTCGCCTAGTCGAGCGTGTGCTCTTTCTCGGCTTGCGGGCCAATGAGTTCAAATCCGACTTGATCTTGGCTGACGAATGCGACATCTTGCCGATTCTATTCCACAGTGTTCACTTAAAAAGAGAGAGAGATAGAGGGAAAATCCAATGCGGCTGTGATTTGGACACAGTGTTGAGGAGACACTGCCAAGCGCCGAAGAGTCACAACTGACTACAAACTTGCACCACAGAGTTCTTGAGTGTAGACTAACACTGCGTGAGCATTGGAGCTCATGGTGACCGACAGGAGTGAACAATGGAAGAGGAAGATAGATTTGGGTAAGCTGCGTGGGAGATGGAGCCGTTGAGACTATTGGCCGAGCACATTAATCCGAATGCTGTTGTGTCGTTCGTATCAGTAGCTCTCAGACCCAGGTATCTGTGCTATTTTGCAAACAAAGAAGCAGCAGGCCTTGTACAGGTGTGCACCCGAGGCCCTTGTATGCGTGTAATTAGTTCGAGAACGGATCAGCATTCTGTGGACTATTGCGGTTGCAATCACACCAAAGAAAGGTTACAATCCAGTACATCCCTAAGAACAATACATGTGTATCATACCCAGTCTTGCCAGTGCGTGTTAATGAGTGCTTGCAGCCAGTGGCAGGCAAAAAAAATAAATGATGACGAGCGAGTGGCCTGGTTTTTTCTGTGGTCGCACCGTGGAGGTTGTACACATTGTTGAAGAATAATGGACAAGTCTGTACCCACCTGTATAAGTGACATGTCTCGTGTGCACATGCAAGTTCCGCGAGATTCGTTTTTTTTCTGTTCCAACAAGGCTCTTGTCAAACGGCGACCAACATTTCCACCACACGTGGTGTGGCGACAATATATGATGTATAATTAACCGAAGCCAAGACAGCTCGTAGACCTGGTAGTCATTCACAGCGCCCCGGTCTAGCTGCTGAGTTTTCACGCACTGTATAGGTCTGGACCAATATCTCCTCTTGATAATTGCTTTTGCTGTAGAAAGCAATCGCGACGCGACGCAACGCGTCAAAAGGGGTTTCAGGCCATTGTGCCCAAGTCTCGACAAACGTACAAATTCTTTTTGCTTCTCCAGCAAAAAAATGTTCATGTTTTCAAGATTGTCTCTGATTGGATATGGATGCAAGCAATAATCAGGATGATGGTCGGCATTCAACCCACAAACGCCATAGATATTAGGTATGGACTGCCGATTCGTGGGAAAGTGATAGATAGTAAGGAAGGGGGGGAAAAGCCATTTGCTTTTGCTTAAACGACTTTAGGATTAGTCTTAATGTGAACTCGTGTGAGATTGGTGCCCGAAGCGCATGATGCAGTCGTTTGCAGTCATCACATTGACAGCTCGTATCATTCACCAGAAGCGGTATGATATCAACAGGTGTGGATGGCATTGAAATTGAGGATATTCTGGCCAGGAGGGTCGGGATGGTCAAGCCAGGCAGGCCATTTGCTGACGAGTCCGTTCCACACATCTCTTGTGATTCCATTCAAGGCGAATGGACATTAGAGAGTCCTCGAAATTCTTACTCTCTTTCTGTTCATTGCAACGCTCACAGTCACTTGTTGCAAGAGTGTTTCTTGGTTTTATCGGGACCAGTTTAGTTGTTGCAGTTAGTCATCTTGGGCAGTTCACGCCTGGCAGGCAGAGATGACGACAATTCCAATATGTATGGATGTCAACACTTGGTTGGATGTTTGATACCAATACTCATTCAGCATAAACGTGGTGAGGCCATGACAAATAAAGCATCTCTGCAGGCCTTCGCGAATCACTAGTTGTCTAGTCGAGGTGCACCGTCACAACTTTGAAAGTAATAACTGCATGTTAGGTGACTTCCTGGTTGATTTCCCAGATGTCTTCCATCCTCAGCCGTCAAAGGTCATCATGAGGAAAGCGCATGCCGTGTTATGATGTATCAAGACTCCGGGTACTCTCAATTATTATTTTGTGCTGCTCACCTTTTTCTTAAAGTGATGAAATGCACTCAGGCAGCGTTTTCGTATCTTGCCTCTTGTGATTGCCATTGTTGCCTGGAAGTTAGGGGGATGAAGGGGCAACTACCTCGAGTTCAAATGTGAAGGTCCTCACAAGGCTGACTTGAATACTATGGTGGCACATGCCTGCCTTAGGCGGATTGATCACTTCAGTCAACCAACAAAAAACTGTCACCGATCTCCATAAAGTGCTGGAAGAAAATAGATGGTAACAAAGATTGAAACCCAAGCAGTAGCATCCTCCAGATTTGTGCTTCAGTTGTATTTAGCAGGTGATTGATTATTTAGGATTTGCACGTGGAGTTCACATTGTGGTCGTTTGCACAGCTTCATCGGTGCCTTCCTCAAAATCCTTTTCTTCAGCCACACTACCTACCTAGGTAGTTTGAAAAATCAAACACGCACAACATCAGGCTTCAAGCCATTCAAGCGCCTTTATTGTTGCGTAGGCAACGAAACAGCCAGAATTCATTCTGTTTCAGCAAACCTCTGCCCTCATTCCTCTTTGCCGCCTAAGATCACTCACCAACCGCCACGAGTATTTGCGCCATCTGGCGAATACAACTGGTACCTTTCCTTCCATTAAACCCCTTCAAGTTGGTCACCCTTGGACACAATCAAAGAAGTGTTGTTGCAAGATGGGGAGTGACCATAATCGCCGTGGCAATCATCGAGTTCGCGGTGGATACCAGCCAAGTCGTGGTCCAATGGAGCAACAACCCTTTCGCCGTCACGAGGCTTCACCCGCACCATCATCCAGATACAGAGGAATCCCAAACCTTCGACCCGATCGCGAGTCGCTCAACTTCAACCGGGGCACAGGTCAGGTCAATGTGCGCAATGCTGCCTCTGGAGTGTTGACTGAGACGCAACCGGTCTCGGGCGGCTTGCGACCTGTCCCCATCCAACGAGACACTCAGCATGGTCATGCGCGTCTCTCTGCCAACGACAGAGGTTCCCAGTTTGGATCACAGCCAATTGCCTCTGGCAGCCCAGCTAAAAGAGGCCGGTTCACAGCCCGACGTGGTAATGCGCACGTCGGCGTTCGCCAGGGCACTTTGCCACAGACAACCACCGTCACCAATGCTCCAGTCTCTGAAAGCGATGGCGACGAAAGTAGACCTATTGTGCTCGAAAGCACACCTCCGCTCATTAGCGACGTCGCTTCTGAGGTCAAGAACGCCGGAACGAACAGTATCAGCCAAGGAGTAGCTAGCACTCCAGGAAAATCGTCCAACGTGCGAGCAAACAATCATGCCCGACCGACTATTACAATTCAGCCAAAGGAGCGCGAGGTAAGCAATACATCATTCACTTCACTTGCACAACATATCATAAACTGACATTTATGTAAGGAATCATCCGAAGAGGAGCCATCTCCTCTAGTCTCCCGTGCCCCATCAAAGCGCAAGTCCATTAACAAGTCTCCAACTTACGTCGAGCCCACTGATGCCTGGTGGCTCCCCGCACACCGCAAAATCCGTCTTCTTGAGATTTGTATTTCGTTTGAAAGTGAATACTTTCTCTCAAACGACTCGGAGATGACCCCAGACCAGGCCTTTTAGGAAAAGGTCGCTCGACGTTTCAATGAAGAAAGCGAAAGCAAACGCTTCAGCGACTGGAGGTTCGCACGCGACTACGTGATGAACCTTTGCAAGGACCGTCACAACGATATCATCCGCAGCCAGCGGTTTCAACCCCGGCGGGAGATCGATGACTTGGGTCGTGTGATGCACAGATGGGCATGCATCATGATCCGCCGCAACGCCCACAAAACCCTGCAGTCAGGCGGAGACGACTTTTGGTTGTCGTTTGGGGGAATGGTCAGACAGGCCCTGAATCAGGTCATTGGATCTGGAATCAAAACAGATGCTGTGATCAGCAAGATCAAAGCATGGGCGACCGCCGAGAAGGACGCCACGGAGCGTGGCCATGAGAGCGCTGGTTCCAAGAGAGTCACCACTCCGGCAGTCTTGGGCGACAAGCGAAAGAGAAATGGTTAGGCATGTGTTCTTGTTATATCGTTCTTGTCCAAGTTGTTCACGGACGCGATTCTGGCAAAGCTGGAGTTGTTGTCCTCGGTTGAAGCTGCGTAAAGGTGTGGTGGATATGTGGTCTTGTGGTTTGAAGCAGTACTGAGGCATGGATATGTGTATGGTCTTGCGTGTCTTGCGTGTCATCATTGTCTTTGAGTAAGAGCTCCTGGTTTGCGACATGGGAAAGATCATCATGTCAACAGAAGGGATGGGACATGTATATACCGCGGCTGTCTGGCTATTTCAGTATTTGAGTAATTTCAGTTGTGCTATTCACGCTTAACCTTGGTCCCTTGGTACCAAGCTGTGCCCATATCTCGAGTTCAAGAAATCACACGTAATCAAAGACCATCCCAATGTACATGTATAAGCCAACCCAAAACAGCCAAATCCTATGCTTGGCCATTGGTCGCCCTTTTGTCGAAACCCTTGTTGTGATTACCACAATATTGCAGGATAACTCCATCACATGACTTGCTTGACGATTGCGCGAATTTTGATGAGCACTCATTGGCGATAAAAATAATAAATCATATCTTCGAGAGTATATTCATGTTAATTAGCAATTAACACCCTTCTCCGTCTATGTACTACACCCTGAAAGGAAACCAAAATCATGACTTTGCATGGCCCGTCTGCACTAGATTGAGCCTGTCAGATGCCCCTTCTTTTTATCAACCCCCGGAAAAATAAACGCCAGCCGAAAGCATAGGGTCATAGTATATACAGTGAATTGCATCATGTGAGCTGTTTGCCAGATGTAGACCAAAAGCCAGGCATAAGCAAGCGACCAAGTATTATAGAAGAGATACAAAGTAGTCGTGGGCAAAGGTTGATCAAGCCTTGCCGGCTTCTCGAACCAACTGCATCCACTCGTCTTCTCGACCCTGAACTACCTTTTGGCCGCCTTCAGCTAAAGCTTTCAAAATGGCGGTGCGGCTGTGGGCAGCGAGCAAGGAAGGTTCGCGCTGCGACAGCAATGCAACGGCTGCTCTCACAAGTACGGCGTCACCCTCAAAAACATAAACGTCCCACAATCGGGTACACTCATCGAGAGAGAGATGTTGCGTGAACAATCCAGTGAAGATATTGTATAGGTAATCCTCCGGGTCGAGAGCAAGCTCTGCCTTGGTGAGATGTCTGTGAAGCTGGGGGCTCTTCGTCTTGAGTGTTTGCAGTAAGAGGTTATAAGCGGAGGCTTTTCCGCCGCTGTCGGAAGCGTAAAATGAGAGAGGCAAAGGCCTGTTGAGCACGTTGGCAAGTGCAATAAAGGCCATTGTGGCGGAGGGTAGATTGAGGAGCAGGATAGCAGCAATGGTCTGGTGACTTTAGTGTTAGTCATGGCAGATGGATTGGCAATCTCATGGTATTACTCACGTTGCAGCCATTGATGTAACCGATGTCGCTCCGGTACATGGCGTAGGCACTGAGGACATCCACCAGCGGCTGGTGCAAAGGCCCGCCAACTTGGAATATGTTCAAATCACCCCATGTTCTTCCAGAAGCATCGGCTTTGATGGCCCGAAGCCAATCAACCTTGCTTTGCTCCTCGGGGCTCGACTTTGCCTGTTCGGCGCGAGCTTCTAGCTCTTGCGCCCGGCTCAAAGCAGCCTGGAAGCTCGTCTCAGTAAGGCCGAGTTCATTCCCAATAGCCTGTGACCACACGTTGCCGCGAGCTCGTGGAGCAACACCTTTCCACCAAAGCTCTCTCGTTCGTCGCTCACGGATGGCTACGTTCCATCTCTTCAGGACATCGTCCTCCCAGACGCGAGTCAAGTCGCTCGCTCTGGCATCCTTGGACTTGTCCTTTTCCTTCCTTGCGGCTTGTCGACGTTGCTCGGCATCGACACTGTTTGCCATCATCTTCTGATATTCCTTGATATGTCTCTTCTCCTCAGCAGGATCTTTGGGTGGAAGCCAGGAGGGACGTGTACGAGAAAGAACGGCTTCTTTCTCCTTCGAAATCGGGAGGGGGTCAATCATGATATTTGTTCTGCGGAGCGGTGGTAGTTCAGCCAAAGCTGACTTGACTCGTGGCTTGGGTGAGGGGCGGCGCGTCCCATCGGCCGAATCAATCTTATCCAGCTCGTCATAGTGCTCCTCCAACTTCTCGGTCAGCGCTTTGGCTTCAGCACTTAGATCTGACAAAGCAGAGTTCCAGCTCTTGGCACGACCCTTGAGGGGGGATGGATACATCGCCGGTGACTTTGGGGATTCTCTTGATGAGGATTCGGACCTCCAGGTGGGGGACCGCAGCGAGCCTTGCGCGACTGCCACGGGCGGCGTGCCATTTCCTACACTGCGTACTCTTTCTTTGGGTTGCCTGTTCGGGGAAGTGGACGCCGAGACTGGTCGACTTGCGGGACGTTCCACTGCTGGCCGTGGTGAAATAGGAACATTGTCGAGAATGACACCCTCCGGGATATTATCGTCCTCGTCGTCGTCGCACTCCTGCTCAAGTTCGATGACAGATTTTCTTTCAACTGCCGACTGCCAACTACTCCTGCGTGGCTTCAATGAAAGACCGGGGTTTTGGGGGCTCAGTGAGCGTAGAGAAAGATTAGGACTCGGACTTCGATGACGGCGATTGGAGCCCACGGCCGACGCCGGGCGGGCCGAGAGACTGCGGACGGGAAGCGGATGCGATCGTTGCTGTGGTCCAATATTACTGAGCCCCTGAGTGCTCGTGTCTCTGAACTGGGTGGACAGTGCCGGGAAGTTGGCACGGGTTTTTTGTGTAGAAGTAATGTTCCTCTGCGATGCTGGGCGAGAGGCATCTCGAGCCCCGGTGGGCTGCGCAGTGTGTGTCTTGCTGCTAAGATGTCTGGCTGATTGTGCACGGAGATCGCTGGTGAACGAGTTGCTGTATGGATTCAAGGCAGGCTTGGCCTGGCTAATATCACGTGAGTGTGCATTGTCGATAGTGATTGTGTCATCGTCAAGTCCAATCTCTTCAAAATGTCCGGCATCTGCCAACACACTGCTATCGTCGTCGGACCCAAAGGATTGCAAGGAAGAAGTCTTGGAAGACTTAGAAGAGGTCATGCCGGGCGGTGATCCAGGGCTCGGCACAACCATGTGCATGTCTAAAGCCCCCAGGTGTGATTCTTCGTAACTCATGTTCGCATTATCGGCCATTCAAGTGGGCGATTATCAAGCACGTCGATCCTAGGCAACCAGCGGTTATTTCGCAGCAATGCCCGTCGTGGTTGAGTCGGTACGAATGACGTGACTGTTATAATTGATTTCACGAATGGGCGAGCCAGCGGTTTCGTTTGAGCTGATGTTTGGTTGCGAAGGTTAGTCAAATGTCATTGACGTTGCGCGATAGTACTGGGGTGTGTCAAGGGGAGGGAAGGCGTCCGTCGTGGAACTGAGCAAGCAGCACAGACAGGTGGCCCAGGATTCCGGATACCAGCGCTGTGCTTATCAGAATAGAGGCATTCGCGCAGTGAATGGAAAACAACCAGACCTCGGTCCCCTCGTTTTGTGATGCAGCAAGGGAAGGGGCAGGGGCAGTGCTGGCTTACAGTGGTTTAAGCTTATCGGACACAGCAACGGATCAAGTCTGGCAAGAACCGCAGCAAACAATTGTATTCCTGTTGGGGTCGTGAAGTTCAAGAGGTCCCTGATTTGCAAGCTTGTGGTGGTTGACAAGTCGAATTGGGAATCCAAAGTGTCTCACGATCCTGGTTAGACAGCCCCTTGGGAAGCGTTGTGCACGCCAGGTGATGAAGCGATGGCTGTGCTAGGGATGATGCAAGATACAAGGCGGGATGCCAAGCCACTTGAATGGTACACTTGGAAGAAGAACACAATGCTTCCTCTTCAAGAGCGCAGGCAAACTGGGCTTCAATGACTAGTGGCAACGCTATCTTGAAGTGACGCGTTTGATATTTGTATTCACAGTGGCTGCGAAAAAAGCAGCTACTATAATACCAGAGAAATGAGGTCAGCGGCCGTTGTGTTTGGTCTGAACGGTTCGTGCTCGGGCGTTTCAAAGGGGTCAAAGATCAGACGAAGGTTGACGCAGGGTCTACGCCAAGGGACATCCTTCTTGATCGGTTCGATTGACCCAGCACGGGATGGCAAAGAATTATTGATATATAGAACTTACACAGCAAAGTATGATGAATTTGAACACCCAGTGTTGTAATTGTCTGCTTGGTTTGTATGTGCGGATGGTCAACCAACACACACGCAAAAGGCCGAGCTAGCGCTGCTTGTAACCAAGTTCGAGATGGTGAATAACCACAGAGCGTGATAGCTTGTGGGAGGCGCTAATGGTCCAAAAGCCGACGAGCGGTTCGAGTATTAAGATCAATAGAAATTAGGAAAGAAAGATATGACAGATTATGGAACTCTTTGCACCGAGAAACGAGAGACGGTCAATAGTTGGTGTAGATGCGTAATAGTGAGAGCGAGCGAATGATTCGAGTGAGTGAGTGGCTTGCGATCAATGCCTGCAGGTATGTAGAGGTAATGAAAAGGCAAGTAGGAGTCAACCGGAAAAGAAACAGAGAAGGTGAGCACAAGACAGAATTGGAATGATGCGGACCAACAACCCCAGAAAATCTAGAATAAAGAGCGACGGGATCAAGCGAGCGGAACAAACGAAGGGCGCGGGACCAGCGGAAGGTGATGTGATGCTTGGACTAGGTTGTCAACAGCATATGCCAAAATACTACTGCCTGGGGAATTCAAAATTGGCACCGAGATAGATGCTGCTCGCTGCGATAGTAGTTAATGATGATGACGATGCGGTTCGGATTCCCCTCCAAAGGGGGGAAAATGCTTGCAGTCGAAGCGACACCTAAAGCCCACAAGCGCGAAAAAAGGAGACGACTAGTTCCATCTTAGCCCATTCACCGTCCTTGATCAGCCCCTGTCGCTGGCTGGACACCGCCGCCGGCTTCGTGGTCTAGCCCCCTAGAATTGCTGCTAGAGAAGAAGGATTACCACGCCCAGACGATGGCAGTGGAGAAGATGCCATTGGCCTTGGGTAAAAAACATTGTATGGACGTGGAGCGCTAATTTGCAATGTCGGGGATCGCTGATGAATTCGGAGGTGTGGAGGTATGATCATATAAGGGGTGTCATTTAGGACACTATTCCGTATTGGATCAGTTGTCGTAAGCGGCGCCCGCTGATTGAGGAGGAAAAGACTTTTCTTGCTTATTGCATTGGCAATGTTAGTTCAATGTGTAGCAAAGGAAGACAGACTCTGGAGGTCCAACTGCTAGTAGTATGTAGTTTGCAGCCAGCCGATTAATGAGTTGTGAGCAACATTAGTGAGCTCGTGGACGTGGACACAGTTGCTTGACTTTAATATGGGGGGAAATGGACTGCTGATTAGTACCTACGTGGAATATGGGAATTTGAATCGCTGAAGTTTGGAAGAAGCTTCCACGGACCCGCATCTATTATTGGCACCCTTTGATGCCGGTCCGATTGAGCCATCGCGGCTCACAGACTTTTGGTATGCCTCTCCCGTTACAGCTATTGCGATTGAGCATGGAGCCTCACCAGGCCTACGGATAATCAAATGTATTGTTTGACGTTTCACGGCTACACTTACAGTAGTCCCTATTTGTGGTTTCTGGAGAAGGCGGGTGGCTGCCGCCGGCCGGATGCTAACGACGCCGCAATTTACCTGTACATTAACCACATGTGCATGGAGTACGTACGAAGTTCAGTGTACCGACTGGTCAATGTTTCAATGGTACATCTCCTCATTGCCATGGCAGCCAACACTCTGAACTTCTCAGAATGAGATTTATTGAATGGATAACGCCCTCGAATGGCACACATCTGCTCCGTATCAAATCAAAGAAAAGACCAAATACAGTCTGCTCATATAAAAACAGGGGGAAATAGCAAACATGCTATATATACGTACATTATCCCACGATCCCTCAAAGCTCTGACACATGACGAGCTCCTCGGCATTACAACAAGGTTATTTCAATTTGCCAAAAGCTATAATTAGGTGCCGGAAGCGCGAGTCCGAATCACCTGGAATTACTTTTGCATCGAATTTGTAGCATTCGTTCAATGTGATCAAAACAAGCGTACCCAATACCGAGATTACTCAATCGTACAACTCTCTCACTAGGAGAAAGTGCATCTTTGTGCCGCCGCAGTCTCCGGAAATCCTGAGTCCATGGCAATTCGCATGTGCATAAAAGTTCTCGTGGCATGCCTGGCTTGCCTGGTGGCTATCGCTGGGTGTAGATATATCACACGGTGTAGGTAGGAACGTGCCCCAATCTCGATAATATGCAGGCGTTTATACCGACCAATGACGGATTATGCCGCATGTGAGACCTGCATTATTCGGAAATTGCTCTGCTCACACATGGCTTTTCTAACTGGTCAGTGATTTTGATGTGCATTCTTGCTGATTCAGGATTCACTGGGGCGTTTGAGATAGCTGTACCTGCATGTGTACATACAGTGCCATGATGCCCTGTCACGCACATTAATAATGGCCATTTAAGGTTATGTGCGATCGAGACCAGGCACCTGATTGCTTTTACCTTGACTCGACCGCACGTTGATGGTAGGCCTTCCAACGCACCACACAGTGTCTAACTCGTACATCACGTACCTCTTTTTCTGCAAAGTCCCATTGCAAGGAGACTCGATCATGAATTACCATGTACCTACCAATGTAGGTACCGTCTGAAGATCAAGATCGTGCGCTCAAACGGCCTACCTTGCTTTACCTCGACAACCTGCCTGTAGGACCGATTTGTTGCCCACACAAAGGTGTGATGTCAAGGATCTTGGGGCAAGTAGATTACATTACGCAGAGCAGTAATACACCTACCTTCCCTCATATGCTTGACTGTGGGTTTGAGTATACAATCACAAGGCTGCATACATTTTGGCGACCAATGATGATACTCTCCCCAAGAACAGTATCCTGTTGACCACCAAACGACGGATCTCACTGCCCGTTGCCCATTTGTGAATATGAGATGCAAGTCAAAGAATGTGCTACGCGGTTAGATTTTCCGTAGATGTGATGGATCACACACTCTTCACGCGTTGGTCGTGAAGAAGAAGAAAAAAATTCTTCGAGAAAAAGTAAAACTTGGGCAAGGGAGAAGCATCCGTTTACGCGCAAGCAAGAAAAAATCTGCGTGCACTTTGACGTGGCAGCGCTTTACGTGACGCGCGATGTTCGAACCTCGAATGCTGTATATTCATGCAGTGGACTGCAGTTCATTGCGACAGGAATAATTGGACTTGATATCGAACCATGATTGTCCACATTTAGGCATTGTGCTTTCCATAACCTACATATGTATCAAGTATACTATTGCTTCAGCACTTCTGCCCATTCTAATTCGCACTTTCCATTCCCCATGAAAACGAGTTTGCACCTCAGATCATCGTTCTTGCCAGTTACTTTGAGGCCAATTGTCGCCTGTGGGATGGTTTCTTGAATTCTTTCAACTGCAACCTCAAATACTGAACTCTATTTGACACCATTAACGGCCGATTAAGGAGTACGAGTTTACGATCAAGAACCTCTTGGTGACGGTGCGCTTGTCAGAGAGAAATCTGTCTCAATGTCTCGTCCTTCCGGCTTTCGAGGCAGTAGAAGCAGATCGATGCCTGCGCGGCTGCTGCAGGATGACCCTCAACACTCGAATCCCTTTGGCACTCAGCCCAGACACCCTCGAGCCACTCCCACACGATATCGTCGACCAATCGACCGATATGTGCCACCTCCAGATCAACGCAGGCGGGTAGACCAGCGATCGCCCCGAGGATCGAGATATTTTCGAGCTCAAAGCCAGTACAAGCAGCAGGCGTCTACGCCCAGTCACAAATCCCAGCATTCCACCATTTCTGTGCAAAACAACGTCCAGAGTACTGTCCCTCGCCCCGGAGGGTACCATGACCGCGAGCACGACAGGAGACTTGTGACTCCCCGACCAGTCCTGAATGCAACAGACTCACAAGTATTGGCGCCTGTGGCTGCACAGAGTCGAGATGAGCCTCCAACAACCATTTCCCCGAAGGCAGGGTATGTACCTCGACCAAGATATTGTGATACCGACACTCGCAATTCCCAAACAGCTCCTCGAAGACGAGATATTAACACTGACATAACTCTATATTAATACAGATCTTCTCGTAAACCTATTCTCATCCAGTCTACCCCCAGTCCAGAGCCTGAGCTTTATCAGCGTAGCTTACATCTTTCCTCGAACTCTGCTGGACAAGCTCACGCCGACGTTGAATCTGTAGCTCAACAAGTAAGTTTTAATCGCTTCAAAACAGAGCATCTGCTCGAAGAATATTCAATTTGCGCTTCCCAGTCAAAGGAATCTCATTTCTGACGTGCATTTCTTTACGTATCGGAAAATTCTCTTCATATTGCCATATCTGACATTCCCGAAAGGTTACCGAGGAAAGTTGTGATGAATTGTCCACCCCTGGACCGCAGTTGCCTGCCTCGACGAGATACCATGTCAGGATAGATCGGGATAACCAACGCCGTCTTCTTGACATTTGTAGTCGGTTCGAGGAAGACTATCTAGTACGAGATGACGACGAGTTGAGTCCTCATAAGAGATTCTGGGAGCAAGTGATGGGAACGTATAACCATGAATCTCCTCAACCACATTTCCATCACTGGTCACATGTGCGTTCAGATGTCATGAAGCGCATCAGCAAACGCTACAATCTTCTGTTGCAGAACAAGCTGAAGCCATCCAAGAAGGCCTTACGAAAGTCCAAGGATGCATGGGCAAGGGTTGTTGCCCACAGCAAAATACACCCCGCCCTAGGTCGTGTTTGGGGGCTCTTCTGGAGTAGCTTTGGGGAGAAGACGGAGGCGGCAATGCATCACGTGGTAGCGGAACGGCTGAGGAACAATAATGCCTTGACGCTAGATGGCTTTGAAAAGCTCATGGCACATCTAAAGCAGAGAGTACAAGAAGACGTAGACGGAGATCGTGAAAAGATTGACAAGGACATCAAGGCCAGGCGCAGAGAGCAGAAGCTGGTCAAGCGAAAGGCTCGATGAAGAGAACTATATAGCTCGTGCGAATCAGGAGTCAGCAGATATTATGGGATACTTGGGTTCATACGAAAGGATGAACCGATCGAACAAATGTTGAGACATTTGCGCCACTTTCAGCGAAACTTTGTAATCTTGCTTCGAGGAGAACACAGAAACACCACAGACATTCTAAGAACAGCTAGATAATATAAATTAAAAACATGATATTTTTCAAACCTGGGCTTTCTTAGCTTTCTCCGACTCGAAAACAAAGACTGATATACATCCAATAACAATAACGGCAAATATTATTCCAACATAAGTCATAGCAATCATCTTGATGAATGCCCTCGCCCAAAAGAAAATGCTCAATATACGCGTAAACACTCCCGAGTCTTTCGCAACCAAATCATGAAGTCGCTGCACATCTTCTCCCACAAAGTTTGCATACCTTTGAAGGCTTGTCAAATCTGATGTAGATGGTTGTTTAATCTGTGCAGAGAGTTTAGCTGGATTATGTTTTGCAGTGAATGCCAGGAACGCTCCAAATGCCTTGAAACTCACATGAACGCATTCCCAGACATCGCGCCCTAATATCTGCGCCTCTTTATCCTTGACGCCGCATTTATGGATGAATAACTCGACCACATCTTCGAGACTGAGCTCGTAAAACTCGGCACCCGTGTAATGGACGCCAGCCGCCAAATTGTCGTCTAGCCCACGGTAACGCATGTATGCCGCTATCCACATGCGAACATACCAGGGCGCATCCGTGTGATCAGGCGCCTTGTCTCTCAAAATTTTGTGATTGGGCGCACATGTGTCTTCGCCTCGCTCTCCCCATATCGGTCTACGAGTGAGTGGGGGGACCCGCGATGTCGAACCGGCATCTCTTTGGCTTCTATCCCTTGCATTGCCTTCTCTGGGCCTTCGGCTTCTTGACTCCCGGTTCTTGGACTCGCCGCCATCGCGCGCTTTGGCATCACGGCTCTGGTGTTTTGCGTCTTCATCTTCGCGACCATGGGGTCTTCTAGAGACGGCTCCCCGCGACTTCTGACCTTCCCGATCGTGGGTTTTCGATTCCCGATGATGAGAGCTGCGATCTTTGCCATGCGTATGGCCACGACCGTTTGTGCCCGACGGCTCCGGATGGGCCTTGGAATTGGATGTTGCAATATTTGACTCCCGCATGCCTCGTGGAATTTGCTCTGTGTTCTTAGACCCTCGCGCCCACCGATCTGATGACTTATACTCCTGGGATGTGGCTTCGTGCTTTTTGCCCTCGGAGTTTCGCGTATCGGCCGACCTATGTGACTGGTTTTGCTCGGTCCCTTTAGCCCTGAAGGGAGATTGCATTGGAGCAATTGTTTGTAGCGCTGCCTCTCGGTTGAAAAACACGGATCATCAAACAGATTCGGAGAGCTAAGATGACGGTATTCCTCTTCCGATCAGAGCCCAATTCTTGATCAGGATCCAGCAGACGGCGTGATCTTGGTGAGTACTCGTGTCAAATGTTGTCATGGAGAAAAGGAGTTGGGGGACTTTCAACATTGGCAGAAGATCTTTGTCTCTTTTCTTGCCAGATTTGGGAATTACAAGTGTGCATGGCCTTTGTTCTGGTTGACGGGAGCGGAATATGGTATTCAAATGAAAGAAAGCGACTGGCACTATTACTCCTCCTATCTGCCTTTGACTTGATTCTTTGAGTTGTCATCCAACAGTAATTCTGAGACGATTCTGCAAATCTCCAGAAAGATTTGCGTCGCGATTCACGTAGAGAAACATGGCACAATTCCATACAATATATCTGTGTCATCAAATGCCATTTTTATGCAACCGCGGAGAAATATGCCATACACGAACGCCTCTGCCCAGATCGCCTAGATCATTGAGGCCCAAATCCTTTGTCTGGAAGACATCATGATCAACAAATTAAGAAGCATCTACGATACGATCTCCTCCGTCTCTTCCAGAACCTCCTCAATGATCTCCTCTATGACCTCACCCTCACCATCCTCAAGCTTAGGTGCAGCCTCCTCCTCAGTCTCCGGAAGACCGGCGTCGATTCTGTCGAAGCGAAGCTCATCCTCAACGCTCTCGCGCCATGCCAACCACTCGGAGAGAATGCGGCGACGTTCGTCAATGACAGCCTGATCAGCGCCGGCAACACGCTCGGCGTCCTCGACATCAAAGACCTTGGAGTACTCGCGCAAGTTCTTGCGAATATGCTTCTGCTCCTCCTTGGTCAGGAGAGTGGCCGGTCGTGGCCGCCAGGCCCACTGCTTGAACTTGTCAACCGGCTCCTCGCGCAGCACGGCACCCTTGAAGTCGTACACATGGTAGCCGTTTTCCATGGTGTGCTTCCATACGGAGGCCCATGATGCAACGTAGCGGCCGGAGGGATCCCACTGAAGGTCTGTGATACCATAGTGGTCGGCTGTGTTCATGTGCTGCAGGTTGGCAGTTAGGTCCTTCTCGTTCTCGGGCTTCTCACCCTCGAAATCGAGATCGTAGAAATCGAGGTCACTGCTTTGCTGGTTGGCGATCGTAGCGACGACGACAAAACGACCCTTGGGGGACCAGAAGATGGAGTTGTGGTTCTTCTTGTCCATGGTCCGGAGGTGCTTGAAGTTGCCAATTGCGTTGCCCTTGGCCTTCTCGGGACAAAAGAATGATGCAGTAGTCTTGGGAGGCACTGCAGTCTGGCCAACGGGCTCTGTGGTTGTGATGATGACAAAGCGGTCTCCCTTTGGCTCCCAGGCAAAGTTGATGACTGTGTCCTTGATGGTGTCGACAACCTCAACAGGGACGCCCTTCTCCTTGATGCGGAAGATCTCAAGAGTAGTGGCTTGGGACTTCTTTGACTTGGAGTGTCGGTCAACCTTGACAGCGAGATAGGTGGCGTCGGATTGCCAGTGTAGCTTGGCGTCGCTGACGCTGAAGAGGTTGAGAGATCGGACAACCTGCTTCGATGGTATGCTCATCAGACCGACCTTGGCGGGGTTGCTGCCCATCTCCGGCGTCCAGTAGCAGAAAAGCTGCTCGTACTGCTTGTTGCCCTCGCGCTGCGGTGTAGCAGGGGCCCACTCAAAGTCTACAACGCCCTCGATCTTGATGGTAGTCTTATCGAGCAGGTTCATGCGGGGAAGCTCATACACCGAAATCGACTGGCCGGGAATGAGTCTGGCAACGTACTTGTCGTCGGCGGACCACTTGAAGACAGGCCAGGAGAACTTGGGAGGAGCCTTGACTGCTCCGTCGGCAGAAGGGGCGGGAGTGTCGAGATTGGCAAAGGATCGCAGGGGTTTGCCAGTCTCGACTTCCCAGACAATGTAGTTCTTGCCATCATCGTCCAGAGACAGCTGGGGGTGGCCCTCCTCGGGTATGGAGATGGGTCTGTTGGACCATGTGACGAGGTACTTCTCGTTCGGGGAGAACGTGAGAAGGTTAACAAATGGGTGGGCGAACCTCTTTTGTCTCGACCAGGACTCACCACCCCAAAGCTGAACACCTTGTTGGTGGACCGATGTAAGGTAAGTTCCGAGCGTGGACCACTGAATGAAGGACTCGGTCCAGTGTTGTCTGTCGACCACATTCTCGGGGGTGTCCTTCTCGTTGTTCCAGAAGATACCGACAGCCTCGCCACGGTGCATGGCAAATTGGTCACGGCCACGACCGCTGGGGTCGGCAACGAAGGATCGGAGGTGCTCCTTCTCGACAAAAGGCTCGATCTTGGGAGGGGTGTACTCGTCATCGATGCGGCCCTCACGTCCGTATCGTTCAATGTCGGTCATCTTGTTTACTCTCATGGTGTGCTTCTTGTCGAGAGGGACCTGGTCAAGTTGTCGAGCGGCAGCGGCAGCCTCGGCAGGGGATGAGAACTCGACGAAAGCAAAGTTCATGGACTTTCCATCATCTCCCATGGGCATGAAGACATTCTCCTCCTTTGTCTTTCCAGCAGCGGCGAGCTTCTTGAGCAAAAACTTGACGAGCTTGGGCTTCTGCTCTTCGGTGACAGTCGGAAGTCCATCGATGACAATAAAAGTGTCGTAACCTTGGGTCAGTTGAACGTCAAAGCGCTCCCTCAGATCGGAAATATCAATCTCGCTCTCATCGTAATCATCGTCCAAATCTGCGTCGCGCAGAGTATCGAAAGAGGGCGCCATATTGGCGGATAATATGGAGTTGGACAGTTGTCTCCTATTGTCAAACAGTCAAAAAGTGAAAATCTGGACGTGACAAAAAACTCGAGTTGCAAAGAGGGGCAGGCAAAGCTCGACGGTGATAGGCCTTGCAGCTTTGGTGATCCAGGGCGCAACTGGGGGGGTTTGTTTGCCTCTCACCTCGTCGCGATCGGAACTTTGGTGGTGATAATTTTTGGCTTTGGCAGACTCTGTGGGAAGGTGGGGAATCCGTGCCCCGCGATTGCCAACCAAAAGCTTGGGCGGAATTTGCAGTTCAGGGATGGTTTCAACCGCCGATACCAGGAAGTGCTGAGAGGTTAGAAAGTTCGGACACCACATTTAGGCAGCAACCGTTTCTCAGCATGGCCCCGCCCTATCTTCATGGTAGTACACACATTCCAGGAACACTGCATCAAGTATAGGATCTTTGCTGTGTTGAAGTGACAAACTGAAGAGCGACATATTGATATTCAGTAATACAGTGTTTTGTGTAAGAAGCACGCACGTAGAGGATACCACCAAAATCAAATACATACAGCAAACCTGATCAGCTCGTCTAGAACAAGGACAAATATCGTGATGTATAATTTCAAGGCGCGAATCCCCTGAAGAATGCAGTCATCTGTCGGGTGTCCTAAACAACGCTATTAGTAGGGGGGTTTGCCCCACACCTGGCAGCAGCTGAGGGGAGGGGTATTCCTAGCTGCTAGCAGTGAATACTGACTCTGGCAGCTCGATAGGAGGCTGATTGGCCGTAGCGAAAAAAAAGTTCCCTGAATCTGGGACCTTCGGAGGCTTTGACAAACAGGAGCTTGCCGTTGACGCCTAGCCCAACCTACTCAACGGTGAACGTGGGTGTAATTACATATCCCCTGACTTTGGAAGCAGTCCCAAATCCTCAACAGCTACCCTCAGCATCCCAATCACATCACCCTTCGTCATGGTAAGTGCTCCTGCCAGAAAGCAACATGCTGAGCTAGCCGCACATATCCTTTGCTGCTCACGGCACCGATACGCTGACGCTTTAATGCATCATAGTCTTCCTTCAGCCCTACGCAGATCTTTGAGGAGGGCACAACCGAGGAGAAGGGCGAGAATGCTCGTCTTTCTGCCTTTGTTGGTGCGATTGCTGTCGGCGACCTGGTCAAGAGCACCCTCGGCCCCAAGGGCATGGACAAGATCCTGCAGTCCGCCTCGACCGCCGAGATCATGGTTACGAACGACGGTGCCACAATTCTAAAGTCCATTTCCCTCGACAACGCCGCTGCTAAGGTTCTCGTCAACATTTCCAAGGTCCAGGATGACGAGGTCGGTGACGGCACGACGTCGGTAGCCGTATTGGCAGCCGAGCTGCTGCGTGAAGCAGAGAAGCTTGTGGATAAGAAGATCCACCCTCAAACTATCATCGAAGGCTACCGGATAGCAAGCCAGGCAGCGCTGCAAGCTTTGGAAGAGTCGGCCGTTGACCACAGCAAGAACCCCGAAGCTTTCAAGAAGGATCTCCTTGCCATTGCTCGGACAACCCTGAGTTCCAAGGTTTTGGCCCAGGACCGAGACCTGTTCGCCAAGCTTGCCGTCGATGCTGTGCTGCGCCTGAAAGGCTCTTCCGATCTTAGCCACATCCAAATTATTAAGAAGGCTGGCGGCAAGTTGAGCGACTCCTACTTGGATGAGGGTTTCATTCTCGACAAGAAGATTGGTGTGAACCAGCCCAAGCGGTTGGAAAAGGCCAAGATTCTGGTCGCCAACACCTCCATGGACACGGATAAGGTCAAGATCTTCGGTGCCCGCGTCAAGGTCAGCTCGACAAGCAAGCTGGCCGACCTCGAAAAGGCAGAAAAGGAGAAGATGAAGGCCAAGGTGGACAAGATCAAGGCACACGGCATCAACTGTTTCATCAACAGACAGCTCATCTACAACTGGCCCGAGCAGCTTTTCACGGATGCTGGCATCATGTCAATCGAGCACGCGGACTTTGACGGCATTGAGCGTTTGGCCCTTGTCACCGGCGGCGAGATCACGTCTACCTTCGACCACCCCGATCAGGTGAAGTTGGGCCACTGCGATGTCATTGAGGAGGTCATCATTGGCGAGGATACACTTATCAAATTTTCTGGTGTCGCGGCAGGTCAAGCTTGCACTATTGTCTTGCGCGGAGCGACTGACCAACTCCTTGACGAGGCCGACCGCTCGCTACATGATGCGCTTGCCGTCCTTTCTCAGACTGTTAAGGAACCGAAAACAACACTTGGTGGCGGTTGCGCCGAGATGTTGATGGCCAAGGCGGTTGAGGGCGCTGCTACCCGTGTTGAAGGCAAGAAGCAGATGGCCGTCGCTTCCTTTGCTGTTGCATTGCGACAGCTTCCTACTATTCTGGCTGACAATGCCGGTCTTGACTCAAGCGACCTGGTTGCGCGACTACGAAAGGCCATCTACGACGGCATGTCTACATATGGTCTTGATCTCATGACTCCTGGCGGTGGCATCGCAGATATGCGAGACTTGGGTGTCATTGAGGCGCACAAGCTCAAGAAGGCGGTGGTGTCGTCAGCAAGTGAAGCTGCCGAGGTATGCATTTCTTTCTGACAAGCCTAAACGAAATCGTGACCAAGAGCTAACGTATTTACAGTTACTGCTGAGAGTAGACGACATCATTCGTGCCGCTCCGAGAAGACGGGAAAGGCAATGAGCGACCACGACATAAAGGACACAAGGTGACGAAAAAACGGGCGTCTGACCCATTGGGCGTATTATACCATAGACTTGTCATACCCAATAATGAGAAAGAAGAAAACTTCAGCCTGTCCTCAATTTTGATCACATGCAAAAGAACTATTTAAGGATCAATTTTGAGTACGCATGTAATCGCCATGACTTGCAACGGGACTAGGTTGTCTGCCCGTACCGAATGTGCTGATTGCAGAAGAACATCGATATTTGTTCTTTTACCTATATTTCTTTTCCTCTCTTTCTGCATAGGCACGCTCGCTGCACTGCTCGAGGGTTCGACGGCGCATCGTCCCCGTGAGTGTGTTGTCACAAAGAATGTTGATCAATATCACTGTAACCAGGCTTTACTGAGCCCAATTCAGGGTCTATCTCATATTATCTCATTATCATATACATGGTTGCTGGGTATAATAGCGGACGTCAAGCCTAGCCGCAAAAGCTCTCTCCCTTCATGACTGTGCAACGAAACCTAGCCCCTCTCTGTTGTCATCAATTAGTCGACCCCATTCCAACAGTAGCCGAAACATATAGACGCGCATGTCTTCCTTTCGAAGTGCTTTCTTGGCCCATTCGCCCCCCTCCCTTGCAATGACTTCAGCATGCTTTTTACCACCACCACTCAGATAAGCAACAACGTTCCACAGCTCGTTCAATCGCACATCGACGGGCACAAAGTGCCGCCACGGGTGTACTCGCTCCTCCCACCACGTCCGGAACAACGCGGCACGGTAGGGGAGCGATGCGCTCTTAAGGAATGGAATAAATCGACCACTAAAGGCGGCCCCGTCGAGGTCGACGAGATGTCTGAATTTCCAGTGCTCTTGAAAATCAACGGAAGGTGCTGGGTCCGAGTAGGCATTTCTGTAAAAGGTTGTGTGCTCAGCGGCGCAGTCACGCTCGTCGCAGCGCTCAAATTGACCTACGAAAGACACGTTTGGTGCAATGGGTGCATCGTTGTCCGAAGAGCTCTGAAATCCAGCACCAGAGGCGTGTGGGAAATCCAGAACAGATGTGCTGAAAAAAGCATTCAGCCTTTGTGCCAAATGCACAAAACGGGCACGTGTAAATGACTGCCAAGCCCCGTGGGCGGCGAAGCCATCGGAAGAAGCCCCGCGCCAGTAGAGACCATTCAACTTTTGGCTCCAGGGAATGCCCTTTTCATCATCGTACTGAACTTTGTCTCCAAAGTTCCAGGGATTTGGATACAATATATCGGCAAAATTATGCATACGACTCTGGCTGAAGACGGGAAATAGCGAATGAGTCGCCGCCATGGCTGCCGGGGATATAAGGAAGCCATGGAGATACGCCAGATCAGGTTGATGGCACAGATCGCCGGAGAGAGACCAGTTCGAAACAACGCCGTCTGCCATGTGTGGTGCAGAGCATCGAACACATATTGCTTTCCTATTCCACCAGTGCATTTTGTTGACCAGCGCATCAGAAGGGCACGTGGATGAGATGTACTCATAGAAAATAGGAGATTTCGACCAATTCTCAAACCATGGCGAATCCCTTTCCCACAGCGCCTCCAATTCGTCCTCGTCTTGAATGGCCAGATAGTCTCTCTCCCAAGGCGGATGCTGAGATGAACTAAAACCGTGAAGTTCGACTTGTGACGCTAGACGATTTTGCGACTTGAGACCCTCGGATTTCAGTGTGGTGGATTGAGCATATGGTATGGATACTCTACACTCATCATCAAGGTTGAAGGCGAGTTGCATATCGGGAAGCCACTGCGCAAATGGTTCAATCATGGTTTGCATAACTTCCATCATCCAACGGTGAGTCCCTTGTATGTGGGGCGAGATCTGAATACTGCCTCCCTCTATAATGATACCTCCAAATGAGCTCTTTGGATGGGTTAATAAATGAGTGGTCCTTTGCCTCAGAAGTTGTGGTGAGATGCCCCAGTAGGGCAGAAGATCGTTGTGAATCTGGGTGAAGTCATCAATGATGGGCGAATCCACAGAGACCGCGTATTCATACCACTTGTCGAAGTCAGGTGGCGGTGGCATTCGATACCTGCGGCTATACTCGCGCACTGCCTCATCAAGCGTTTTACTCTTGTGCGCCCCAGCAATCCATGCCTCTGATTGCAATTGGGATCTAGTGATCGCTTCACTAATGGAACTTTTCCGCAAGTTTCCCGAGTTGAGGAATATCGTCTGAACGAATACAAGAAGGAATACAAGTAGGGTATATCCTCCAGCCTTGCTTTTCCAGGAGGGGCCCTCTTTCGTTGGGCATGGAGCCATGAATGATGTTCTTGGTCGTCGGAATAGCGCACCTGCTCCAATGAATACGACTAGGCCAGTCAGGAGACCCCACGAGTTCGACCATGCCTCAATGAGTAGCCCATCAAGCACTTGCTTCTCCATATGGACCAGAACAGTGGTTGACATGGCAAACAAGGCAACCGTGGCAGAGTCGACGTGCCTTAACAAGTACACACCTGCAATTAATGCCAAAGACATGGCAATGCTGTCCCAAATGAGGTCGCCAACCGAGACAGACGTGAGGAAGAGGTTCCACCTGTAATTGATGGGGTCGAAAGAGGCGCAAAATGCCATGAATGACAGCAAGGCAGCCGAAGCCAGGAATACAGCGCCTATATTGATACTGATTCCTTTGTTGTCTTCCGAGGGCCTTCGCGCTCGCTCGACTTGAATGATTATCATGGCGTCGCAGCCCAGCATGACGAGCTGCGCCAAGGGTATTATTCGTTCCGGCATCGTCGGCGGACATATTGCATTCGTGCGTTGTTCCGTGAGAGAGAAGGTATCTGTTATGGCGAGACCCCAGATTAACGCAACGATGGTGTATACGCTTGCGCTCGAGAGGATGCCCTGGGGCCTGGTCGATTTACTGTCGTATACATTGCGCGGGAGTAATGTTACGTGTTTATCAAAAATGTTGTACGCCGATATGACAAACGGCAAGAAACTCTGTCCATGGTCAGCTTGCTCGTATCACAATGGCAGGAGCTGAAACAAACCTCAAGGCCGTCCCACGAACAATGGATTGTGCGGATAGTCCTCCAGAACAGAAGCGTTCGACATATGATGCAGATTGCCAAAAGTAGTAATGGCGCTGAAAGCAGTAACATGGACCGTAGAGCTCTCAGGGGTTTGTCGACTCGCTTATTAAACCTTGTGGCGGGGCGTTTGCTGCTGCCAGCGTCGTCTGCATATCGTAGTGGTTCATGATTTTCAGTGGTCTTGCCAAAGATTGTCTTGGCCCCCAAGGTGAGGAATATGCCGACGTAAAGAAGAGTTAGGATCGAGAAGTGTATAGGGCGTTCTGTGCGAAACCGGTTAGCTCAACGTTGAGGGAAGGTCTTGGCGCCATGCAATATGCAATGCATCATACCGAAAGCTGCACTCTTGTAGTATCGAGACGAGATGATTGCAGTTGAGAGTCCTAGAATCCTGCGCCGGGAGGGTGCCAAGTTAAATTGGAGGCGACGTTTTCAGGGTAGTAGGAGTGCTTACAGGAATGCAATGGCGTCATTCGTCCGCGGATGAGCCATGTTCCTTTGGCGCTGTACTTATCGCAGCCGCGGGCCTGCAGTGGGCAGCATCTAAAGTTCGGCAGCTAAAAGGGACAGAAGAAATTGTTTGTGGTGCAGAACAACGCGGTTCGAATGCGCACTCGATTGAGCACATTGCGACGAGCAGAAAACGCATTAATCGAGCAGGAGAAAAGTACATTTAGTCCGCTAGTAGTACCTCCTAGTAGCACGAGCGAACCACTTCTCCAAACTTGGAGCGGTTTTCACAGGCTGCGATCCATCCTCCATGATTATTTTTTTCTCTCTCGTGTCAGCACTGATGGGAGGTTCAAGTGCTGATCACAGGGCGGTGGGTCGGGATCCAATTACAAGACTTGAACCTTCCCGCGTAACGACCAGGCTAAAATGAAACATTGGTACCTGCTTTCCATTTGGCGCATGTAGTACACTTGAAAGATTCAATATTGATTACACACTACCGACTTACACTATTTACCTGACTTTGTACCTATCTCCAGTAGGTACAGCACTGAAGTGTTGTAGAACTGTGCATTATATAACGATCACACGTTTTATTAATGCTGGTGACATCCCCATGGTTAGTACTAAAACGCAGTCCCGCATTTTTTCTTGTTACGATCGAGATGCCTCCATGGTTAGCAAACATGCTAAACATCAAAAGACTGGGGCAATAAAATACTAATATGTGCTTTAACCTTTTGCTTTAAAGTAAATTGCAATATGAGGTAAATTGTGTCTCAGGAATTCAACGGAACCAAAGACATTTGCTAGGTACCTAGTCTTTGAAAATTACTAAACCTCTGACTTTTGGTCCTCGAACTCATCGTGGGCCAAGCATTCAGGTTCAGTGGGCAGGTACTTACTTTTCTATGCCCGTAGACAAGTGTGACGACGAACCAGGAAGATTAATATAAATTGGAATTAGCACCAGGTATATTCCTATTGAAACATTCAAAGTATGTGCACCGCTTGCACGTTGGCACGCATCAATATCAAAATCGATTTTCATTCAGATTAATTGGCAAACATGTTGAAATAAAGGCTAACAAGTGGCGGGTCAAGCGCAGTCCCTATCCACAAGCTCCAGTTCTCACTAAATTGGCCAAGCGAGCCAAGTATACTTCGTACATGACTCAGAGCTGCCTCAATTGCCCCCATAATTCCTCCACAATCCTCATGATCATCACCAGTCGATCGCTGCTCTGGGAAATCAATGATAAAATGAAACCAAAAATGGATCTTCTTCCAGTCGAATTGCTGCGTCAAATATTCATCCTGATTGCTGATGACAACAGCCACTTTCTTTTAGCGATATGTAGGGTAAACCGTCGGTTCAACAGGTTAGTTCCGTCTCTGGTTGACTGGTGAGAGAGCATCGTACTTTTTTTTTTTTTTTTTTTTTTTTTTTGGCTGAGCCAAGGTCTTTCTCGACAGAGTAGCATCGCCATTGCTTGTCCGCTCTTGGCGTCATGATCGTCATACCGACATAGTCGGATTCATCCGGCATCTTCTTCGAAAGCCCGAAATACGGACAGAGATCAGAGAGCTCAAATTCCGTTCTATTCTCAGCGAGGATGCATGGTCAAGAACTTGGGAACCATGGGAAGCGCCAATGTCGAATCATCCTTCTACTTCAACGGGAGCGCCGCAGATGCTCACGGGGTTTGACATGGCCGAGAAATCTGTTCTTGTGGAAACAATCTCCCATCATACGAGAAATTCAGACTCATTGATCCGGCAATTGGAGAAAGGAATCTCAGATGCTCTATGCGTGTTTCTACTTTTGTGGGCTATAAATCTAGAACATCTTGATGTGGCTCTTCCAGCGAATGGGGGAAGCCTCGAGATAATTCAGTGTCTAGATCCATTCCAGCCGGCACCACAATTGCAAACATTTGCATCTTGGGGGTTCCAGCGACTCGAGAGGGTATCCTTAAAGGGCGATTCAACGACACATTATGCCAATGGGCAGCATATTGCTCCCGTTCTACGCCTGCCTCATTTGACGACGTTGCGTTTGGCCTGGATATCTCTAGAATACCTTACGCAAGCTGAGAGGGGCAGAGGTATGGGCAATGATTTTCCGCGTGGCGCTTCATCACTGGAGACACTCGTCATCAAAAATTGCCGAGCCACTTACGCAGGATTGGCTGTCCTGACGACGGCTTGTCAAAGTCTCAAGCATCTTGATCTGACCTGGCACCGCGGACTCAGTAAATTGCTTCAGCCTGGGACAGAGCTGATTGGCGCCTTGCCACCCAGTATAGAAACCATCAAGTTTACTGACAATAATTCGGATTTTAAGACGAACCAATGGCTTTCGTTTTTCGTGGATATGATGGATCATCATGCTTCCATCTTCACCCATCTCAAAAATATCAACATGTGGGATATACCCATACAGAAACGATATTATGATCCATGTATTCAACAGATTGCTGCTAAATACAGCCCTGATGAGGCCTCCAAACTTCTTCTTCATGGTCAGTCCAGAGCAGCAGATATCCAGTCGGCATGCCAGCAACTAATAATACAGACCCCGAGTGCGATTCGGTCTATAAAATTCATGTAGCACGAGGATGCAGGTGCTACTGGACGCCAGAACAGCGTAGGAGGTATGAGAATAGGAAGCGCCGCGGGCAAGTATGAGCCCGGTGAGAGGGTGCGGCATGGGTCTCGGTTCTTCAGCATAACCCGACGTGTCGCTATTCTCGTGCTTGGTTTCCTATTTCTCTGCCGCTCCGCTGACTCAAGTCCCCCGTTTCCTCCTGTCTTAGCCGTCGAACTTCTCCTTCCGCTGCTTGACGTTCTCCTACATCAGCGTGTGTTAGCAATGTTTGTCGCCGGTGAAGACGTGGATCGGTCCCCGATTGCTCACGCTTGAACTTGCCCTTCTTAGGCTTCTTCTTCCCCTGGTGCTCACTACCTGTTGACTCCATCAAGTGTGACTGTCGCGATCGCTCCCATTCAGCCCTTCGAAGCTGCACTTTGCGTAGTGCGAGCTGGCCATATGACTCGGTGGGATCGGAACCATCATTTTGTCTTCTGAGGTGTTGGGTTTTATTCTGGCTGCCTTCACCATGGCCCTCAGGGTCTTGCCCTATCACAAGTAATGGCGATTGTTTTCGTCGCTGCCGAGTTTGACACATTTGAGTTGAACTTGGTTGTCTTGACTCTGCAGGGCGGCGTCCTCTCTCCTGCAAAGGCCATCTCTCTTGCCTCCACACGGGAGAATCTAGCTCCAAGTTCTCCTGCATGGCCTGCAGAGGCACTTCTTGTATGCGTGTATTTAGAGCGAAGAGTCTCGAATGGTAATCATGGCGCATCATGGCATCTCGCAACATCCTAGTATGCTGAAGGGCTTGCTGCATACCGTCGAGCAGATGGTCTATTTGCTGGCGAATACTCTCATGTTCTTGCAGCCATTTCTCGTTGTGTGGCCCCATTCGGAATGTGTCTCTGAGCTGCCGCTGCAGCTTCAAAATTTGATAAGAAACATAAGCACTCCATTGTCGAGCCGGGATAAATAGCGAATGAAACTGCTCTTGATCGGTCGGGTCGAGGTACGTTCCGCGTGGCATACACCCGAAGGCGATTGGCCATTGGGGTGCCACATGCTCTTGATACTGAATCGTTGAGAGGGCGGGCTCTGCAACGTCGGAGCCGTCGTCTTGATGCTCAAACGTTATCATTGTTGCTGCTGTTTCCGTTGTGTGCGCAAAAGGATATCTGAGCGAGATGCGGAGACCTTTTCACAGAGCATTAGGCCGTGACAATGAGTTTCGCGAGACGTGTCATGGCTAGCTAGAAACCATTGCTCCTGCAAATCTTCTCAATGGACTGGTTTCTGGCTCGAAAGTATGCGCGCTGAAGAACAAATATGTGTTTGTGACAAGGGCTTGCCCAATTCACACATGGGCAAGGTAATGTGTTGTCCAGCGCGCTTTTCGTGACGTTTGCCTTGTGGTTTGAATAACTTAATCATACTCAAGCAAACGCCTGAAAACCGCCAGATATGCATCGAATCGACCTTGAGACGAAAGATAGGGCGAGTGGGCATTTTCATTATGGAATCTCACGAGCAGAAAGTATTGTCTAAAACGCAGAAAGCCTGCGAAATGATACAAAGTATTAAATACGCATGATTTATCCCAGAGTATCGAAATGGGTTGTCATATTTTTTTATTCATATCTGCTAATGTTTGTTTTCATAAAAGCTTTTGTTCCTGGACATCATTATTATGTTGTTCTTTGCCGACTGCTCAAGTGTCGTTCATCTTCGTTTTTGCCATACGACCTCTATCACACCGTCGGCTTCACCAGTCGCTGGATTGCCATCCCAGACGTAGAGCTGATGTAGATTGCCACCGTCGGCGAAGTCGGCAGCTTTCAACGTGTAGCTCTTTTTCTCATCCCGGACCAGCTTCCTCCGCAAAGGTCCAATGCTGAAGTCAAAGCTCCTGCCGGCATTGGTCCAGGTGCCCTCCATCTGATTCAGATCGATATTCCGTACGTCATACAGGTACTTGACTATAGAATAGCCATTTGTGAAAATAGTATCGTCTTCAAACTGCCACCGCTGCAAGAAACAGTCTCCGCAGTAAAGTGCTGCTGCAGCCATGTCGACGACTGGGGCGTTGAACCAACTTTTCCAGTGATGGAAATTAATAGCTTCGACTCCCGATTCGAAGAAACCACTCGCATCATCTTTCATGTCTTGCTGGAATAAGCCAGGCAGGGTGGTCAACTTTGCCTTGGAGTTACTGTATACACAGTCTCGTATGATGATGTCACCCTCAGCCATGGTAGCTCCAGATATGCACTCGTGGATGTGGTTTCCCAATGTCTTTGCGAGTGGCGCTGACAAGTACACTCCGGCACCACCGAAAGCCATAAAGCCAAAGGTCCGTACGGCCTCAAAGTCCTCTGATAGTGCCCCAACATATTGGTCCTGGGTGTGGTCAAGTTTTGCAAGCGCATCAGACAATGGCTTTAATCCACGGGGAACTGTGTAGAGAAAAGGTCAACATTAGCAATGGTTGATGTTCAAATAGAGGTTGACGTGATGGCGCGCTTACAAAATGTGTCATCGTCTAAAAGCCCGTACCACTGCGCTTCAGGATTGCTCTCGAGCATTTGCGCAAGAACTGTGAAATGAGAATGCGAGACTGTATACGTCTCGCGGAGTGGCCGGACCAGCTGTACGTTGATATCTGCATCACGAAACTCTTCTAGCAATGCCTCAATTTCCACGTCCTTGTATGAGGAATAGTCGACGAGAAGGGCGACCAGTTTTGCGCCCCGGCCCCCCGGCCGCGACAACCAATGCGCAAAAGCGTCAATTGATTCTTGAAGGCGCTGGTAGTCGGTTGCGACACCAAAAACCAGATGGGACACATCGTGGTGTTTATCGTATGGTTCAGGTACTTTAAGCTGAACTCGGGTACATTCGGGCACCTGGGCAGATTCGCATTCGTTGATGTTCACTGTGGCTTCGCTACCGAAAAGTGAGGTGGGGAGACTGGTGATGGCATGGCGATCAACATCTGCCGAGAAGATGGGCTCGAGGCAGATCCTCTGGTATCGCACCTTTTCGGTCAATTGCTGCTGGGAGTGGACGCTTCGAAGGAGTTTGAGATCCTCGCATGGCCCCAGGGCAGCGGCTGGGCTTTGATGTTGGTTGTGCGCATTGTTGTTGTTGATGTCCTGTTGCTGCTTCTGCGGCCCAGGTGTCGTGGACGCGCCAGGCGCTCCGACTCCTTCTACCACAGCAGCTGAATCAGCGCTCGTTGCGCCGGTTGCGGGTTCGCTAGCAACGATTGGAGAGCCGCTACCGCCACCATATCCACCAGCAGCAAACGGCTTTTCGACAATAATTTTCTTGGATTCCTCAGGTGTCGTCGCTGCCGCGTGAGCCGCTACGCGCTCATTTGGTGTAGAATGATCGATTGGCGGCGGTAGAGGATATGCGTTCTCATCGTTGTAGTAGAAGCGGTTGGTGCTCAGAAAGAGGAAGATTAGAATAAAGCCAGCCAGAAGGAAGACGCGCGGCACCTTAACAAAGGTAGCCATGGTCAGGGCGAGGATCGGGACCGCATCGCAGCACAGCGCAACGAACGGTAGGTGGACGTTGAGGGTAGCAGCTGCTGGATTGGTGGGCGTCGATAGCAGCAGCAGCAGTAGTAGTAGCGACACGGGATTAAGATGTATTATAACGAGGAGAGGAACGAGGAGAAGCTTCTCAGGTAGGAAAATGCTATTAACTACCTACTATTGTGCTAGTTGATCATTGTGGATGTCATGTAGCCGCCATGCTTCCAAAGGGAGATTTGTGAGATTCGTCACCCCGGTGCAAAATGCAAGCCTCTCCTCCAGTCATCAATCCTTCCTGGTCGATGGGGAAGTGATGATTCGATGGGTAGTCGCTGAAGGTAATACGACTAGGTACGTGTGTACTAACCTTGGGAATGTTGGCGCCCATTATTGATGTAGACTGTGATTGCCAGCCCACTAACCGGTACCCCCGTCCGCGAGTCCGGGTAGTATTGAGGCGACGAAACGACGGGAGTACCTCAACTGAAAAAAAGATATTCGGCGCTAGACATGCCACCTAGCTGTTGGTTTGCACTTTTTAGCTACATGATCGCCCAGTTAATTTTGGTTCTTTACAGAATTCTGTAGCAAGCAAGCAAGCAAACAAGCAAGCAATTCGGCCACGTGCTTCATGCGCAAGAACTGTTGCATACATCTTATGATGTGTAGCTTCTCCGGAAGTTGCTATCAATTAACACGGTGACACACATATCCTGCGACGAAGCCTATTGAATCAAGCTCTTGAGGTACATATGTTCGAGGATTGATTGCTGCTGCTACTGCATGGCGAGTGCAACCCTCTCCGCGGCGCAGTCACCCCCAAGTCCCCCCTGGCCCCCAAGGAGAGTCGCAGAATCGCCCAACGCGGCCGTCCTGCCAGGCTGCCAGGCCAGGGCAAGCAAGGTGCTCCATTTCTCGACTCCGCCGAATACATCATGATGGAGCGATGAAGGATCCACCTGTCACTTATCTTTGGGGCTGGTCATATGGGACTACTCATTGGCATTTTGTATACGCGGTACTTTTCGCAATAAGCTCATAGGTGAGTAAAGAACCTTGGCGAGAGCCGAAATCCTTATTACTCCTGATGCATCACTGCACCATATCATCAGCTTTGGATTTTCTGCCCCCTTCGTACCTGTTTACGCATTATCTTGTGATCCCTTGTCAGCAAATACAACCTCCAGCCAGACGGCAAATGTATGTAGTGTATAAATGGGTGAATATCGGGTACAGACATGTGGTTCTCCGTCCCGCAGTATCTTTTCGTTTGCGAGCGCGCCACAAAGCCATCATTCCCGCCGCACCCTCTGCACCCTTCCCCTGCGAAGCCGAAGCTGTATAATGTCTTCCACCACACTGTGCGACGTTGCTTGCTGCCACGTCTAGGCGCGAAACAGCCTTCCAATGATATCCACCTTGAGAACTATACCGGCAAGATTGACTCTTTGTTGCAACTTACTTCCCGCAGCCTTGCAGAGGGCGTTTGGTCTGAAGCCCTTAGCAGATTGGCCTACACATCTGACAGTTTTCAAGTTAAGAAACATGACCAAGACTAGATAAGTAGCTGATTGAAACTGTTTTCGTTTCCTAGAATTGTCAAACAGGCGCATTGAATACTATAATCGGGGCGTCTTCAGCTTCGAGCTGGCGGTATGCCACGCCGGCTGCTGCTGAGAACAGTTCGAGAGCGGGATGAGGCCATTGACAGGTGGTGAAAAGCTGGGTCGAACTCTATACGTAGGTGCAATGCCATCTGGAGGCTACATGAAAGTTCTGGCTTTGCTCCCAGGAATATTCGCACCATATCACAATCCGACTAGGCACTCATGAACGGGCATAATTCATTATTCCCGAGCCTTACTAGGAAAATGAGAGGCGAAGAAGAGAATCCAGTGGATTTGACAGATTATTGCTTTGGGCTGTGTCACTTCCGATCATGTCAGGCGCCAATACCAATACTCAGCGGTATCACATTGGAAGACATCACACCCAACCGGCGTTTGTGGCGCCGTGCACATGCTTATTCAATTTGTGCGGACCAATGTAGTTGCTAGGCGAAATAGCAGTTCTTATCAATTGGTCAAAGGGTGAGTTACTCAGAGTGTGTCATCGCAGTGTACTGCACTAGTCTCCATGGCAAATATTGAATTACATGATGCCTTGAAGTATCGAGCTTCCACGGCACACATTTCAAACCGATACATTTCATAACGGGCTGATTTGCACATGCTCACCTAGAAACTTGGGTGACACCTCATAAATTTCGAGCCACCCACCTTTCTTTGTACATTGCAGGAAATATTCATGCCCAGGTAATTGATTTGAAATGGCTTGACACGAACCTAAATAAAAACACTATGCACGGCAGTATAAGCAGCATGTACCCGTATTTCTGCCCTGGAGAAGTCAACACCCACAACATCACTCAGCTGAGTTTCTTGCCTTCCATATATGCTCTCCAGTCTTCGGGAGCAACATACTCCTTCATGAGCCCATGCTTTCCTTGCCACGCCGCGAGAAGCGACAAGAATGCCTGGACTTTCCAAGGAATCCACCATCTCAGTGGCCCAAGCCACCATGCGCCCGGAAACATGATTACACAGGATTCCGACTCATGCCTAAAAGATTTCATGTTATCATGCTAGGTTGCATAGTATGAGGTGTACCTACAATCCAGGTATACTTTCAGACTGGGCAGACTTACTGATTAATCATGATTTGCGGAATATCCATTTTCACCTTTTTCTCAGTAATGTCACTGATGTACCGTAATATGGTCGTGAAAAACGCATTGTCCATCATAGGAGGGAATGGTCCTTCCGGAGTTGCCCAAAGAAGCAGGACAGAATCTTCTGTCGCCTCAGGAACTGGCCAAAAGCTATGAGGCGTCCAAGGCTCGATATCATGAGGGTGATATCTGGTCGACTCTTTGTCATGCACTTGATCCTTTACAGCCCCAATCATACCGTTCTGTGGTGTTGATGTGGTTCCAATCTGTCCTGATAGGATTGCAAAGGACTCAGTTTGGGTAAAGTGTATGTGTAAAGGTGGCGACTATCGAAGGCTCAGTGTTGGACTTCGTGTTGGATTTTGTGAAACAAACCTGAGGGTGACCCTTGCCCTTCTTACACCAATGGTGACCATGTTTGTAGGTTGCCTTGAAAAGAGTACTACACGCGTAAGTAGGATGAAACTGCAACACATTACTTGAGCCTTACGAGGCATGTCGTTGTGGATCTGGCTGGAGGAATTCTATCTCAAACGATCCATCAAACAGAATAAAGGGGCCAGCCACTGTTCTTTCAGATGGCAAAACCTCGCAGAGGGGGTGAGTGCTGAGTTCCGGCATTTTCAAATGTGAATTGTAAATTACAAGAAGAGAACGTAGCAAGATATCAAATGCGTGTATCAGAACCGGCGAGATCTATGTTGGAAACAAAGAGCGGGCGACATGTTCTCTAATAACAGCCACCATGAAGGTTCTTTCTTAGTGCTGACTTGGTGACGATGGGCTATCTCAATGCCAGGTATATGATCTTGGATCAATCCAGTGCGGGCGCCGAGAACATCAGCACTAAGTAGCTCCACGAAGCTCCAGACTCGGGAACTAGCACCCAATTCAGGTAAGCCTTCTATGAATAGTTCACAGCCATGTCTGCCAGGCTATACGCCGTATGATCATTCGCACAGGTGGTGAGCTATCCAAGAGTTCTAGGATTGGGCTCCAGCAGAGACACTTAGGATACAGAACTGGGATCGCAAAGAGCTATGTTGGGCAAGTAGCATCAGGTACACTTGTATATTTCACCCCCACACTGCGAAGTCCTAATTATATCATCTGATTTGATGCTTTCTGGTTCGAATTTGTCCATACCGGCAACAAATCCTTTCTTGGGCCAAACAAGGTTGGGAAATCACCATCACCTTATTGATCCATCTTGATGCGCTTTGCTTGTGATTCCTCCACACTAGGAGATAACTCGGCCGCCTCGGCTGGCTGTCTTGCGCTGTTCGTGTCGGCGCGATTCAAAGACATTTCCTCTGAGAGCATTTCATTGTCTTCGCTGTCATTTTCGGGATTCTGATCGTCATATGTAACAGCAACTTCCGTACCCGGGATACTATTGGAGTCAGCTGGCATTCTCCCGGCACCACGGGATTGAGAATACTCACTAAGCATGCTTGACATCATCTATAGGAGCCAGACAGCCCGGCGGAAGATTTATATCTTCTTCGAGACGTATCTCCAAGATAGGCTCAAGAGCGTATCGGCATGAATAGTTGAGAATTGTGTTACATCGTTCCTGGGCCATGCCTATCATCTCGTGGCGGATGAAGTCCACATTAAGCCATCCGCTGGTCGGCGGGCCAAAGTCTCGATCCCAGTCAAATGCTCGGTCGTTACAAAATCCGTCCGTAACACGGCACAGTAGCTGACGAATGAGTTCGAAGCATCGTATACCTGCCTCCCAGTCCTCGAGCTGTGGAGGCACCCATATTTCATGTTGTCTGGCAGAACGCCAGTTCACATCTCCGCAGCCGAACAACTGTCCCACGCGAGAGGCCACACGGGAGACGCGTTCTTGTCCCTCTGCAGAACGAGACGCATCGACCACGGCAAAGTCGGTGACCGTGTCATAATCAATGCCCTCGTCTGAGATACAGAGGTGCAAAACCAGCGTAGACCAAACACCCGCATCACTCTGCACGGGCCAGAAGATAAACTCCTTTTGTCGAACACTTTCCCAAAAGTCCTTCGCCTTTTGCGAGCCAGCAGTCCTAGACTTCTTCGAGATGTGTATTTCAAAATCCTCTTGGCTTGTGTTACCAAAAAGCTCGTCAGAGAGCGTCGGACCTGGTATGATGACTTTGGCTTGGACAGACTCTGGGGCAGCATGAAGCAAAGACTGAAGAACATAGGCTAAGCTGAGCGGATGGACTGGTGCGTGACGTCGTAACTGTAAATCGTTGAGGCCAAAAAGCGCATCGGAGACTTCGTCAATGTCATTTGGTAAAAGGTTTGGCGCATTGTTTCTTGGATTGTGCGATTTGGCTTTGCTGTAAGTTGCAAGCTCGCCGTTACATAGCACTGAGGTGGTTCAAGTTAGTTACAATTGAGAGATGGGTCAGGTGGTGCTCAAGTACCGGTGAAAGTACCAAGACCCAAACATAATGTAGCTCAGGCAGGATATTGTCCTGTTCTAAGGGCCACTTACCTCCTGTACGTACGAGTCTGATGTTTTCTACCGTGCCGGCTGTATCAGCCTTGGCTCTTGGGGCTTTATTCTCTTTCGGCGACATTGGTCAGCAATGGTCCAAATCGATGAGTCTATGGAAAACACGTGCTGAAGTTTGCGCCTACACAGTCAACAGCAATGCGACTTATTCATTCTATTTCTGTCAGTCTGGCTGAATGGTTTCGACTTCAATATGAATATCTTTGCCAAACCATGTCTCAACTGACTTGCTGCAAACGGTCGATTGCTTTGTTGCGACCGCTCAAGGTGGTCCTTTGTGCCGGCCCATCTCAAGCACAGAACAGTAACCAGTCGCTAGTCCATAAATAATTCTTTATTGAATGAAATATGTTTTGATATGCACGATGAAAGTAAGTTAGCCTAGATATGGCGATAAATATATTGATTATGTATTGGGGCACAAGACAACCTCCATTGGTCTGACGACTGACGCTGGCAGACCCTAATTTCCCCGTACAGCGCCTGGCACAATGATCCGGTCAGACTGCAAACATCGAATGTGTTGAATATTTTCTTCATGCCCGCAGATATTCGCATACGCTCTTTCCCCATCGCACTCCACCTTTGTATGTCCACATTCCCTCGGCGTTGCCTGTCTTCAGCCCCTCGATGGCTTCGGCGAGTTGTGGTCCAAGTCCCTCCGACTTGATATCTGCAAGGGGATAAGTATAGGTTTTGAATGAGAATAGTAGAGCTCTGGTGCGCGGTAATCGGCTGAGTGTTTGGAGTTCCACTCTCAATCTTGCCTTGTCTATTGTTAGTAATTTTATTTCCATTATTATTCGTTAAAATTTCGACTCTCACCTGAGATATATCTACATCTATGTCCTCCTCGACAACGTCACCTTCTTTAACGTGATTGGTACTCAGATTAAGTAGTTCAGGACTTGTCGTGATGGACCACTAAGTGAGAATTCGTATTAGCCCAGCTGTCCTGGATTTGTTACAGAGACCCTAAGGCGGCTTACGTTGGTGCGGACAGCATTCTTTCCCACCTCCACCCGACTGAAGTACCGTTCCATACTTGGACCGATCTTTTCGTAAGCTGGGACAGGCTCATGAATGTCCTTCATCAATTTGCCAATTTTCTCACTTGGGTCAAAGCCAGATGGACTTGTACACATCCCTCCAACACATCTGTGTCCCTCTGTTTCTTGTTGCAAAAGGAAGAGATCATCCTCGATTGTCTGCCCAAGTAGCCTGAGCGCCTCGAGGGGGTCAGAAGGCGGCTCCAAAGGCAACGAGGCACCTGTGACCTGGTTGAGAAACTTCTTTCCCTCTTTCGTAAACATACTTGGGTATCGCGCCGGCAAGTAGTCGTTCAGGAGGTATTCATATACCTCATACAGTGGTGCAACGCCTGTTGGGAGGCACCCAAGTACCCTATCGGCGTGGTCTCGCAAGGTCTCTTGTCGGATCTGGATTCGAGAAAGATAATTACAATCAATAGTGATGAGCTCAGATGGATTTGCTGTCCTTATGCCTGGTCCCTTGAGTTATTGATGGAAGATTATGAAGATATGTGCGACTAACCCATAGTTATGAAATATACGGGCTTGAAATTGCGAATCTTGAGAGGCTCTATGGCCTCCCACTCAAAGGACGGCAAAGACGTAATCTTGTCTGCATTCTTTGAGCCCCCATCCGTTGTCGTTACACGATGCTGGTGCGATGGTCAATAAAATGTTGCTTATGGGGTCATCTGGCCTGGGCTTACAACTTTCAATAAATTGCCCGTACGTCCCGACCTGACAGCTAATACTAACAGGATCAAGACGAAAAGTATCGTTGAAAAGATTACAGTTGCTGCCATCGTTTTGTCTGGAGACCCCGCAAGCAAATGCCCCAGTCCTCTAGTCAGCGCGCCGAGCAGTAGATATACCTTGCGTAGTCGGAGGCGACCACTGCGGGGTCTAGTTGACGGGTACCCAGATAGGCCAGTCAAGTGTGCTTGGTCCGGCTAACACTGCCATTTTTAGTAGTAAAGCAAGATAGCATTATCTCTCTGCATTCTAATCATCATATGTGAACTTTCTCCCTTGTAAACAGGATGATCGAGGCACCATCAGGTCGTGTTCCTTCGCATGTGCGTCCAGATCCCACGACGCCCCCGCGCACGAATCGACAATCCTAGACAACACGGGGAGATTCATACCGAACACGGCATGGCTGACTCAAGATGAACTCAATGTTTTGAAATCTGACACCATGGAGTCGAAAATTCTACCAACAAGCTGATGCTCATCCTTCTCTGGCACTCCGATTGCACCAGATTGCCAAGTCACAGCGCAGATCAGGCTGCCTCCTTGGACACTGACGACGTTGAACGTAAGCGGCGAGCCCACCATATCTGCAGGCGATACGAACACCATTTTGGTAATTTTGCAATTTATATCGCTCGTGGTCTCAGGAAAAGAAGTCAAGTTGCTGATCTCATATGAACTGTCTCTTTTTGTTCCACGCTTTCCAGTAAGATAACTCCGGATCTTGCGAGTCAAATTATATCAGCCTCTTGGTTCATTCTCATAGTTGATGATTGAATTCGAGATGTTTGGAAACTTACACTAGGAGCATATCTGAGTAGACCTATAGGCTGATTTGTAAGGTTCACTGCACTTTCGGCAAACTCCTCGGTCATTGATCGGGCTGCTCTCCAAGATATATCCGCCAAATCACCCGACCCGTGCTCCCTTGGCAGTTGTGCATAATGTGCAGTAACATATAAACCCATCTCGTTCTGGGACACGTCGATGGATGCTCGCATATTGACAGCTGTCACTCCAGCGAAGTTGGTTGCTTCAGACTCTGGAATAGTCTTGCTTAACGCTCGAATAACCACTTGATGAAGTAACCCAGTAAACTTTGTGCCATTTCTTTTGCATGTAGACAGAACTTTCCACAGTGTCGAATTGTCGATTTCCAGCAGTTTAATCTGGGTTGAAGAATGCTCGGGCTCAAAGAAGATTCTTTGGCCAAGCCAAGTGCCTTCATCGACTGTGCTGGCCGCTGCGCGAAAACCGAAAAGATTCGCAATGCTATACGGCAACATTACGGCCAGTATAGGCCGCAGCAGGTAACCCCATGAGATGGGAAGTCTTTCAGCCGTATCGAAAGCAGGAGTAGTTGTCTGCATCGGGATCTTGAATATTTTGGATACTGCTGAAGTATGTTTCATCGGCTGCATGGCTTTCAAAAAGGTGCGATGAAAAGCAATCCCTGACATTCCATCACCGAGTCCGTGCGAATATGAAAATGCAATGAAACATCGAGGTGATTTTTGTGTCGGCGATAAAACCAGAGGATATACAAGAATGCGCCACGGCGGTTTATCCGACTCTTGTAACCATGACGCATCGACGCATGAAGTCAATACCGCTTCGAGAGCTCGAGTTTCATCCAAGCTATTCGGGCCGGCTACCCTGAGTTCATCGCCAATGATGACATGAGCTTCGAGGTCAGCTGTGTTGGCGCGCTCACAATATGGCTGATCAGTCTCTTGAGCTTTAATGACGACACTCAGAGATGGATGCTCTTGGATGCAGCTTTGGAGCGCACCGTAAAATGAACAAGGATTGCCAAGATCAATTTGTTGATTGCAAAAATCATACACAGCGCCGACAGATACTGAGTTGTAGTAACCCAGGTTTTCTCGGATTATCGTACGCCGCTCGTTTGGGCCTTTTTGCGAAAATTTTAGTCAAGACCTGTGTCCAAAAGATGCATACATATGTACGTAGTGCTGGTATATAGAGCGACTTACTTGCATATCGGACAAATGTCTCTTCTGCCATTGATTTGCGATACATTTTTTTTTAAACTACTCTGATATGCGATGTCGCAAAGACAGCTATCCGGCTTGCTGGCTTCACGTCACGGCATCTAATGGAAGTGAGGTGACAAAAAGAAACGTCCCTACCGGTTGCTGGTGATGCCTGTGCTTGAGAGCAGGAATTGCTCACAGGTGATTACCTATCTTGCGCAGGTCAGTGCTCTCATTGATTGCTCTTCCTGTGCTGCAACGTGCCTCAAAAGCGACGATCAAGGGACTTTAAAGAACAACAAAGGTCTCGCAAAGACGTGAGGTCGAACGAAGAGGAGGTCGGGGCTTTAGTCGCGCAGTTCATACACCTGGGCAGTACCGACCAATTGCCGTGCGTTGTGGTTGGACGTTGTGTGAATTGATGACTGCCCACTGACACGAAGGTTACTGTGTCGAGCCTAGTGACGCTGATTCTCGCCTAGGATTGCGGTACAAAACCCCGAATTCCCGCTAGAACTTTGGAGCCCCAATGTCGCGGAGTTCCGCTAACTGCATTGTCACCTTCTTAGGGTGAGATACCCAGTATGACCTCCGTTGAAAAAGAAAGAAAAAAGAATGTGCAGTTTTCAACATGCCAAGCCCTTGAATAAAATCTAATTCAAGTCTATATGTACTTACAAACTTTTAAGTATCCTCTCACGGTTACCATCGGATTCCTTCGACAACCTGATATCTGGAGCTATGCTTTCAAAACCATGAGTTACCCCTGGGTATAAGTGAAACTCAACATCAATGTTCGCACGAGCAAGCTTGGCAACAAATGCTATCGTTTCGTCTCTAAAAAGATCAAGCCCACCAACTTCGACATATGTTGGTGGCAACCCCTCCAGACTCTGGGCTCTTCCAGGAGCCGCATAAATTGGGATTTTGTCGTCTCTCTGGTTTCGATCTCTTCCCCCAAGATACGCCCTCCAGCCCATATCGTTGAGTCGAACGTTCCAGTTCACGAATTGTGTAAGCGCGTGGTCGTCCCCAAAAGTAGTACGGTCATCAAGCATGGGGTACTGCAGAATGAGTCTAGCGATTGGGTAGTCGAATGGTTTGTCCCGTGCGAGAAGTGCTGCTCCTGCTGCAATCCCACCACCAGCGCTCGAGCCAAAGAGACCTATCCTTGCCGGGTCAACATGTAGACTCGTAGCATTCGACTGAAGCCATTGTATCGTGGCCGACACATCCTCCACTGCGGCAGGGAAAGGATGTTCCGGTGCAAGGCGGTATTCTACAGCGAATATCTGAATACCGGAAGCTTGAACTATTTTCTCGATTGTGTGCCTGCAAGTTGCAATGGAGCCAGCAATGAGTCCGCCTCCATGCACGTACACAGCGGCCGGCTGTAACCCCAGCGGCTCATGGACGATTGATGGCTCAAAGCGGTGGACTGCTATCTTGGTACCATCAATAGATACGATCTCATGTTTTCTTTCTTTGATTGTCGGTATGTGCGGAATCGCTTTCACCTTCTCCAAAATGAAAGTATCATGCATTTCACGATGTGCTTTCGGATCGTCCATGACAGGCAGACTCATTCCGGCTGAGGCCTTTGTCGCCTCGAGGAACTCGGTATTGAAGCTTAAATTGGCCATAATGAGCTGAGCTGAGTTGATATTATGGTAAAGAATAAAGATAGCCGAAATCAGATTGTTGGGTGTTGACGTGCTCAACCAAGTAGCGAGCAGATAGGTCACCTTACTATACTGTACAAACTTATAACTTCATGGGACCGCGCAGGAGATCACGGCTATTCCGGACGGCTATCCCGGAAGGCTAAACCATTCGGAATCACCGGCAATTAACCAGTCTGGACTGTTGAATATATATTCCATCTTTTTGAGACATCCTGCCCTAGGAGCAAAAATGCTCATTGGAAAGATTCATCTCAATATATCTCACATGAGTGTCTCCCAGCTAATGCTTTATCAGGGTGGCCACAAACTCAAGTCTGCCTTCGGGTCCGGGTCCCGTCTCGTCTCATGCTGCCTCCTCAACTATCCTATACAGTGGGGCTTGCACTTGGCAACCTTTCCCCCAGTTCCGATCCGATGCATATCTATCAATCGGGATGTCGACTTCTTGCCTGCAGCCACTGGGTTTCGGCAGATGTCAAGTATCGACGCTTCAAGAGGGTATGATAAGCCACAAATGGCGATAGAAGTGATTGGCCTCTTCTGGTCCTCTCTTGGTCCAGCCTTATCTCTTTATGCCAAATCAGGCTCGCATCTCCAGTAGAAAGTGTTGTATTTATGCATAAAATCATCATCAGCCCCCGAAACAATCGGCAAGGCACTATCCAACTTACCAGCAAACTGGACAACCGTGTTTTTTTTTTTTTGTCAACTGAAAAGCACCTGCTAGACATGGACGATACTGAGAAGAATGTCGTCATCACAGACTCATCGACGGTACCGAGTGACAAGCCGCAACCCGACGATGAAAACATTTACATCGATCCTGTAAAGGAGCGCCAACTACTTTGGAAATGCGACTTGCACCTGACTTCACTTCTCACACTCTCCTTCTTGTCCGCATATCTTGATCGATCAAACATCGGAAACGCTGCGGTTGCTGGGATGCTGCCAGATTTGGGCATGAGCAGTCAGGATTTAGCAAGTATGGTTGGTCGTTGAAAATGCTTGGGATCAGTGGTTAACTTTACACAAGATGCCGTCCTGATGTTTTACGTTACCTACGTTCCCTTTGAGTTACCTGGGTCACTTCTTGTGAAAAAGATACGGCCTAGCAGATTGCTCCCGATTTTTATGTGGGCCAACATTAATTCCCCCAAGGTGGCATGACTAACAAAAGAGCCAGGTTGGGTTGGAGTTTGACTTGTTTGGGGACCGGATTCATGAAGACAGTGCCTCAATTCTATGCCTCTCGCCTACTGATTGGGTTTTTCGAGGCTGGGATGTACCCGGCGCTTGCCATTACTCTCACGTAGGCCTGCTACACTTGCTCAAGAACCGAAGAGCCAACGATATTGATTTTTTCTCTAGTACATTCTACACGCCTCAGGAGCAAGCCCGGCGCTTCGCATATCTATATCTGTCCGTGGGTCTGAGTGGTGGGTTTGGAGGACTCTTCGCTTACGCGCTTCTCAAACTTGACGGTGTACGAGGCATCGCTGGATGGTACGAGATCCAGTTTCCAAGATTTTCCCCAAGACTGACATTGGTCCAGGCGATGGCTGTTCATTGTAGAGGGAATTCTGAGCGTGTGCATAGCCTTCCTCCTCTGGCTAGGCATGCCAGATTCTTTCGAAAACGCAAAATTTCTGAATGAAGAAGACAAGGCACTAATGCGGCTAAGAACAATCAAGCATGATCGCTACATGAGACTCAACGAGTCGTTCGACAAGAAGGAGGTATTTAAAGCATTCAAGGACAAGAAGCTCTGGCTGGGTGCGACCATCCAGTTTCTTGGAGACATATTGTCTTTCGGCATTTCGACCTTCTTACCGTCTCTGGTCAAGTCCTTCAAATTTGACTCTGTCTTGACGCAACTACTGATAGTCCCTGTATATTTCTGGGCTGTTGCCGTCTACATTGCTGTATCTGTCTGGTCTGACAAGGTTCAAAAACGAGCCATCTTCATGATACCTGGAGCACTGGCAGTCATTGTTGGCTATGCCATTCTGTGCAGCGTGCCTATGAAATTGAAAGGAGTACTGTACTTTGCGTGCTTTATAATAGTACCGGGAGTTTATGTAAGTCCCAAAAGACAACACTCATATATCAGATCGAGGGGCTAACCGTGTTTAGTGCATGCTGGGACTGAATTACGTCTGGATGTTGAACAGCCATGCAGGTTATGTGAAACGTGCAACGGCAATAGGCCTCAACATGACGATTGGAAACTGTGCCGGACTGGTCATTGGGCAGATCTTCAAGAACACAACCTCGGAAGGGCGGTATCTGGTAGGGGAGGCTACGTCTCTCTCAGTTTCCGCAGTTTGTGTATTTCTCATCACCGGGCTTTACTTCTACAAGCGTCGGCAGAACCGAATCAGGGATGGCTTGACATATGACGAGAGACAGTTGTGGATAGACCAAGGAAGGACGGGAGATGCGCACCCAGACTTCAGATATATCCTATGACCGTTTGGGGATAGGATGAGCTACGCAGGTCCATCATGTCTCGTCCCGTTGGTGGAAGGGATTGACACCGTTGGATCGAGTAGAAGACAAATACCAGTGGTTATCATTAAGCATCTCGATAGAACGGTGATATGCATGAAAGAAAACATGAACTTGAGAATCATCTAGAAACGTACAGGTATGTAGGTAGAAATTACCTAGGGGAGCGTCTCGCCAATGAATAATTCCTTGGCCAACAAATACTAAGAGCACAAATCTTGGAGCTGTCAGAAATCTGACTGAACAGCATGATTTAATTACATGGCTAACCTACCTAACCTAGGTGTTTGCGTACATGTCTTAGCGGGTGTGGCAGTTGGAGCTCTCAGCTCTCCGACGCTACCTTTCTGGGGCACGGGTCTATTGCCGCCAAGGACTCTCCTTGTTCTCCCCCACATGTCGACTTGTACCAGGCACCTAGAGCAGGAGATAAGAGGCTGCTTGGTTGACAAGTTAGTGTATGCCCTCTCATCAATTAATACAGCTCCCATGTGTCGCTTTTCGCAGATTCGATATCGATATGGAGCGACATAGAAAATCCAGGACAGGCTGTCAAACATGCAAAATCAAAAGGGTCAGTGGCCACATGAAGCCTATGGCAAACAAACTGACTGTCATGGTCTAGGTTCGATGCGACGAGACCAAACCAGAATGCCAGAACTGTCTTCAACAAGGTCGCATTTGTCCTGGCTATCAAATATCCCTTTCGTGGTCCACCAAGCATGAACGTCCCAATGTAGTGCGAAGAGGAATAGGCAAAGACGGTCCTTTGGATTTTAAACGACTCGCATTAGTCGCATCCTCTGCCATCGAAAATGCATCGAGCCTGCCTCAAGAGTGCACAACTATCATCCCTTCTTCAAGCAGAACGGCGCCTACCATAGAAAGCTCACTACTTGGAGCGACCAATCCGCACATTGGCCATATTCATGCCGGTCTGTCACAGTCTCCATTGCAAGGACAATCGGAGTCGTGGACTGCAACTGTCAATTATGCAAGGATCCAGGGGATTGGGATTCATCAATCACAACCATTGTTTGACATAGACATAACTGGGCATGATACACTAGGAAGAGCTGTATCACCGTGCGCCCCAGCCGCAGATGATGCAACATTTGACAACATTCTAGCAGCTTCAACATCATCAGTCGTTTGTGAAACCGGCTTACAACAATGCACGAGTCTACAGAGATTTGAAGCAAATAACCCAAACGACAGCCTGATCGATATCCCTACGTTTCTGATTCAGCACTGGTTCAAGTCGGTCTGTTGTTATTGGTCTGCTTTTGATTCCGACAGCAATCCATTTCGATGCTTGGCATCCTCACTCTGGACATCATCCAGGTCGGTCTTCTACTCCTTACAAAGCATGACAGCCGCCACTCTGGTTCAATACCATCCTCATCTCAGAGAGACCATGGCATCAGCGTCTTTGCAGGCGGTTGAAGCAATAGGCCAAGAACTAGCTCTTGTGTATAGCTCGCCTGACCTCGACATTACGATCACGAATGGAGTGATACTCTCCCTGTTCTGTATGGGTTCCTCTTTCTGCTGGGCCGATCCACAACGCTTGGGAACACAATTTCTTTGCGAAGTAAGGAGGCTTCTGGGCCATTTACAAGATAGATATGATGCGCTCACAACAAGCACACCAAGACTCTTCGACTTCTTTCGTGGTTGCCTGAAGTATGAAGAAATGCTTCATCATGTTGCAGGGGACAAAAAGGCACAGTCTTCACCTCCTCCCGTGTCATTTAATGTTCTGGAGCCCATTTCAACAAGCCCACACCCTTGGACGGGGGTATCTCCTGAAATACTTTCACTCTTTGGAGAATCCATTTCCTTGTGCCGAAAAGAATGCGCGAGACGACAACAGCCCAATAGCATGACACAGAAAAGTTTACAAAAAGCACTGCACGCCATCAACGAGGCAAAAATGCTGGAGGAAACGCTGCTAGCAATTGCGCCACTTTCGTTGCAGCCCAAATTCGATGAATTTGTCAGTCTGGAGAGATGGCTACACCTACGCGACACTACCGAGGCGTATCGCCTTTCATCACTCCTTCAACTATACCAAACTTTTCCAGACTTGATTGCATGGCGGATGCCGTCACAAGTCGGGCCTGACGGTATCGTTCCACACAATCTTTGGCTTTCCCCTCTTGCGCTTCACCTCTTGAACCTACTTCGCAGAATACCACCAACATCTGACCTGCGCTGCATTCAACCATTATTGTACTTGTCTGCAGGAAGCTGCTTGCGGAATGACGTCGTCGCTACACCATCTTTCAGCATTGATGAGCCGCTCGACGAGACATCCAGTATTCTCCCAGACTTTATGACAGAGCACACGTCGTCAGAATTTGTCGGTCAGTCGACCGAGGTACCTAGTATAACATTGGAAGCACTGAACATTGGAAGCGCGAGGAAATTGGTGGTGGACAGACTGTGCCAGCTCGAACAAGTTCTCCCTGCAAAACCCATAGGTGTGGCAAAGAGCCTGATGGCAGTCACCTGGGAAACGTATGACAATGAAATTCTTGAAGCCAAGAAGACTCACTGGCTTGATATCATGGCTTCTACCGGGCTTCAAACACTCTTTGGCTAACGTTTCTGGCACGATGGTGTGACAAAGTGCCATAAGTTCAAGAACGAATTGATTCTTCCTTCATCAAATGTTTGAATCTTGGCCAAATCACTTTCTTAATAAATTTATTGCATTGTGTCTGATATGTTATTTAGTCCCATTTCGTCTTCTATAGCCTCACTAACTACTACCTATCCGAAATGACAGTATTCAACCGTGTGCCTTCTTTTCGATCAAGGCATGGGCTATTACCATGGCTCGCAAACTTGCCATCCACGTAGCATGTATACTTGAATAATGATCTTGCGAAGCTTCACGTTCTCCTCGAGTGCTTCTAACGCTCTATACTGTAATATGAACCCTCAAATTCGCCGAGGCATCTATCCCTCCCCCACGATTTTAATTGAAACCCTTGCACATAGATAAGCTTTTTTCCCCATTCGGGGAAGGGCGCATTCGAGAGCCATATGTTTCATCAGGGATATGATCGGCTAGTCCCTATCAAGCAAAAAAGTCCAGAATTTAAACCGCTTTGAGACACGACGACAAGCTACCCCAGATCATCCGCATGCCAAGCCTCGATACGGGCGGTAGCTATCAGTGCATGATAAGAAGAGTCAATGGCGATGGTGATGTGCCTCAGAAGCAATGATGTAGGAAATGAAAAAAAAGTAAATTTCACAGGTTCTCTGCAGAGGACCTTGATTTCTGCTGCCTCTTTGCTCCGGCTAAGTGTGACGACTTCAACTAATCACCACAAGACTGGTGGGACATTTCATCGCAATGGCAACGCGTGTGCTAGCAGCGTGGGAGGAGTGCGATAAAACAGACACCGTCTTCATTTTGATTTGCACTGTAATCTGCTGGACTATTGTGCCTACTGTAAGTGTTGCCGCTGGGCCTTGTGCTAAACAGCTCTGACAACTACAGGTTGGAATTGCCTATGGAGGCTACTCGTGGAAACGCAATGGGTTAGCATCCGTTATGCCCGCTGTGCTTACGATTGCTACTTGCTCTATACAATGGTTCGTCATTGGGTATACTTTGGCTTATGGCGAAGGCGGATCAGTGTTTGGTGATTTCAAGTATGCCTTTCACCGAGGTGTTCTCTCAGAGCCTGTAGGAACTATACCTGCGATACTGTTTAGCGAGTTTCAGCTCGTATTCGAGGCAACTGTCTGCGCAATCGCGGTTGGCGGGTTCTGTGAGAGAGGCAGGTTGCTGCCGGTGATACCTTTCATCATTGTGAGTTCGTCACATTATTACTACTCACGCACTGCTAAACGGCGTCCGTAGCTATGGTCAACACTTATATACTGTCCTTTGGCACATATGGTATGGGGAGGAGGCTTTCTTGGAGAAGACTTGGGGGTTCTTGACTTTGCTGGTGGTGAGTATGAAAGATGTGTTTCTTTTGTGTAGATGCTAATGCCTAGGTAATCTAGGTACGCCCGTTCATGTTTGCTCGGGCGCAACTGCGACCGCTGTCAGCCTCTACCTTTCATACCCAATATTCCGTTCCCGGCGTTCCGAGGAACGAACCCCTACACACATTCGTCTTCATCGTCCAGGTAACTCCTTTTGCCAACTGATAGCACTGATCATCATTTGGGGCTCCTGGCTGGCATTCGATGCCGGAACCACCTTGGCGTTGAACTTTCAGTCTGTGATGGCACTCTGCGTCACAAACCTATGTGCTTCGTCGGGAGCCCTAAGCTGGGTGTGTATGACTTATTTTGAAACCGGGAAATGGTCCTTGGACTCGACGTTCATGGGTGCGATCTCTGGCTTGGTGATGATAACTCCATCGGCTGGATTCATTGACATGCCCACTGCCTTTTTCTTTGGCATCCTTGGCGCCGTTGTGTGCCGTCAGGCTCTGAGAATCAAATTTACCGACTTTGCTAGGCGCTGGCGCTGGGTAGACAACGGTGACACATTTGCTACACATTGCATTGGAGGAGTTCTTGCCACTATCTGCACCGGTCTCTTTGCTAAAAAGGAAGTTGCAGCTTATGGTGGAGCTATTGTCGATGGTGGTGTCTTTTTCGACGGCAATGTGCGCCAGCTTTGGGTTCAAATTGTCGAGGCCATTGTCGGATTTTCGTGGTCCTTTATTGGTTCCTTTGTCATCATTGCGCTGATAGACTGTGTTCCTGGACTTGAAGTTCTGGCTACGGATAAGTGAGTACAGAATCCCAGATGACAGCCATACATTGACTAACGAATAAATCCGCGCAGGGAAATCATGGCTGGTCTAGATACATTCCAAACCGAGGAAGCTCTGATTGAAACGGTCTTTTCGGACGAAGTAGATTACTCCCCCATGAATGGAGGCAATATAGAGCTTTGAATTGCAACAGCTGGTCGGTTGTATAAGAGAGGACGAATTGATACAAATATTGGGGAATACATGGTGATTAGTGAGGAAGCACAACAATGTAGACAGCAATTTGGGTTAGGCATGTCAATATCATCCATTCATCATGCAAATCATAATGAGAAGATGAAGCCAAACATGCAAACCAGATCAAAAAGGGTGGAACCTCGTATTATTGGAACAATAATCTGTAAAGGCGTCATCTAGTGCTGTGATGATAGTGCTCGATATATTACCCATGTATACGCGGGAGAAGATAGGTAACAAGTCCCAACGAAGCAAGCTCAGATTCAGTATTTTGATATTCTGGTGAGTACTACAACTACTTGATTACTACATACTTACCCAGCTCATTGTTTTATGACCAACTCAACCTTTGGGATGATGTTGGTTTGTTGGCAGTCAGGTCAGGGCCTTGTTGCCAAGGGTATAAATGCCGAGCTTAGCTCTCGGGGCTATGTCACGGGACCCCACTTATGCCCCGATAGCCAGCAACCTTGCGCGCCGCCACGAATTCATTTGATGCCTTTGCTAACTGTCTGTTGTCTCAACAGCCAAGATGGAAAACAACGACAACCAAGCTGAGATGGCCGAGTTCGAGCTTACGCCACCCCCCAACGGAGGTCCGTCTGGTGGCCCGCCTTGCGCGACAATGGAAGAGTTGATGGAGTCCTTGAACAAGCACGCAGCTCAGCACGGCTACGCCCTGATCCGCCGAAATGCTTCCAACTACAGAGAGGGCAAGCCCACCAGCTATGGCGTCTATTGTGATCGTGGCAAGCCACGCGCCTCGAAAAGCGCCGGCATCAGAAGCAGAAGCTCGCGTTTGATCGGTTGCGAGTTCAAGGGCAAGATCCGCGCCCTGCAGACAGACGGTTGGAAATGGACCTTTGCAATCGTCAAATCTGCGCACAATCACCCTCCCTCCAGCAACGGGACAGCACACCCAATGCTTCGTAGGTTTACTAAGGAACAAAAACGATATATTGGCGCGTTAGCGAGGCATGGAATCCGCCCTCAAGCAATCCAGTCAAGCCTTGAGCAAGACTTTCCTGGCCACCCATTTGTCATCAAAGATATCAACAATCTCATTGCGAGCCAACGAGCCAACGAAAAGCAATCTTCTAGTGCAGCTGCGACTGCTCAGACTGCGCCCGTCGCGCCCGTCGCGCCCGTCGCACCTATGGCACCCATTATGGAAAATGAACAAGTCGACGACGACCTGTTCCGTCTCCTGTAAACCCGACCAGAGCGGCAGCAAACATAGCAATGAATTATGAATAGCCACAAGCTCGAAGGCCGCCCGCGGAAATGGCGTCCACATTAAGCATAGACTCTTGCCCATGCGAGCAACAAAAGGTATCTACATTGGTTGCGACATAGCCCTAATAGTCGTACTGACATAGACTACCCAGTTGTCAAAAATTCATCTCGGGCCAAACGTTCTGTATCTACAAATTGCAGTTCTCTTTGCGCTTGACAAACTTCGAATGCATACGTATGATGCCGAACAGGCATCCGCATGACAATTACTTGTTGTCATGGATGCACGATGCTCGGTCTGCTTGGCCATGGCGCCGATAAAGTATGGCGTTGGGAATGTAGCTTGTGTACGCATATCTTGATAGAACGGCAAGGATGGCTATCACGGCAGATTCATGAGGAACTGCATCAATAGCCAGGATGACCAGTGGATGGTGAAGAAGGACTGCAGACATGGGATCTCCGAATGGAAAAGATATTCTGAGGCTCAAACGTAGTGCATTTGACATTCTAGATGGATCCGGAAAGATTCATGTCGATGTCATCTGGTTCTCAGCCCTCAGTAGTGCACGGATGTACGAAGTATGACATGTCATCTCACTGTTTGTTCCGATGTTCAATGATCAAGTTCTACGCATCAAATACCTTGCAACTCGTTTGTGCAGACTTTTTCTTTTTAAAAAATAATCTACACTTACCCCTCCACTTGTGTGTTTGGTCTGTTGCAGAGAGGTAGCTAACCCTGCGAAAAATCTAAAACCACTGCACCGACAGTCGAGTTGAACATTTGTTTGCTTTTACACTCCCCACCTGCGTACGCAAGCTACGACTTCACCACCACCTTGCATCACAAAATTTTCACTGCATACGCCAGATGGTGCAATTTTGAAATACTCGTTTTCAAAAATTGATGCAGTCTTGGTCTTTAGCGTGCACATTGCATGGATGAAAAAGGACAGCAAAATGCCACAAGAAGAAGTGAAGTTATCCGCACTTGTGGACTCAATTCACAAGAGGGGCGGCGGCCTTGCCTTGCCGAACAAACCTATCGATATCAGCAATGTACGATTACTTCTGCGCAGTTTCAGCGCCTATTTCGAATCTCAAAGCGAAACCGTCAAAACTTTCAGAATAAGAGTCCGCATCATCTTTGAGTCAGTTCGGTGGTTCTACGAGTTCAGAAACGCAGATTGGTTTTGGGACCGACTGAGGGAGCAACTACAGCTCGATGCAGGGATGAACTCAGAACGCCTTCAGCAGACAGTTGAGGCGATCTGTGATGCCCGAAAGGCATGGAAGCAGATACATAGGCATTCAGAACCAAAGATTCACAACAACGCTCGAGCATTCATCAAGACCATCGATAAAGTCCTCAAGAAGGAAGCTCGTCGAAGCAAGTCATTGCGCAGCTCTGAACAGGACTCCAAAGACGCCTGGAATGCCCGAGCATCAACCTGGCCAAGCCGTTTTCAAGAGTTTGTTGTATCGCTGGGCGGGAAGAAGCCGGAGCAACCAAAGACGTCAAAAGAAAGGAGCCGATTGGTTGTTGCCAACGGAACGACCACCCAACATGATACCAATATTCCTCACTCAGATACGCATGCTACGTCCCGATCTCAGTCACCAGCAGCTATCAGAAGCTCTTGCAGCCCACAGGGCATGTGTCCAGAAGACACCGATATTCAGACAGCCCCTTCTCTTCCCCAGCACCCCCAGATAATCCCACCGGGGCTGTGGTACGTAGACCTCGGTAGAAACCTACACGGTCATAAGCCTTCTCAAAGTATCGAGGCCTCTACGCAAAACGACGACGATACAGCAATCGTGTCAGCTCCACTTGAAAAGGGAAGCTTCTCGGATATCAATAATGATTCTGCATCACTTATAAAGTCACAGAGTGACTCGAGTTCTAGAAGAGAGACTCGCAGCTCCTCAAATGTTGAAGAGCACTATCAGGCCAAGACAAGCAGCCACGGACTAGAAAGGCACACAACTGATCAACATGACGTGACGAAGCTTAATGAAAATCGAAACCAGAAACGCCAAGCATCGCCTTTGCCTGCATTGAAAGCGAGGAAGAAGTCAAAGCCGGACGTAGGGGCACGTAGAACCACCCAACGGCAATCGGTGGCTCCAGCGGAACCAGTTGAAGATTGCATGGCCGAAAGCACACACCGAACCACATCTTCAGGCACTCCAGAGATCGGCAGCAATCCAGAACAACCTCTCGAATCTGCAGTTGGTGGTCCCCTCGCAGCTGCAAAGAATGTTACATATGGAGTCAACGATCAGCTTACATCGAATGCTGATGCAACTGCGCCGAAAGATAGCAGTCTAATGACAGAGGCTCCAGGTCCTGTCGCTGTCGAAAGCTCAATCATGGAGCTTCTTGCGGGCTATCAGACTAAAACAGATGCTTACGACTTCAAAGCTTCGTTGGAGAAACGTCTACTCCAATTGGAATGTCAATCACAACGCCTCGATAAGCTTGAGGCTTTGGTGAACAAGGACAAAGGACCAGAAAGCAGTGATACTACCGGTGACAATGGTTTGCATGCCAATGACCGCAAAGAAAAGTCTCGCAACGACCAAGTGCAGGCATCTGCCAATTGCGAGCTTGGACCCTTTCTGCAACATATTGGAAATCAAATCAAGAACATTCGACACCAGCTTCGAACCAAGATACGACAAGAGGATGAAACAACTGAAGGGTGGAAAAGGATGGCTTGCCTTGGAGAAGTGGCCTGGGCCCTAGATACCGCAATCCAACATGCCAAGCACGGTGCCAGAGCAGTCCAGGAGCCATTTGTACAGGAAGGCTCAGATTGAATGTTGACTCTGATTCAGGAATAAGATTGGAGATCATTGTCTGGCCGCTGCCAGGAGGGTTATCAAAATTCTATGAAAACATGGAGTTTTCCATAACTGCAAACTCTATGGCTCGCTCCATCACGTTCCACGCACAGAAATGGCTATCTAAGCTTCCATCATGAGCATTCCACTAGGCAGAATAGACTCTATTGACATGATTCAGATAGACAGTCTGTGGACGAGGCCGCGAGCACTGGCAAGCCAAGGTCATGGTATGCTCGACCATCAATCAAAGATGTATCAATGAAATAGCTCAAGCTGTGTAATGCCTGAACATCCAATAAGTTGCTTACTCCAGCCATAAAACTATGCAAATAAGCTCGTCGTCTCGTTGAGCCCTCGGAGCGGGTTCAGGTGTCGGGCCAAGTCTTCCGACGGCGGATACCATGCAGTTGCCGAAGACACTGGCAGATAAGAATTCGCTGGTAATCGGAGCTCTAATAATACAAAAGTTATTCCAACGCAGATTCAGGTCTGAACTTATTTTCATTTGCTCAAATTTTTACTTTATGACTGTATTGATCTAAAATACAACTAATATTTACCTTTTAGAATTGCTAAGAAGCAGAATCGAATATGGAAACGATTCGCAAGGCGTACGCCAACACGTCCCTTGGACAGATACATTATCGATACATTGGGACAAAAAGTGAAAATAAATGTCCAATTCTGTTTCTTCACATGTCAGCGTCATCATCGGCATGTTTTGAAGAGTTGATGAGAATTTATGCGTCTCAGGGACATCAGTGCTTTGCTCCCGACATGCCAGGTTTTGGGCAGTCTTTCGATCCTACGGTGGATCCGCCAAATATCTCGTGGTACATCAACCTGTACCTGGAAGCCTTCAAACCACTCGGATTGTTCGAAACCAAATGTCATGTTGTTGGTCATCACTCTGGAGCTGTCATCGGCGTTGAGCTAGCTGTGCTCCATCCGGAGGTGGTCAAAACCTTGACGCTCTGCGGTCCTGTCTGTATGGACAAGGAGGAGAGGGAGAAGATGCGAGCCAAGGTTACGATACCATTCAACAAGCCAGCTGAAGATGGCTCGCACCTCATCAAGACGTGGGAGTATCTTCAGCACCACGGAGGAATACCAAGCCACGATTTGGATATCCTGCAGCAAGAGACGCTCGACCACAGCCGAGCATGGAAGGGAAGGTTGCAAATTTATAATTGTGTTTGGGATCATGACGGGCCGGTGATGTTCAAGAAGATTAGCTCTCCAACACTGGCACTTTGCGCTCGGGACGATGTATTATGGGATGCCTTTGATGCAGTCAAGATCATCCGGCCTGATATTCAAACCGCAGAGGTGACGGGCGCCAACTTTGGGCCCTCGAGAGGCAGCGAGTCCATGGTCAAGGTCTTGACGCCCTTTCTAGAAAGACATGAGACAAAATGAGTCACAGTAGATTTGAAAATTGCTGATAGGCTGTTTGGGTTTGACGCATTACAAGTAACGCGCTGGTTGTGCACAAGCGCCGATACAGCCCTCTCTCTATATTCCATTGTACGGCACGGGACAAGTGCTTTGGGGGCTTTCTTACTGCGATGCTGTTGAGGATTTGGCCGACAAATAGCGGGGTTAGTGGGTTGTTACGGCTCACGGGAGCCCCCAGGATCCACAGCCACTTGGAGTACAGGGTGCGTGCCAGATTGATTTGCGCAAATACCAAGGTATATTCATTCTTGTCTTGATTGCCTATATCCAATGGCAATTGAAACAAAAATTCGATTCTTGAAGCTTCTGGGGGACACGAGAAGGTCGACGAGTTGATTCGATTGTGTTCCGGCTGAGTCAGGACTTGCAAAGTTTTCATTGCACAATGGAGTTATGCCCATGCCGATGTAGCGTAGCGCCTATTTTTTGACAACAGGGCGCGCGCGCGCTGGACGATTGTGTAGTAGAATTAGAACTATCCGTTCGATGTTGATGTCCACAAAATGTCGTTTCCACTGTATATAATGTGTGCCATTGTCAAGATATCGGTGAAGTCGCTATGAATGTTCAGATCCAGATAATAGTCTTACCTCTTTTTTCTACACGTCGCAGCAGTCAACACTGGAAAAGATAATCACCATATCTTAAGGTACATCAGTGGTCTAGCATCAACTTCCACGGCAAGCGTTGTCCATACTTGAGCTGCAGCGCCAATACCCATTCATTTTCATCAAAGACCTAGAGCAGTCACATACCTCAGCCATCATGACCATTCACTCCGATGCCCGCACAACATTGACGACCGTCCCGACTCCACCAGTCACGTCGTCACCCAGGTTGCCGCCAAGTGCAGCTGGCTCTGCTTCTACCGTCTCGATCGGTAGGGCAGCCGAGCAAGAATCAGCGGTCATGGCCAAGCTCGGAGGGGATGTATTCACTGCGACATTTGGCCATTCCGTCTCCAGCGAGGATCTCGACGATTTCCTGAGGACGACATATTCAACCGAGGCAGTGCTTGCCGAGTTTTCGGATCCCAGCAAATCATACCTGGTCGCGCGCAATGGCGAAGGCAGTGTCGTTGGCATTGCCCAATTGCAGCACGGCAAGACCCATTCAAGTGTGGATGGAGCTGAGAACGAAATCGCAGTCATGCAAAAGGTCTACGTTGACTCGAGTATGCATGGTCAGGGAGTAGGCAGTAAGCTCATCCAAGCGATAGAGGACCTCGCCCGGGAAAAGGGTGTCAAGAAGCTCTGGTTGACGGTGTGGGAGGAGAATGTCAAGGCGCAGAGACTGTATCAGCGACTTGGCTACGAGAGAACCGGAGAGATTGACTTTGCCACGGGAACGTGTATACAGACGGATTACGTTCTCACCAAACGACTGTGAATATTCTTGCGCTGTAGCAGAAGACGTTTTCTCCAGTCCTCTCCAGTTGGAGCGGGGTTATTGTGTCTAGAATAGTTGATCTTTGTGGGGAAATGGAGTCTTGGAGTATAGAAATAATGTACATACATAGAGGATACCAAGATAGACTGCTGTTGCGACGAGACGCGACAATATTCCCATGATTGATGGGTTCATCAGATTCATCATGTTGGCATAAAAATCGAGTATCAAATCATTACCTCATTTTCTCAAGTTATGCACGAAGGAGGCACGTCTACTTTGTGCGTACCTTTGTACATTTTCCACGCATTGGCGTGCATATATAGATTCCGAGATAGGGTAGATATGTGCTGCTAACAGCCAATCATGACAGTGATGCAAGTCAGCCCTTCATGCAGGCAACCAAGATATCACCAATTTTTCAGAATTCTCTCAACAAATAACCGAACCACATGCTCGGGACTGACACAGAGATGTTTTTGGCCACCGAACACCGGTCCAGCTCACCATCCCCCATCGGGAAAGGTGTCTCGCGACACCTGCATACTGAGTACCTTGGTAAATACCTGGCGGTCAAAGCCGGGACCGGCGATGGATCATATCCGTTCGTTTTACCTGGGAAAAGTAGAGCGCTGGCGGCGAGCGGCTTTGCTTTTAAACTTCCATTGTGGCACCACCTATCTTTGCCTTTCCGATAGCCGTCCGGCCACCTAGCAAATACCTACACCTCATCTCGCACCGTCCCGGACAGGGTCGCTCAATAACACACGCCGAAAGAACTATCCACTACTCACGGCTCGGATCGGCCACCGGGGGTCAAAAGAAGGCGGACAATAGGAACGGTATTGTCCTCTTGACGTCACGATACTGAGTAACAGTATCCCCCTCCTGTCATTCTCAAGCGGGTAATATCCCTTGCCACCACAGACAAGTACCCGCATACATTGACCAGCAACTCGTCAGTCTTTCATCCTTTAAATTTACGGTATCCCCCAGAGATTTGAAAAGCTAGGTAGATTCGACAGCATCGAGTGTCCCTTCTGCTTCACATGTAAGGTTGCCGGCCCCCCAACCTGAGACGTACAGGCATTGACCACAAAATGCAGCATGTCTGTCCTGGACACAACCAAGGACCTGGCGGCCTTGTTTGCCAAACAAGTCCAACTCACCCCTGATGGAATTGCTCTGGAAGATGAGAATCGAAGTCTCACCTACGCCGAGCTAGATAAGGAGACGTCAGCCCTGGCTCACGAGCTCCGTATTCGTGGTGTGACGCGGGACAAGCTCGTCGGTATCTTGCTGGGGCGGAGCGCCGACTACGTGATAGCTTGCCTGGCAGCTCTGCGAGCAGGTGGCGCCTTTCTGGTCTTGGAACTCGCATATCCTCCAGGGCTCCTATCTGATGTCATCGAAGATGCAGGGCCTACTGTCATCATCACTCATAGAGCCCATGTTGGAAAGGTTTCCGGCAGCTCAAATCTCATTATCCTAGACGAATGGGTGAAAGAGGCAAACGGCGCACCTGCTACCAATGGCACGACAGAGACACTGTCTCCTCTGCCAGCAGATGATGACTTGGAGAGACTCGCCTTCGTTTCGTATTCGAGTGGAACCACGGGCCGGCCGAAAGGCATCGCCAACCCACATAGTGCACCTGTCCGGTCTTATGACCTGAGATTTCGTCTCAGTGATCTGCAACCGGGTGACCGTGTCGCCTGTAATGTGTTCTTTGTCTGGGAGATCCTACGACCATTGATTCGTGGCGCAACAGTCTTTGCAGTGCCTGACGAGGCCAGCTATGACCCTGTTGCTCTTGTCGAGCTGCTGTCGGCGCGGCAAATAACAGAGACGCTGATGACACCAACACTTCTGGCGACAATCTTGGCCAGAAACACGAAGCTGGGCAGTCTCAAGAGCCTACGTACGCTGTGGTTGAACGGCGAGGTCGTGACAACAGACCTGGCGCGACGAGCAATCAAGGCACTTCCCGAAACCACACGACTGCTTAACTGCTACAGTGCAAGTGAAACCCACGAGATTGCGTGTGGCGTTATCAAGGATATGATCTCAGAAGATGCATCAGTCTGTCCAGTTGGACCACCGATTGACCCAGAGCATACATACATCCTCGACAATGGCGGCAAGCCGGTTGAGCCTGGATTCAGTGGAGAGTTATTCGTTGGCGGTGGCCTGCTTGCAAGAGGTTATCTCAATCTCCCAGAGGTCACCGCAAAGGCTTTTGTTCCGGACCCCTTTAATCCGGGACAGAAGATGTATCGTACTGTAAGTTGCAGGAATGGTGGGAATGGATGTTTTCAAATTGGCTGACATGGCATAATAGGGCGATCTGGCTAGAATCTTGCCCTCGGGCCTCCTGGAGATCCTCGGTCGCGTAGGTGGTATGATCAAAGTGCGAGGCTACACGGTCCAGCCTGGCGCAGTCGAGCATACTATTATGAAGCAGCTAGCCGTAAGCCATTGTGCAGTTGTCGCTCATGGTGATGGACTAGAACGCCAACTTGTCGCATACTTTGTTCGTGACGAAGACCCCAAAGGCCGCGGGGAGTTCACTGTCGAGGAGTCAGGCTACAGTCCGTCGGCGAGAAAAGTGCTCACTTCTCACTTGGCTCACTATATGATCCCAGCCTTGTGGTGTGAATTACGAGAGATCCCCACCCATGAAGTATCTGGAAAGGTGGACCTTAAAGCTTTGCCTACGCCTTCTGGCACAAGAACACCGAATGGAGCCGGTGGCCGAGACGACGGCCGCAACACTGAAGTCAAGATCGAGACGATTGCCAAACTGTGGGCCGCGTCCTTGAACTTGTCGGCAAGGTCGGTCACCGAGGAGCACGACTTCTTTGATCTTGGCGGCCATTCATTGGCACTTGCAGATCTTGCCAGCCGCCTCACAGAAGCTTTTGGTTTCCCCGTGCCGCTTTCGCGTCTAGCCGGCAACCCTACTCTCGAGGGTCATGCAGAAGCCGTACGCGCTGCACGAGATGGGCATACTGCTGCAGTACAGGCCGATCTCCCTAAAGTCCTGTTGGCCGACTCAACATTGCCAGACGACATTAAGGGCACAGGTGCTAAAATGTGCCCACTGAGTGAAGCTGGCACTGTGTTGCTGACAGGTGTTACTGGCTATCTGGGTGCGTTCCTGCTAACTTCAATCTTGGCCAATTCAACAGCCCGCGTCATCTGCCTGGTCCGCTTCACTCATCCGTCAGGTGAGGCGCGTGGTGAAGGTATGTCTCGTCTGCGAAAGAACCTGATCGACTTGGGCATCTGGGATCAAACCATTCTGGATCGTGTCGAGGTACTTCCCGGAAACTTGGGTCGCAAGCGACTCGGTCTCATGCCCGATGCATTTGAAGAGCTTGCCTCCAAGGTCGATGTCATCATCCACGCTGGTGCCACTGTCAACCTTGTCTATCCCTACGCAGCCATGCGTTCCGCCAACGTCGGCGGCACGCGGGAGATTCTTCGCCTGGCAAGTCGAAGTGGCGCGACTGTTCACCACATCTCCACAAATGGTGTCCTGCCTCCTTCTTCTGAAGGCTGGAGCGAGGATACTATGCTGAGTATTGAAGAAGTCCCCGAGAAGCTCCTTGATGGGTATGGTCAGACCAAATGGGTTGCGGAGCAACTCGTTGTCGAGGCTGGTCGTCGGGGGTTGCCTGCCCGAATATACCGGCCCGGAACGATTAGTGGACACAGTGTCCTCGGATCAACCAACACCTACGATCTGTTGACAGCTCTGTTTGTCGAGTCTATCCATCTCGGATATGCGCCCGACATCAAGGGGTGGCTAGCTGAAATGACGCCTGTCGACTTTGTCAGCAAGGCCATCGTAACGTTGGCCAACCACATCGAGGTGGATCAACCGATTTTCCACATAGGCGACCCCAAGCCAGTCACCGCTGCTGCCCTCTATGAAGATCTCGCCGAGCTCGGCTACACTACTCGCAGTCTGGACTGGGATAATTGGGTTACACTCTGGAACGAGAAACGCGGTGCTAGCAAGTCTGGCGATGACTCATTTACTGCTGGAATTCTTCGACGCGGCATGCCCACTGTTGATTTCCTAAGAGCGGTAACTGTTCTGAACGATGCCAAGACCGAGCCCGCATTGAGCCTATACGAGCTTGATCGTCCCAAGATCGACAGTAAGCTCCTTGAGATTTACACCCGAGACTGGTATGCCAGAGGTTGGCTTCCAAAGCCTCCTGTCAGAGAGTCCTCGGGCACAGCTACACCAAAGAAGACTGGTCCATTAGCGGGCCGCGTCGCTGTCGTCACGGGCGCCTCATCGGGCATTGGAGCTGCTGTGGCATCGGCACTGTCGAGAGAAGGCGCCCATGTGATTCTGGCTGCTCGCCGAACTGAGGCTCTCGAGAAGCTCAAGACCAAATTGTCCGCTACACCAGGCAAGGTCATTGTCCACAAGACCGATGTCACAAATAAAGCAGATGTCGAGTCCCTGTTCCAAGCAGCAAACTCCATCTCCGGGTCGGGCGTTGACATTCTGGTATCCTGCGCAGGAGTCATGTACTTTACCATGATGGCCAATGTGCAGACGGACGAATGGGAACGCACAGTCGATGTCAACTGCAAGGGTCTGCTCCATTGTCTATCGGCCAGTGTGCCCGACATGTTGAAGCGTGGCAGCGGCCACATTGTTGCCATTTCCTCAGACGCTGGCCGCAAGGTGTTCCCTGGCCTAGGCGTCTATTCGGCCAGCAAGTTCTTTGTTGAGGCAACATTGCAAAGCTTGCGCCTCGAGACTGCCGGAACTGGTCTTCGTGTTACCAGCATTCAACCTGGCAACACAGCTACCGAGCTGCTGGGCATGTCGACCGATGCCGAAGCCATCAAGAAATTCGGCGAACCCAGCGGAGCCAAGGTGCTCGATGCTGAAGATGTAGCCGAAGCCATTGTATATGCCTTGCGACAGCCAGAACATGTCGCCGTCAACGAAATCCTGATTGAGCCTCGCGATGAGCCAATCTGATGCGTAGGAAACATAGAACATACGTTGTTAGCATTGTAGACTCAGACAATAACAGGTTCATTTCTTGAACCATACCAAACATCACAATAATCATAATCAGTTCATTTAAAGACAACGTCATGACATACATTAAACCTTGACCTGAAACGCAATCGCAGGATTAATACCAACGCCTTTAAATCCATCCATACCTATAAACCTGCCCGACGCCCCGTTTTGTCCCCGTCATGCGTCATTTGCGACATAACCCGTCCATGCCTTTTATTTGCATTACGCCATTATGCTTTGTAACCAGTCCGCAGAGGTTGCACGCTGTAGGCCGACTCCAAATCTGGAGAGGATGTGCCTCGGCTGTATCGATCCACCAGCTCGAACTCGTCGCTTTTGCTGTCAACAGTGATGCTGACGGTCTTTGAAATGTTGTTTCTGCGTTCGTGCATGCGTGCGAATCCTTGCTTGCGGAAGTCTGACCCTCCGCTGTTTCCCGTGCTCTCTTTTTGCGCCGAGGGGTCACTGCTTCCCCTTGTGGTGAAGAGGCGAGGGAAGACCCTGCGGAGAAGCGCAGCCACGCCTGGTAATGAAGCGCAGATGACGCCAACGTCGATTTCGACCAAGGACCATACTGCCAGGGCTGAATAATCGTACGTCGGGTCTGCACTGTTTCCAAATTCCATAATTGTTTGTAGTCGGATTATAGAACAAATGGTGACACTGAGTCATATATGTCAATATCATCTAAGAGAATTTCCGGGATCATGGGCGGCAACTTACAACAAGCCCACAGTGAACATGAGTATAACCCCGAGCTTTCGCTTAAGGCTCATTTGCAATGCCCACAGTTGTGGAATTGGGAGCAGGAAGACGAGAATATCCACTGTATCAATCGCGGTTAGTAGTTTCCTTGGGAAATGTCATCATGACACTTACGACCCATGTTGACCCCAGCCAAAGCAAAAGCTTGTTTGCTAGTATCCATACATGTGCCACTGTGTTGTCCGTCCCAGCCTTGCCACATGAAGGTAATTGGCACGCAGTTGAACCCAGTCGAAACCCAACAGCTGATGCCAAAAGCCAATGTGAAACCAATGAGTATGTAACAGAGTAGGCGGAAGCGGTAGACAGCGAAGACGCGGATGTAGAGACACAGGATCGAAATCTTGGTAAAGACGACGAGAAAGGTGTATAGATACTCTTCGACGAAAAAGTAGAGCAATGTGTTCGTGATTTGGCTGGCCGATAGCATCCAGATATCTCGGCCCAGGCCGGATTCCACCATTAGATAGGCAATGACATGAGCGGGAGTGAGGGCTAGCTGTAGTCTTTTCATCAGTTGTAACTTCAAAGCATCGGGGCCGGCAAGCATCTCACCAGACAAGCAATTATGGTCCAATCGTCCCACGACTTTTTCGACAGGTATGGTGCGCGCGCGACCAGGCGCATCACAACGAATAAGAGCGCAATCGCGTACAAAGTCCAGGTAGTTGCTAGTATATAGGTGCGTTGACTACGGACTTCGGCGCCGCACATTTCCTTTTCGAACCTTTGCGTTTCTAGATGAAAACCTAGTGTTAGTATTCTATCAATGGTTTGCGCCAGCTCCTTGGACTTACGCAATTGTTCAATGACGGTACATCCTGCTTGTGCCATGCAGACTGCAAGTGAGGTCGCCAGGTCCTGGTTGCTGCAAATGCACGCCGTATCCGTAAGATCACATGTTGATTGAGGCACGACGGATACGAAGCAATTGAACTTGAGCAATCTTAGCGTGCTGAGGTTCGAGTCTCTCGGGCCGGGGGACTTACTGCACATTCAGGGACCGACGACTCCAGTAGCTGTATCATTGCTGTCACATTTGAGCTGCCAGAGCTGACCGCTTGTGACGCAACCAGTTGTGATAGCATCACCGAGGCTGGCAAGAGTATAGACCTACTGAACCACATTTTTGCGTCGAGAAGTTGACGACTCGTGGCAAAAGCAACATCAAGGAACCGGGAAAAGGGTTACTTCGAGGGTATATCTTGTTTAGTTCGAGCTCAAATCAAGTGCCTCATTGGAGTGGGGATGATCTTCAAGATAAAAAAGAAAAAGCCGCTGGGCTGCAGGCATTGATGATCGGATCCGATTCAAGCGGCACTGAAATGGTGCTCGAGCACATGCGGTCCCATCTGTTGATACGTATCCCTTCAAGGTGGGAAAGCGAATCAGCACCAGCCTTATTCCCAGCATCTCTCCATAACATACCAGATCTGGCCACCAACCTACTGTGTAGTACATTGTCCTCGACCGTGGGCCAGGCACACGACAAGACAGATACAGCCAGGGTTCAACCACTGATCTTGACCATGATTGGTGCGCCCTTCCTCCACATTTCGAGTTTCCACTCACCTACCCTATAGAGGTGCATATATGGGGGATGCAGGTGCTTAGACCACAACCGTCAGAAACCTGCCATCAAAGTCGACGCCACTCGGCCGACTAACCTTTGATAGGCGACAAATGCGGGAATGATTCTCCTCTTGGGTCATAAAAATTGTCCGAGTTGTCGCCAAGCAGCTAATCCCCCACACACCATGATGGTTGTGCCCGGACCGAGATGCATGGCGTGTTGTGTAGGTGCGTACGAAGTTGTAGTCGCAAGCCTATTCTGGGCGGCCGAGGTTTGGATCCCTCAAACTTTAATTTTCTTGGGCTCGACCCTGACCTGGAAACTGTTCCGTATACAATTGGGATGGAGGAGTTGGTTGTGCATTGCCAGTTGAGTTGATTGACCAATACTCGTCTCCCACGCTGAATGATTCTTATACCGACCTTGGGACCTCGGGGATACGGAGTACAGGTATGATTCTTTGAGACCTTTTTATGATGTTGATTGATGACGACTTGTTATCTTGGATTGTGGAAGCAGTCGATAACGACCCCGCCGCGGTGCATTTAGTGATGTCTTGTTCAATGAACAAAGGAGCGATGAATATCCTCATCCCGAGGCATTGACCATCATGGTGCCGAGTCGACTTGTACGACGCCAGTTTCGGGGTACCTTGCACCACTCGAGCCACTTTATGCATGCTTGACGATAAAGAGTATCAAGCTATGCGGGGTGACCCTCCAGGAACATTGATGGCAGCCATGTAAATCGCAGGGTCCCAATGTCACATCCCCGGAGCAGTTGACTAGAAACGTGCACATCAGGCTAGTGCACTGGCGGGGAGTTTCCAGTCACAGCATGATTCCCGCTACATCTTCTCAACACTCAAGACGGAATTCTATTTAAACCATATGCCTTGTAGGTAGGTAGAAACGTCGACCTGAAGTTGGTAATCTCGGTAATGGTTAGGACAGCCACTAATGATACCACACAAGTTTTACGTGCGAGAGGTTATGCCAGTATTGGCTACCCCGAAGTCTTCCCTTAGGTAGGGCCTTGAAAATCGACGCGCTTCACTTGTGTGCGCGAGTTTTTCTGTTATGAACAAGACAAGCGCTGTATTCTTCTAATGTATGCATAGAGCGGCGATGTGTAGGATTGCGCCTCTTCTCCATCAAATGTCCGAGCATCCAGTCTATAATTCTTTTATAGCGCAAATCGCGCTGGGAAACTTGTGTTAATCGCAGTTGTCTCTCGGCCAAGAACCGTTTTGGCGGGGTACTTGAGCGCTCTACTCACTACTATAACAGGGAACGATCGTCGGATCAAGAGGGCCCTGCATCATCCAGCACAACCTCGAAGGTTGGATCGGCATTTGCATCAGTTTCTCGCGCACTCGAATGCTATCTGAAATTCTTGTCAATTCACAGAGGCAAGGCTTTCTGTACAGTCTTATCGCAAAAGACGATCACGACACGTATTCACGGCGGCAGGTTGTTGTCTGTGCTTATAACAGTCGCAAGGCATCTCCAGCGATCAGAGGATACAAACAATCTTGCGGGCCGATAGTGACGCTCTGATATCTTTGCGTACCTAGCTATGAAGCTGAGGCGCCAACGTTGCTGCTGCAGTCTAGATACACTAGCTGTGAATTGGCGATACTACCACTGCGTTGAGGCCTCTAAATAGACTTTCTGTAAACTCATCTCGTGCTGCAAATGTGTTTCAGTTTGGCTAAAGGTATACCCTGACAAGCCGGTAGATGCATGGACCAGTCATTGACAGGTAGGTATGCTGCCAAGAGATTTCTGGCTCGGTAATCCATTCCGAACCTGTTCCATCCCGGCCGGAGTCCCTATGGATGGGCTTAGTTGCAGCATCATTTGCTACAAACATTTCCTGCAGAATCACATACAGTGTAGAGATCATATATTAGCTGAAAGATCTTTCCATCTTCTCCACCTTCTACAATGAACAGTATAGTAGTCTAGACACATACCCAAAGGTGCATTTTATTTCACAAATGACGTTTCCACTTGAGACAGTCCTGGTGACCGCAAGCCTGACGATATACTTTGGCGAGGTCGTGTATTTCTTGTTTTCGCAGGCTGCATGATCGGCACTAGCTGTTAATAAAGTATGCTAGGATTTATTAATGGAGAGATAGGTAACATAGAGCACTAAGGGCCTAGCCATTGAATTCAATCTACCAAACTTCTACATCGATACCGGTCCATCGGTGGCTACTCAAGAGAATTGATTTCCCGGAGACCACAGCGATATCACCACCCAGAGCCCCGGTGTGGACTTGATTACGCGGATTCCATCTTTCTAGCACATCTTTCTCGGACCTGTGATGCGCTGCATAGGTATTGTATAACCAGGATGTGAGCTTTTCTGTCTTGTACTGCGGCCCATCACCTAGCAGACGGAGAAGAGAGTTTCTCGACTTCGACGGATCATAGCCCTCCACAAGGTCGTAGAGTGTCATGCAACAAGCACGACCCTTTCCGGTTGTGAAGATTATGAAAACTTCCTCTTGTGATTCACAAGCAAGCAGTAGGGAAAGCAGTCGAAAGAGCTGGCTCAGAGCGCTCGAGTTGCGTAATTTTGACTTCTTTCTTAACCACGGTCCGATTTGGGCCTGTAGGATAAGAACCAAAACAACTATCTGCCAAATAGTCATGCTGGGGCAAGTGCTTTTGTCATCATCTTCAATGAGCATGACCCGATCGTGAGCAGTGTAGCCGAGGTCGATCGCTTTCGCGATGGTTTCATCGTACCTGCTAGCTCTTGCAAAGGCTTTTCTGGCAGTGAGATTTATCATGCCGATACATGCCGAAAGAAGTAAACTTTTCCGCTTTGGCTGAGCAGGACCATTGTCTTCAGTCAGCCCCTTTCGGGAGCAGTCTCGTAAATGTTGCCCTTGAAGAGCCTCTGGATAACCAAAATATGCCAACAAGTGCGGCAACGACGTCCTTTCAGTACTGTGTATGTCCATTCTCCCAGTATAGTTTGGTTTCGCCAACCCACTTGTACGCCCTCTAGTAGGCAAATGCAAACCAATCATTTCGCATATCGGCCACGAAATTTGCTTATCATTGCCGAGGCTCCCTTCCAAGTCACTTTCTAATATCTCGTAACCATAGTTGTAGAACTAGAAAACATGGTTTTCTTTGTACTGGGCGTTCACGATCCCAAGCTCGAGCAGTCGTAATTGGACGTGTGTTTTCACCACATCGAATCCGGGGAATTCCGACTGAAGCATGGAGAGCTTACTTGAATCCATATAATCCTTAACGGTTTTATGGAACAGCCTCACACGAGTGTGGAAATGCGGCAAATTTGTCAACGACGTGCTCGTTTCAGTAGATTGATCCCAAGCAATGGCCTCAACGAAACCGCGAGTCCATTCGTTCAAATGATCGACTACGCGGTTGACATGCTGCTCGGGACCGTGGGTTTCACTACATTGAAGCTGTCGAAGTAGAGCTTGATCAAGATCCTCTTCATCATAAATCCAGTTGAGGGATTGTGCATTGATTGGGTCCTTGAATGGATTCGTAAGCACGGTGAGCAGTATTCGACAGCATCTTCGTCTTTGTGCTTCTCCCATAGAGTCGAATAGTTTCTGATATAGTTCATGAAGCTCGTCGGGAAGTTCATCGAGCTTTCTCCACAGATCTTTCGCAGAATGTGTAATCCTAGTCTCGAACAAAAGCTCTTTCGTGACGAGGACTGCCCATAGGAAGACACCTTGCGCTTTGGTGACGATGTGGTCAATAAAATTATCGTAATTTGGGATCATCTTAGAGTTTGAAGTCTTTGTGAACTGGTCGCGGCAATACTTTTCGATATCACCGCTTGTAAATTCGTGAAGGTGAATCTGCCGAATGGTTGGTGCGTTCTTGGAGCTGAAGGTGCTCTCAAATTGCACCTCAGGTCTGGAACTTACACAAAACTTAACTCGGGCGCAGCTCTGATGAGCCCAATTGCGTAGGTTGTCCGCAAGCTGCCAGTAGTCTGTGTAGCTACCTTCATACTCGTCTAGTCCGTCGATGAAGATGCACATCTTATGTTTATCCGCCACAGTCACGTCTATCAGTGATTGGAACGCTTCCCTAAGTTTTGGAGGTCTGACCAGATCAGCAAGTTCATATGCTAACTGACGATCATGGCGAAACTCCTTGAACTCTTCAGGAAACTCATCAGGATAAATTTTCCTAATCAAGTGGCGGTGCTCATTCAGGATCGTGAAGAGGACGAACCGATAAAGCCCTTCCAAGGACTTTACCTCCTTTTCGCCAGGAGCAAAAAAGAAGAAGTTGGCCCAGAGCAAAGTATCACCTTCTGCCCAGGCATTGAGAGCATTTCGCGTTTGTTTGTCGTTGCATATCAGTTTCATAAGTGTCGACTTCCCCGAGCCAGCCTTCCCGCAAATATGGAACACTCCTTCACCTGACTCTAGCCACATCATAAATGCGTCGCGAGTTTCCTGAAATTTCTGTGGCGGCATGTTGTTGCTACGAGGATTTGTCGCCTTAAATCGTTCCTGTTTGTCAAAGAGCCATCGGAAGGTGCCTTCGCCTGCCTCAGAAGTGTTGTCTTCCCGAAGATACATGCTATCGAAACGTAAGGTCTTTAGAATCGAGTTGAATACTCTTTCATGGTAAACCTCAGACCCAAAGTTCCGAAGCTCGTTGATGATGGCAGAATGATCCTGATCCTGATTCTGTTTGTATGCTTGTAACAGATCAAGTAGCCCGGCTCGTCGCGCTCGGAAGCTGCCGTGTCGTGTTTCAGAAAGCTTTACGATGTCATTCTGTATTTCGTCCAATTTCCCTTTGATATCGGACTGTCCATCGCTAATCGAAACCGAGGTCAGTAAATGTCGAGCCGCCGCCAGAATTTTCGCAGCAGGTAATTAATCTCACTTTAGTGCACGCAAGAGATCCAAGGTCATTTGCGCACGTAACTTTCCCAACTTATCCTCGATCAAAGAAATTTCGTCCTTTTTCCGATAGGCTGAGAGCATCGCCAAGAGATGCTCAGTCTTCGACCCCTTGTCTTTTACCTTCAATTTGTCCAGCAAATCGAGGAGCTCTTGACAAGACGTCGTACATTCCGTGGCAATTGACATCATATATCGTGGTCCGTTCGCATGGCGCAATTTACTGGACAACTCCTCCAGATTTTGTGTCGTAATAGTTAAATGCTCCAAGCTCTTGACGGTATCGCGAGAACTCTTCCAGAACCCACTGAGCTCCTTCGCGAACTTGGTGGCAGTGATTCCAGCATCAATAAAAGTATAGACCGTTCCGGCAAGCGCAAACGCGCTTAACGGGTCCATAGTGACAATAGCCCGTGATTGATTGCGGGACGGCTTCAGTCAGTGATCTCATCACTGAAGGCACCGAATGGTGGAGAATTGGAGAGGTAGCCTAGAGAAGATCTGACTGCAGACCCTAGGGAAGAGAGTAATGTATTACCTTGCACAGCAGGCTGCGAGAGCACTTGAATGCTAAGCCACAAATTATACGCCAATCGCAGATGTTGTATGTTCGTTGCATAACATACCTACACATACATGTATGCGTGGCGCCAGCTGATTCGTGTTCATGCATTTCAGCGCACATGCAACAACAGTGGTTGGCTGTTGGCATTTTCAAGTTTCAAGCTTGCAGCCTGCTCGTATTTTTCAGCAAATGCATATCACTGGACTGGGCTTCATATTCTGTACAACTCCAAAACGACCTATGTTGTAATAAGACTACCACGATAGCGCAGTAAGTTGGGATTATGGTCAGAAATGCACTGGGGTCTTTTGCAGCGTACTCCGCTAAGAGGCTCCCAGCTTAGTAAAACTTTCCAAATTTCTTTATCCTGGCTAAATCTATAGCTTTGTGCAGCAGTATTAACTGCATAGATTTTGTGCAGAACCTTACAGATCCTATGTATTCAATATTTCATGGTCCCTTATATTTTCAGTCGTTTTATAGGGTAAATAAGTACATAATAATCTAGCGTTACAAACACGTATTTACAAGCTCCGAGTTGACTGCTAAGAAACATTTCAGCCAAAGAGGAATTCCACGGTCTGAAAACATAACACATGACTTGGGCTGTGGTTCTCAGTTTGAATAGTGCATTAATTTCGCTTTTATGTACTCAACGCACTTTGGTATTTGTAGTTATCTAGAGGAACTCATGCCGTTGGGATTTGTGTGCGAAAATCTGGAGTATACACCCGCAGTGCAGTGTGCACAACACATGGCCTTGTCCTCATCCTAACTTGTCCAGCAACTGCTACCAGAGATCAAGTTGCAATTCGGTAAAAACTACGTCCTGAAACTGTTCTTCTTCTTCAAGATTACTTGATTACCATGACACCGAAGAGCATTTACATCATGAAATCAGTGATATCGAAATATCACATACATTGTTAATACATGTTTTAATTCGTATAGAACTAGCGGCGAATCCCCCACCAACGCACCTAGCAGGTAAAATACTTACCTATCCTGAAAACGTATATCGATACTTGTGGTTCATACAGCAATAAAGTGCATCTGCAAACTGTTTGAAGTATGAGAACAAAACTCACAGCAACAAAGGACCCTTGCAGCATTCACTGTCTATTATTCAGAATCTAGCCTTTCACCGCTCATAACTAATCGTTCGCGCAGCCAGATCGTGGCGCATTTACAGAGATATAGAAAAGTGGACCTTTGAATGCGTGCTGCCGGAGAACGGAGATCACCTAAAAACGATGATCTCACTATGGAATAGTAGAACGGTCTTATCCAGGGATGCTATCGGCAAGACAAGGGGAACATTGTGCCGACGATAAACAAGCGCAATTGTCAACCCAGACAATTCACCATCAATCTGCCAGCAGCCGCCCTTCATTATCGTGACGTTCTAGAATTATTCACAATTCCTTATCCATTTCAGCCCGCCATGTCAACTGCCAAGTAAACCGGCCTCCCAAGCTATGCGTGGAAAGGCTTCATCGCCGCAAGTGCAAGGGCGCATCGTAGGAGGATACACCAGGGATATCGTGGGCCTGTCCTGGGGTTGCCCCCAAGTCCGGCACTGGATCGGATAATGGGATCAACGAAAACTGTGCAATTTTGCATCACCATGAAGCTTACTGGACATGGGAGACGACGACGCTAGATCGAGCCAAGCCAACCTATCGGACTCATGATATCCACTGTTCGCTGTGACAGCATCATGGAGAGATAAGACGCAATCATGAGATTGAGATATAAGGGTCACGAAAGTGCGCAAGGAAATTGTAACAAGTCCTAAATCTTCATCGCCAATAATCCAACACAATGAGACTCTCGATTCTGCTTGCTCTCACCAGTAGTGTCGTCGCATCTTGCGGCGGCACGGCTGCCAGGACCGACCGGGCTGGAGCCGTCAACCCCGGCGGCCCGAAGATCATCATGGACAATGACTGGAATTCGGGCGCTGCGACGCAATTCTTGAGTAAGTGTACCCTTGGCGGCCCAGGTTGCCCGTCATTGCTCGGCTTTGGATGTATTGGTCCATCCAGAGCGTTTCATGGGCCATCTATACCTGTGACTCGGCTGTGATAGACCTAGTACAAGGCTAATTTTCCTATCACAGTGGCTCTTGACTATGGTTGGGATGTCCTCGGATTGATTGGCGACACCTCCAACTCCTGGGCACTGCAATGCAGCATGCATGCCCTTGCCCTCCTCGAGATTGGCAACCTCTCGTGTATTCCAGTACACAAGGGCTCGGACTATCCGCTGCTCATGACACCAAAGCTGATGCAGAGCTATGAGACCATTATGGGCCCCCTCGCTTGGGAAGGAGTGGTAAGTAGGGAATACAAGCATGTCCTATATCATCATATGGTGCCATACGGGACTATCGCAAGCCTCGGGCTGCTAACACTTCCCTTTTCCCACAATACAGTTCAAGCCGCAAAACGACACGGCCGAGGCTCTTGGCTCGGATCCTACAAGCGGCGACCCGCGCCGCATCGTCAAGGAGGCTTTCATTGAGGGCTACCCCAATACCACGCTTGCAGGAGACTTGGCTGCGGCATGGATGGTTGAGCAAGTCCGCAAATATCCTGGCGAGGTCACCATCTTCTCTGCCGGCGCCCTGACAAACATTGCCATGGCTGTGCGCATGGACTCGGAGTTTGCCAAGAACACAAAGGCTCTATGGATCATGGGCGGTTTTGCCGATACCAACCTCTTGATGACGAGCGGAAGCACACTCCAGGCCGATATCAACACCGATGTAGGTTTCATACTTCTAATATTCTAGCCTATTTCTAACAAAATTTTAGTTCAACTTCAAGGCCGATCCTGAAGCTACCAAGATCGCCCTTACTGCGGATTTCCCAAACATTAGTAGGTAGATATCAAGCCGTTTGTGCAAATACACCACTGCTGACCACGACACACAACAGCCCTTGTAGCCAACGCAGCCAATGCGCTCGACTTGTTCCCTACACCAGAATACATTGCCGAGATTGCTGAAGTTGTCAACCCATGCACTGTTGTCAACTCGGCCGCCGCTTATCCCGACTTGCCGTTCTGGGATGAGGCAACGTTGCTGACATTGCTCGAGCCTGACTCTGTGCTCAACCAGACCTCATGTAAGTTACGAATGAAACAGTAACATATGCATACAAGACACGTCGCTGATTCAACCTTTTTTTTTTCCCTTACTTGCAGTCTACGTCAATGTCGATACGTCCTACTACAGCCCAACCTATGGAAATATTTGGGCCTACCAAGAGGCATTGGTCCCCAGCCAGCAGGATCTCCGCGAAGTCAACTTTGTCTATTCGATCAATGGCACGACTTTCCAGAGCGCTCTGAAGAGAGCCCTTCAGTATCCAAAGTCCTGCGCCTAGAATAGCGAGGAGTGCGCCTTGTACTCGTGATGAATCATTTGGGAGTCGGGATATGCACCATCATGACACCTTGAAAAGGGACAGACGGCTGCTAGGCGACCGCAACTGTAGATTAAAATCCTAATGTTAAATTTATCAATGGACCATGCTATTTTCGAGGTCAAGTTGAGCAAGTTCGTACGCGGTTGATAAACAAAATGAAAGAAATGACAAGTAATCATCCAATTGATTTCAATCAAATTTAACTATTCATCTTTATATAACTTATATGCTACCCTTCCCATACCCAGTTCTGGTTGATCTCGCCCTTGGTGATGTCTGCACCATCTCTCCTCAGCTCCCTCAAGGCCATACCATAGTCACCCTTGTTGGGCGTGCGCAAAAGCGTGTGGATGTGGAATCTCTTTGGTTCAGTGTTTGACAAGAAAACACCGCTGTGGTGGTCAAACTCCACTACAATGACTGGGCTCTGAATCCGAAAGTAAAACGAATCTTGGTCGGCGAACCCTCCGATCCAAGAGAAATACGTCTCGTGGAACCAGTCCTTGCAGTCTTGCAGCTTGAGCTTTCGGGACTGGGCGGGCAGGTACAAGAGGTATTGCTCCAAGATGCCGAGCACCAAGTCTTGTTGCTGCGCAGAGAGATCCGCCACCACGATGCCCTCGTACGGGACGATGCGGTTATCTCTATAAGCACCGAGCAAGTGGCGCTGATCGTCGTGGTTCCAGCGTCCCTTGGGCATCTTGTCATCCTTCATCTTCTCGTACGTTTGGGCCCTCTTTTGCAGTTCTGGGCTCAGACTCTGCATGAGCTGGAGACCAAGCTTGTCCTCCTCGTAGAGGATTCGCGTGCCCTTGTAAGGACCCTCGTCAATCAAGTTGGGCTCTGCACCCGTGAACCACGGGGAGATTATGATTTGCGGTCCATAGAAGAATACCGATAGGCATAGATGGTGGCCGTAGAAGCTGTAGCCCCAGGGCGCATCGACAGAGGGCTTTCCAAAAAGGCAAAAGTTGTAAGAGTACTCGTTCATGACCTTGGGGGCCTTGACGAGCTCTCCCAGAAAGTGGTTCACTCGCATGGCGCCGAGCGCCTTTTCGTAGCCTTCGGGGCTCAAGGTGGCCTCGAGGACCTTGAGGACTGCTTCGCGCAGCTCAGGGGTAATCTCATCCAGCCTGATGCCCTTGTCAGACAGCAAGAACTCGGGGTTTGACCATGTCCGCCACTTTTCACTGTCAACGTGCAGCAGCGTCTTGGCCTTTTGCTGGTCATTGAGCTGAGCAATTACATTTTCCGTAACTTTGACAATGTCTGCGATTGGTACACCCTCATCGCGGAGTTTGAAGAGATCTTTTCGTGGGTTGCCGTCTGTCGTGACACCACGATACGGCTCCTTGAGAAGATCGAACCAAAGAGAAACCAGGCCGTACAGCCATGGGGGTCGCTGGTGGTCGATTAGCTCCGCGGCATGGCTGTAGGCGTCGCACTCTGCGATACGCTGAAACCGCGGTGTATTGAGGTCAGGAAGATATTCCCGAAACGACTTTGACAGGTCAATGCTGGCCATTTTTTGAGGATTTGATTGAACAAGAGTTGAAGTGTTGTAGCCGTCAGGTAATGTTTGGAGCGACAGTCAATGAATGAAGCAAGGTAATCTAGCTCATGAGATTGAACGACTAGTAGTCAATCAGTCGGCTGGAAACCTTTGAGCTAGGACACTGCCGCCGGAAATTCCGAGCAAGTTGGTAGGTATACTTTGTTGAGAGAATGAGCTCCGAGGTGGGCGGGAAGCCGTCCGATATATCCACCGAGCGGGACAATGTGAGGCCTGTACACTGGACAATGCCGCTGCTGCAATCGCTGTCAAGGCTTTGGGAAGAGTATTGAAAGAGACGAGGTATATCGAACGATTGTTACGAGTCTCAGCTGATCTTTTCAAGCAAATACCCAAGGTAAGTCTTTGGTCTTGCATCCGACTCGGCTGTTATTTTGGGACCGAAGAAAGCTGTATGTAGGTAGTTCAAGTCGGCGATAGGACCCCGCCATTTTCCCACGCGGCTAGTAGGGAGGGGCGCTGTGAGTTCAATTGCCATAGGGGAGAAATATCGCCGCAATGCGGGGGCAGGGGGGGACATTGTGGGGAGGTCGATGGTCTAAATAACACCGAATTGCAAAACAATACACGTGGGCTGGTTGGTTACACGAGATACTTATTGCAGGAGGAACTAAAAGCCTACAAAGACAACAAGAGACCGAGCGTAGTTGATTAATTAGCTGGAGATTTTGCGGCATCTTAGACATGTAGATGGTGTAAAAAAAGTATATTGGAATACCTCCTTTCTGAAGCGTCTGCCTGTATCAAACTACAGGTAGTTTCAATGTTATGTAGGGACCTAGGCTACTAAAATGGTCTGCACGCGTGTTGTCCGCGCTTAGCATTAGAGATCAAAGGAAACTCTGTGACTTTAGGCGCGACTTTAGGACCATATTTTCAAATGGTGTTGGAATGAATAAAAAATACCTAGCTTTACAGAGACGCCTTTCAAGCTCACACGTTCGGCCTCATGTAACCTCTTCGATCCGTTCTGCGTCCTCAATGTCAGGCTCTAGGCTCAAGTTGGTGCCCAGACTGACCCCCAACGTTAGACCCTCGAACCTCGACTTGACGACGGTGTCGACAATATTGTCAAAGACTTCTCTCTGAATGACGGCACCAAAGTCGAGGCAACGGACCATGCCGCGGAAGCCTCGCGTCAGGCCCTCGATGATCTGGCGGTCAAGTGCGACGTCAGGGCCGTAAATCTGGACAATCTCGAACCAAGCCTGTACTGGTGCAAGCTCACGATCTGGAGGGTTCAAGGTCATGGCGAGGCCGTAGAGAGAATCTAGTGATAAGCCAACGGACTGCCATTCAATGTCATGCGTATCCGGGTTGCAAGAAGGATTCGACTTGATGACGGCATTGACCGCATCAATGCGCGTAAAGATGTCGGGCGTTGCGTGCTGAAGCGCAATCGACGATGCCATCAACGCGTGTCCATTCTCTGCGTCCATCGGGTCATATGATAAGTGTTTGTAGTGCGACGGGTCGAAGTGGTTCCAGCAAATGTGTTCAAGGCTACAGTCATTGTCTCGTGCGTAAGTAAAGCATTCCGGACAAGAGCATAGTAGGATAGGCAAGAAATGTAGTGGAACTCACGAGAGTATAAAGTTGATGACTAGCTCCGTCTGTTCCTCTGTTAGCGCGCTAGACACTGGCCCTGGTGATGCGCCAAAGTCAGACACGCTTGCTGTGGCAACGGTCATGGTCGGGGTCATCTCCATCGCGGAGAAGGTCGGCGAGAACATGTCTTGTGTCCTATTTCCCAGACTTGGACTGGGTGACCTCGATACGCGGAATGTCGGCGTGCTGTCACTCATGTCCATACGGAGTATGTACTCGGGCTCGTCCGTGCCAGTATTCGCCTCGGCCTTTGAGACCGGATCCGGTGGCAGAATTTCGGGGCTGATTGTTGGGGCCGGCAGCCGTACTGGTGCTCTTGGAACAGGCGCGCCGAGGTTCATCATCCCCGACGCCACAGCATTTTTGGAGAGTTGTTTCCTCATGGTCTCGTTCTCGGCCCTCAGAGCGTTCGCATCGGTCTCCGTCTGCTCGATCATATCTCGTAGACGGGCAATGTCCATCTCTAGCTCCTTGGTGTAGTTTGCCTTGCGCTGGCGATGTTGTTTTTGGGCCTTCCTAACTTGGGCCCTTCGGGCTTGCGCCCGCGACTTTGCATTATCGGTCACTTCATTTTGCGTGGAATCTGATGACCTTTGTCAGCAGCGTTTCTAACATGAGAATGAATAAGAAATATAGAGTGAATTCATGCGGAAAAGTCTTATACCGAGGGAGCAAATAACGCGAGATACATAAGGATAGTGTCTTGATAGGATGGCCACGGAGTAGCCAGCCCCACACACCCGAACCAGTACGAAGGGGCAAGATGTGATTCAAAGACTTTGTCAGTCCATAAGATGATGTGAAGAGAGTACTTCCTGGTGAGACTGCTCTCAATCCCACGCTTGACCGCATGCGCTTCTAGCTGTCCACCTCAAGTGATAGTCTGTTGTGGCATCCTGTCTACATGGGATTTGCTGTTGGGGTGGTCCCTTGTTTGTCCTTCTTGACATTTGTGAAGTCGAACCGTAGTTCAGTTGTGAAAAGGGAGAGTCGTCTTGGCATGATGGGAAATACTCCAAGGAAAACGGAAAGAAAAAGAAATGTATGACTAGTGACTTACATACCTACACCGGCGCTCGGGAGGAAAGTAACGGTTTTGGCCTGATGAGCCTCCTTGTTGCGCTTCCAAAAGTCCTCAAATGAAGGTCGATCCTCGAGACCACCAGGATCGGCTCCATCGCCAGGAGGAGTGTCGTGCGGTAGGTCCGCAGAGACCTCCATCATGAGCCGACGTGATGGCAACTGCGGCAGAAGTACAAAGGAAGACTCGTCTGGTATTGCACTGATGGACAGGGGTGGGGTGATAATAGTTCGCAGGCCCTCCTAGTCGAGCCACGTGTAGCCGGGGTACCGTTTTCCCAGCTGAGAATGGCTTGTGGACGGTTCCAAGATGGTATCTTTGACTTTGGCGCGATCTTTTTGAGATGGGGTTCCAAGAAACGTGACCAGGCTAACGTAGCAGGAGGGTATCAAGAGAGGATGGGGTGGAGGATGAAATTGTCGAGGAAGAAAGAAAAAATTGTTTCTAGAATGGTTCTTTCTCTAGGTCGAGGCTGCAAGTCAGGTCCCCTGTGTCACTACATCTCGCCGCAGTCTGGAACCCATGAGCCGTTGGACAACGTGGGCAGAAAACCGCATGATCCAGGCGACATGTGGAATCAATCATAAAGTTTTGGGAAGGCGGTCAGAGAGTCGCCCCGAGCGTCCGACCAATGACGTGTGTAGCCAGCTTAGCTCCGGATGAGCTGCCGGCACGGTCAGCCCCGTGTGGGACGGACGTAGCTATTTTCTTATTGCTGACTACATAGGCAGGTAGCCTTTGCTTCCAAATGGTTCCAGGTGACTAATGGAATATTATCAACGCCATTCAATGTCGACAGTTATGGGTGGTAGCGTGATTATATGTGGGAAAGGCATGTGCTTGGTACCATGGCGAGATGGCTTGCTGGGGGCCCTGATATAGCCCTCTGAGAGATCGCTTCATGCAGTGAGTAATGAGTGAAGATACCAAATCAATTATGTCTTCTATGAAAATGCTCACTGTGCATGCTTTTGGTAATGCCAAAATGCATTGCGCAAAGACCTGTCCATGAACGCCTGGTGCTGAACAAATGTGCGATGAATTCGCTTCCTTTTGTCACAAGACCCCAATACTTGCCGAGTCGCTTTTTGCCATGCCTAAACGCCGCTGGAAATGCCAAACCATTAATTCATCAATTATCTGCACCAGTCTCATCGTCTGTTGCCGTGTCTTCCTCAAGCTCTTCGTCAAGAACTTCCTCCTCTTCCTCGTCACTCTCATCCTCCGAATCGTCAGGATTGAGTCCGGGAATATCCTGCCACTGTAGATAATCCGAATCTACCCAACGTTTACTCGTGGGTAGTTGGTAAGGGTCAAATGGAAAGAAGGAGTCCAGTCTCTGCCAGCTCTCATCACTCAAGTCCAGTCCAGATTCACGTAGTGCGCCGCCGTTTGCGTATGCTGTGGAGACAAATTGTGACAGCCGGAGGCGTTTGTTAGCCTCGATCAGCGGATAGATATACATGAACCGGAAGCGGTGCGCAAGCAGGGCAAACTGGTCCACGATGCCTGGAGAACAGACTTTGAGTGGATTTAGCCTCGAGTAGATGTTCCGCCTAAGAATATCCTTGACGTCTGCGATCCACTCAATGTCCTGGTCGAGATAAGAAGAAGGGTCGTCCTCATCGACGTCTTCTGGAACAGATGCTACCAGGTCACGCCATCTGAAACAAAAGATATACATCAACGCCTGCGTTAATGAATAAAAGGCTGCGTATCGTCGGACATCCGGACCACGGCAGGATGCCTCATAAAGAGTTCGCATCTGATCGAGATGATAGCCAAGGACTTCAAAGATGGTGCGTACAATGTGGCCGGGGACATGAGCGCCTCGGGCCACGAAACTAGCCAAGTATGCGCATGCTGCCTGACGCAGCACAAGTGGCCGCTGCGACTCGAAAGCAATGTTAATGCAAGTGCCGCAAAATGCATCCATCAATCGCTCGGACTTTTGTGCAATGTGGAACACGAGGAACTGAGTGTGTCGCGACTTGTACGTAGGCAGGATGATGTTCGAGAACTCAGCCAGCAGGTCGCTAAAGGATTCAAGAGCTTCGTCAGACTCAGGATCGGCGTACTGTGGCTCATTAAGCCGAAAAAGCAGGTGCATGATAAAGTCCATCTTCTCGATGCTTTCCTTGACGGCATTGACCTTGGCATATTCGTCCTCGTCCTCGTCACTAACAACGGACTCGGCATCGCTTTCATCGCCGTCATCGCCTTGCAGCTCAGCTGCTGCTTGGGAGGATTTGAGGGCCAGAGCCACCATGGCGGTGAGGTTGTCGTCCAGATCGTCCAAATCCGTTTGCATATGAACATCGGTTTGGACCAGGTGGCTGATGATAAGATCCATGATCTCCGTCTTGAGCTGTGGGGCATATTCTCGTAGTCGAAGGAGGTTTTCTACATATGCCAAATGTATCCGGGTTGACTCTGTCTCAAAAGGATATTTCTTTGCAATGACACGGCCAAGAACCGACTGAGCAGCGGGGAAAACTCGGAGTAGATATTGTAGAGCCTGGTGCAAGCGCTCTTGAACGCGCTCCTTGGCAACAGGTGCAAACCCATCCACTGCCCAAGCGGATGATCGAGAGTCGGAAAACCTTTCTACCAAAGACAACAGAACCTGCTCAAGATAGGAGCCTTGACCGCTAATGAGGGCTCCCAGGAATTGCGTGTAGACTCGGACAAACTGTTCATCACGGCCGAGCCATTGACATTTCAGGACTTCCTTCACAAGGCCGTTGGCAGACCTGCCTAGATGTGGGATGAAGCTAGCGAGCGCAACCATGTAGACTTTGAGTTCTTGGCGTCGTTTCTCTGGAAGTGATGGGTCCGAGTCATCGTCTTCATACTCCTCCTCGTAGAGTCGTTGTTTACCCGAGAGTGTCTCCTTTAGGATATCGTATTCCTCGTCATCTCCTCTTGAGTGTCCGTCGAGGGCGTCCTGTATCTCCTTTTTGACCTCGTCGACGGACCTCGTGCCGACCTCGTGTATCTCTAAATTCATGTTGAACTCGACTCGCTGACGTTTGCGTGGGCTCTGAGAACCATCCATAGTGCTGTCGCTGTGGAGGCTATCATCGTCGGCGGCTTTCCGCTTGCCGTTGAAGGAGGGGGACGTTTTGAGAATGGGTTTGAGCGGACCAGTGCTCAATTTGAAGGATTGTCGAGACAAGGGCGCGACCGTGGCAGCGGTGGCGGCGGCGGCCTGCATCTGCGTCGGCATCGAGACTGTTGCCGCTTCAACAGGCACCTTGATCCTAGACACAACTGCGATCACGTGTCGTGACAAAACCTGCTGCTACGGTATGCTTTGTCCAAGATGCAGAAAAAGAATGTCGAGGAATTATGGCACATAATTCGTAAAGAGGTAGGCCTGTAGGATGCGTGCTCTCACAAAGGCCTAATTGCGATGAGGGCGGACGACAGTGACGAATAGTGCAGAAACATTCAGGTTTCAGAGGGGCTTTCCAAAAATTTCGACATCCACCGTCACGCGCGAAAGACTGAAAAACGCAGTGGAGTGGCGGGGCGTAATTGGCCCGTGCACTCGCGTTGCCAAGGGCGAAGAGCAAAAAAAATCTGGGGTGATGAGGAATTTTAGTGCACAGCAAACCACGAAATAAGGCTTGCATAACTTGCGTGCACTATTCAATCACTCACTAAGATTGTTCAAGTTTGCGTTTGTCCGTGAACTTACCAAGATGGATGGATCTATGAATATTGCAGCACAGCTTGCGAGTTATGTTCAAACCATTGTCACATTATTGAGAATCAGGGGACCATGGGTTGACCATCAAAACACCTTATACAAATTTGGAAGTTATATAAGCGGATTCGACCTGCACAGCGGTCGTGTAATCCATCGTCTGAAGACGAATACTGTCGAACTACAGCTGGGCTGCCAAGTTTGGGGTCTCTCTCAAGTAGAGCCTGTTGCGAAGAAATTTGACAAGGCAGAATGCCGCCGGGGAATCTATCAGGCATGAAAAATAAAGAAACCAAAACAACCTTGACTTTTGCAATCCTGCCTCCTCCCTACCATACCGCTTATTCATCGTGTACAAGCACGACGTATGTCGCCTCCAACTGCAGAACCAAGCAGATCCGGGAAGTAATGTCTCGTGAGGTGTTGAAACGGGGCCATAGACATCCGAGGGTACTTAGTGTATATCCTTGGAAGACAACGCTGAACACCCCGAAAGACTCTTGAGCCTGCGGCCTGTGTTGTGATTGCGCACATGGGAGCCGTAAGCCTAGTAACCTTCTCCGGCCGACCCGTTGTGACCCTGGCTGTACATATAGCCATCACCTCCCTCGACCGACTCGGCGCCTTGGAAACCCGGGGCTCCGGCAGCAGCAGACCCACCAGGAGCCCCAGCTCCGTACCCTTGGCTACCTGGGCGGTTCTGTTGGTTCTCGCCCCTGTTTGACTGAGACTGCTGATTATTGGTCAGTGAAAATGAGACAAGATGGCCTGGGCAGTATATCTTCAAGCTCCTGCCGCAGACATGATTGCAATGATAGAGGGACACATTACTTCTCTGTATTTGGACAAATAGATCTTCAGGGCCTCGGAGTAGTTCTCGAAACCAAGAGACGTCATTGCAAACAGAATATCCTCGCCATTGACAGTCTTTCTCTTCTCCTGGTGGCACTTCTCGGATGCTTCGAAAATTGTCAGCTTTGTTATAGTAACCAGTGAGGGAGAAAGGCATTCGTGAACGCCTGAGGGAAATTGGTCACCAACCTTCACTCGTAATGAAACTGATGAATTCGCTCACGCACTCCTGCATGCACTCCTTGGCCTCCTTTGCGATTTTGGCATTCTCTGGAAGAGCGAGCTTCATGATACGGGCGACTGGTGCAAAGTTGCGAATATTAGCATCGTACACATCATACTTTTCCGCTTTGGATGTGGCGCGAGGCGCTTCCGGCGACTGAGACGACGAATCGTTCGACATGGATAATGTGCTTATGCGCGGTTGTCTCAAATTTTTGAGCCAATATGAACCATTTGCGCGATGACCGAGAAGCGATTCCAGTCAACGCCCACAACAGCTCACCCACAGCAGTCGTCAGGGACTCCGTAGCTTACAGCAAGACATCGACACCAAACAAACAATGCGCGCAAATCAGAGGGCAGATGAAGAAGGGAATCTTGCTCACCATTGGCTATGGGCAGCCATCTATCCTGCTCCTTCACTTCAAACTCGTAGCCGAGGCCGCTGTGTGGGTCTTGAGGGTCGTTCATTTGTGCTTCATCGTCGGGTGATTGTACACCTGCCTCGACCTCCTTCGAAGGGGATTGGGGGGGATCCGACATATTTGGCTACCTGCAGCGGGTGCTGGCTTCTTTTGAAATCTCTTGGATTGCCCAGCTCGTACAGCTGGTTACTAGGTTCAAACTAGGTATCGATGATGTGTCCCTGCCTCTTTGACACGTCGCAGGGGAGTAAGGCTTGAGGGCTTGCTTGCAACTGCGTGCGGCTTAGCTGCAGGAAGATATTTTCTCTCAGCGTTCAAGGGGCCTCCTGCCAGATGCGGGAACCCTTCGATTACGACTACGACTGAGATGAGAGGTAGACTGCTGGGGCGTGACCTCACAATTCTCCGATATAGCCCTGTTGGCAAGCCCAGGCTATGACGGTATGTTTGGGATATGCAGGAGTCGGTCTGCAGGACGGACCCTGGTCTTCTGAAGAAAGTGCGCCTTGGGCCCTTGGCTTGATAGTACGTAGTAGTGAAGCGGTCGGCCGTGGTAGTGGCGGACGGGGACGGAAGCAGAAACGTGGACGGAAAGGATGCCCGCGTGGGAAGCGGGGTGAGGGTATGTACGTGAGAGGTTGACTGCGGGCCTCTATGGGTTTTTCGGGGGGCTCAACTGGGTGGTGGCTTTAGTGCAGATGCGCAGTACGATCGCCTGGCTGCAGCAGAGGGCAGGTAGGTACTTCGTACGTAGTCTGATATTCTGTACAGTCGTAGTATTCCTGGCCTATCGAATTCAAGAGCGGTGCTGCGAAAATGCTTTTTTGGGCGCAATGGAAACGATTTCCGCCGTGGGATATATTGTATCGCGTCAACGTTTTGGGGTGTCCGTTTAGGCGGATATGTCTTTAAGTTACACCGGTGCTCGGCGAGTGAAGTGAGAGAGACAGTGGTTTAGTTGTTATTGCGACAATGCGCGCGCAAGGCAGGCAGACAGTAGCTCCACGGTACACTCTGGGGGTGTTTCTGGAAATAGACAGCCACGGTTAGAATAAATTGATGGCTGCACTGTCGCGTCAGGATGCTGCGGAAGCCCTCCTTGGTTTCCGGACAGACGATCGAGGCTCGTCGAGGTGCGGAGGAATGGGTTGACTGATTGATTGGGTTTACTGGGCTGGGTCTGGACTCACCAAGTCAGAAGGGAGGGTCTGCGTTGTCTCTTTGGACGCGTCGTGGGGGGTGAAGTATTTGGAGTGTCGGGTCCGGTTAGGTCTTGGTTCAGGTCGCAAAGAAGCTTCCTAGTAATAAACGAGTTGCACTGAGTTACCAGATGAACGAGAGACTCGATTGCTTCTGGGTTATGTGCGCGAACGCGAATTGAGAACTTGGAGCTACCTCTTGGTGGCTGATCAGCTCAAGCTAGGTAGGTACAAATCCGACCAAAACGTGGGGCAAAATGCGCCGTCCGTCCCTGGATTCTCTGTACTAGATCGAAGTCGGCGCGGCGATAAAACCTAGCAAAACAGCGCGCGATTGTACCGCGATGCGATACGATACGGCCAGTATGTGTTTGGTGAAAGTGGGAATCTCACGAAGCGATGTGATTTGACTGGATCAATTTGACAGGACTTTCATCATAGCCGGCGGCAGCGTCTGAGGGCTCGGGGTGTGCCAGTACAGGCTACGATTCGTCGTGTGTACAGTGTGGGTACGGTACGTCAAGCCATTCAGGGTTCCATGTTTACGGGGCAGGCAGGTAATAAACTACATTACCTACCAGTAGGTAAACAGCTAAAAACTACGGATTACTCTAATGTACGTACAAGGATAAGAAACTGGGTTCAATGTTGACCAAAGAGAGGTGCCGAGGACTCGGGCTGGAATGACATCTGGAAGTATTCAATTACTATGTACCTGCAAAAGCTCTTCTAGTAACAAACAGAAATTCTGTGACTATGTCTACATTATTCGACGTCATTTACAGGAAACTTGACCTTTGGAACTGTGACTGAGTTACCATAGAGTCTAGGCGACATGCCCCACCGACCACAAGAGTTCGGATCTTTTTTTTTTGGGCAAGTTCTAAGAGTGAAATGGATTATAGATACACCTATACTGGTGCAGGCAGTATATTTGAATGAATGTTCCATTTTGGTTTTACTTTGCTATGTGAATTCATGTCCATGATCCAAAGCTTGACATCTCCATTAGGTATTGCTACATACCTAGTTTTCATCATCATCAAGCTCATAGAGGTACGTTGTTCATTCATTCATTCTAGACGCCCGACTTATCTCATCATGTACCAAAAAGCCAGTCTACTAAAGCCCAATATGTACCACGTACGACCAAGCGAAAGAAAAAGAAAAAGAAAGACATAGAAGGCCAGGGTACGGCACCATTTCATGCAAGCTCTGCGAAGTGAGTTGTCACGGCTATTAGGTGTCTTGTCCGATCCGGGCTACCCGCGGTATCGTTAGCTGTGAGATCAAACCGGTTGTCGCTGCTCATCACCATGATCGGAATGTTCCAAGGAAAAATTGGCGGACACCGCGCCCTTCATGAGGCGGTGAAAGAATCTTCAACTCTTCAGTACCAGACTCCGACCGGTGGAGTTCACCGGTCTGACCTGTTCCGCATGGTTTTCCTGTTTGAAGTCAGGCTTGCTCATCCGGTAACATCGTTCCAAATCCAGCATTCAACACCCACCTTGATCACGTCGATGGGCTGAGCCCTCGATGAAATTGACTTATATTACACTTACAAAGTACCTGGAACTGAACGTGTCGGCTGCCTGACAGGAACAAGCAGTCTTGCAACTGCGCCTGCTAAACGGTCACAGCCCCCAGATGCTGATCGCCAGAACTTTGAAAACGGTCGGGTCATCATGCTATTAGTGGCCGCCATTGGCCTGTCACGTATGTAAAGAGGAAGCATCTGCATGCCGGTTCCTTCATATAAGGCTGCTGTTGAGCCAGAAGAATCCCGCTTCGCAGCCAATCGCAGGATTCACCGCGCAGACGTAGAATTCTGATTGGTAGTAAATAGGGAATTACTCTGACCTGTCGGTCTTTTTCCAAATTGCGGAGATGGTGCCCATGCGCGTGCAGTCTTTTCTGGGCGGATCTCAAGGGCTCTCACCATACTCAACATGCGTATACTTTCACTACTATGTACTGTCACGCTTTGTAGGTGTTCATCTATGTGGATCGATGTCATCACCTGACCTGGATGAGATCCCTATGTTTCCGCTTTTTTGCTGCAGCATCGTTTCTCTCAGTCCTGGGCTCCAGACTCCTGCGCACATCTCTCGGCATGCATGAACACTATGCAGCATGCGTCATGCGGCCTAAATGCGTCCCAATCGAGCCCATTTTACTGCTGCCCAATGGCTGGTAACGAAACGACGATCGGTCTACAGCTCATTCGCTCTTTAGTAATCAGTGTCAAGTGTAATGCTCAATCTATCGCAGCATGGCGAGATCAGTCATAGTTTACATCTGATAGGTGTTCCAGGAGTCTGGGACGACCATTGAACGATCTCCGTATGGGGAATTACTTTGATCAGATTCAGCTAGGTGCCATCTTGATGCCCCATCTTTCTGCGTGTATAAACGCACATCTCTCGAGTGCGGATTCGGGCACATTTGCATACAACGGGGAACATCCGAGAGCCCATGTGCATCGTCGGCATTTCCAGCGGTTTTCCGACCACATTTTTCGCAAATTGTTTCCAAGCACTACACCCCTACAAGACGAGGGCCTCTTCCCGGGGACAATAATGGCGGTTACGATGATGACGAAGTGTGCTTCACACCACACCACACCACATTCTCTCGTAATGCGACGTTTATGCAAGTATGAGCTGTATTTTGACAGCTGCGAGCAATGTTTCAGAGAGACAGCCATGTTGGTCGACCCGGGTTAAAGTAGTTTGTTAATCATCGTGCCATGCATAACCGATGGCTGGCAGGGCGGATCTGGAAAATATACGAGAGCCTGGCTTGAGTGCCACAAAAAAAGATGTGCCGACTATCGAAGCCTCATGAAAACTCTTTAAGGATTTTTCTTTTGAAAGGCCCTGCTTTTATGTGGGTTATATGCAGAGCCTCGTACGGATTCAATTCAAACATCCCCGATTATCAGATGGACCTCACGAGACTGGCGACCAATGCTTTACCCGGCTGTACCTGGGCGCCTAAGTTTTTGGAGCTTAGCAAATATCCAACTACTGGTTGGACAACACATCACACACCATTACGGCACTTCCATGTAAGACGCATGGTGTGGCTAGTTCTGCCAATCCCAGAAGCTCGATTCGCCCGACATCTGGCTGTTCCTCTCCATGATTATGTTGATTTCGGCCAGTAATCTGCTGTTCTCTGTATCGTCACGGAGCATGCTGTACCTAAACTCGGTTCCGAATTGTGGCCAAGTTTTTTTGCTCCTGGAAGCGTAAAATTCCGAGGCCAGCTCAGGTCAGCACTTCTGCCACCCGCACCTGCATGCTTGAAGCTTTCGTATGCACCTCATGCCCGCTGCCAAAGCGAAATTCGTGCCCGGCCTGGCTCATGACTGTACGATCTGAACATTGTTCTTCTTCTATGGAGCCATTGCCATTAGTATTACATTGATACAAACGCCTGGGTGGGTGTGGTCGGCTCGATCCAGAACTTACCTTCCATTTCTCGAGGTCATCTTGCTTTGTCTTGTACTGCTTGACGAGCTCGTCGAGGACTTGTTTGAGGCCCTCAGCGTTCGTCTTCAGCGCAGGAACGACATCTTCCACAGTTCGCTCCACTAGCACACCATTGATCATGCGAAAGCACTTGCGGTCGCCTGGAAGAGGACTTAGGGTCTCTAATACAAGTCTGCCCATGGGTCAGCAACATAGTAACAGAACAAAATCCACGGCTGTTTGTGCGCGCTTGAAAACTCTAGACCTAGTTCCTGGCTGGGGATATGAAACGCTGAAATATGGTCTCCAAGATTCCCTTCACAGGCGAAGATCCACGCAGACATTTTCATACATGAGATGATGAGCGAAGTAGGATGAAAGCAGGTGTACGGCTGGGGTAAAGGCTCAAACAAAAGGAACTGACTTGTGCTCCTCAGCCTCCTGCTCAACATCGCCGATCTTTTGGGCGAGTTGCTGGAGTGTATTCTTGTAGTTGCCATACTGCGTTTGCAGCTCTGTGAGGGTTGGTTAGCAACCTTGTATAGATTGAGCCTCGTCTCCTTGGATGAGGAATGGCGAGAGGGGGGCATGGCTCACGTTGCTGCTGCTTGGGGGATGGGTTCTTCGATGCCATGGAGACTTGTTTGATAGCAAGAAACACAATAAGGTATAGGATAGAGAGTTGAGACAAGTAACCTGAGTAAGGAAAGGACCTATTGCAATAGCAGGTTGTGTGTTGACCTCATGAATGGCAGTGAACTGATCTCTTCCTCCCTGTAGTGTCTGTCCTAACTAATGGAGACGGCCCAGGAGGGAAATATGTGGAGTTGTGGCCCATGCTTTTTTCCCTCAAGCCTCCAGCGGCGCCCCAAGGGTCCTTTTAGTGCTGGAGTTTTGGTAGGTGACCGACCAGTGACAGACCAGCAAATCTTCATATCCTCGGACCATTTGCGACTCGATCTTGTTGCCCTCAAATCTCGCATCTGTTTTCCTTTTCTTGTCTTCTCAGCAGTTTTAGAATACGCGGCCCTTCCAAGCTCTATTAAAATGCATCCCCATTTGCATACAAAAGACAACATCGGTACGTCCATACTCTCGTATCACAGATGCACCTAACACACCCTCAACAAGGCGACCTGGAAACTAATATATCGGCTTCACATGTAGCTTGCGAGGAGGTCATGACCGCACTCGAAGAATGCCACGCACGCGGCTTTCTCTGGAAGTCCCTCGGCATGTGCAGCGATGCGAAGCAGCAGGTCAACATGTGCCTACGCGCCGAGAGACTGAAGCGCACAGCAGCGAACCGCGAAGCCGCCAAGGTCAAGAGGGACAAGATCAAGAAAGTATGGGCTGAAATCGACGAGAACACCTAGTCGCACATGTGGCTTCACAAGTCATGGGGGAAGCATATTTTCAGGGAGCATGGGACTATGGAGTTTCATGGGTTATCATAAAGCATTGGCTGTCAATTTGGACAGGGCGTTCTTCGGATGAAATAACAGGTTTTCGGTCATGGGCAAGCCAAGGCGCATGGATTTGAACTTTTGGTATTTGCAACCCCACTCTAAGGCAATTATTTTACGACGCGAATCGATGCACGATCGAAAATCCAACGTCCAGTTCAGGCCGTCTACAAGGTCTTCCGGAACGCATCACCGAACACAAACGCACCGAACAGCGACACGAAGCTCAGCACCACCGGAACGGGCTTCTTGAGGCGGAGCGCTCTGGGAATAGAAGAGCCTCCGAGGACGACAGAGGCGAGCAGTGCCAGCTCAAGGCCAAACGATTGGAAGTTTTGGAGGCGGTAGCCGCCCAGAGCGTCTAGGCGAGATCTTGTTAGTTATGACGTTCGGCTCCTCGTGCAACCGGAACAATTCGGCCGCAGGGAGCAATGGAAGAAATACATACAAAGTAGACCAACTGTCCAGCCTGCTGCGACCGAAGGTACAGAGCCCGTTCTCAGGAAACCAATTGTGCCTCCAGTTGCGGTCAGACCGCCGAGCGCATAAGCAGTGTTCTCGAGACCCTAATGCGTGGTGTGTAAGCAAATACTGTAGGCTCTGGCGGGTAGTGCACATACCATGATGTCGAATGATTACTTGGTCGATGTTCGTTTTATCTGATGTGTAACGTAAACAAACAGCCAAATCTTGATATAACTTGACGATTGGGGGTATTTGCACGAAACTGAGAGTTGAAATTACAAAGCAGCTTGGAGAGGACAGCTTCAGAGTCTAGACGAATCCCGAGGCAGTGCGGGTCCCCGAGGCCTTTCGGAGGTTTGGGGGGTTGCCCATCCGCCTGGTCCATCGCTGACCTCATGCAGAGCTGTTGGTTGGCTTTTTGGAGCTACGTACTACTCAGTGCTATTGCTAAGGTGTTATCCGTCTTGGCAGGAACCCGCTAGGTCGATTGCTTTCTTTGCTTGGAAAACCCTTGTCAACTTTATACTAGTATACCTCCATAGCAGGATCCTGAAAGGTGGACAAATTGTTTAGCAAATAAGATCATCTTCACACTTTGTGAATAATCCATGAATTACAAGATGGCCACCTGTTTGTACAAATAATACCTGTTGCAGCTTTTCCTTTAAGTGCTATGCAGCGTGGCTTCGGCCCCACACTCAAAGCACGAGCCCACAGCGACATAGATTGAACACTTCTGATTGGCTATCGTTCATCGAGCTGCGTGTCCCTTTGGCGCAAGTTGAACTTCTAGACAGACAATACGTCTCCCCAGGGTCCAAGACTTCAACAAACGAGAGCAAAGCGTTGACAGCTCACACTGTTTGCCTTTCGTTCCGCCGACAGTTTTTCACCATCAAGCAGGACTCCAAATTGTGAAAAGCGCCAATTCATCGCATCGACGCCCACAATGGCAAAGAAGGCTACCGCCACCGGCCTGTCCAGCTCGCAGCAGAGCTCAGGCACCACGACACCGGCCTCGATATCCGCAGGCGCAGCGCCCCTTGCGGCCACTCCTAAGAAGTCCGCTGCAACCGCCTCGACCACCAGTGATACCGATGCAAACCGATGGGATCAGATCGCCACGAACTTCTTCGATGCCTACCAGAAGGACACCCCGCAGCGGACCAAGCTGATTGACGCCTTCATGGCCTTCCTGGTCGTCGTCGGAGCTCTTCAGTTCTTGTACTGCGTCTTGGCCGGCAACTACGTACGTCCAAGCCCAATTCAACATCCCTGGCTTCCTTTTATATTTCTTCTTGCTTGTCCTATAAGGTCTAGTGGTCATCAATCTATGAGCACTGATGACGGAGGTCTGCGATGACGAGAATTGGGGCTGACATAACATTTTGATTATAGCCGTTCAATGCATTCCTGTCAGGCTTTGGAGCTACCGTTGGCCAGTTCGTTCTCACAGGTATGTTTCATATCACCGCTTCTGAAGTGAAGCAGTTCGCGATTGAAGCTAATATAGAGGGAATCCAATAGCATCACTCCGAATCCAGACCGATGAGGGAAACAAGTCGGAGTTTACATCCATCTCGCACGAGCGAGCCTTCGCAGATTTCATTGTTGGCAGCTTGATTCTACACTTCTTCGTTATCAACTTCATAAACTAGAAAGCGACCGCACAGTTTGAAGGGTTTCTCAAGAAGGGAAGAGCTTGTACTCAAGAAAGAAAGAACAAAAGATAATTCTCCCCAATGGGTGTATCATGATTCCGGCACACTGGGAAGAACGAGTGGATCAGGTCGTTGCGTTCGTCTAGTTTTGAATTGAGCTACGAACTGTTGAACGGCTCAAGTCCAAATCCATGTTTGGGGAAGCAGACATGTACATTGTACCAGTATCAGGAAATGAATGGCAATAAGCACAAAAGCAAACAATAGAGGTCGATTTTTGCACTTCAAAACTTTATAAGTCGGACCCGGTTGAGCCAATTGCTATTGATTCAAATGTTCGAGGCCACTTAGTCTAGATTTCACCTCCTCGGGGCTATCACGCAATAAGTCGAGACTATGCCAACCTCAAGCTGCGATTTCACCCTCTCATCTCTTGGATAAGCTCAGAAAACCTCCTAGTCGATGTCATCACCTCCCTCTGCAGGCTGAGGTGACGCCTTTGGCGGCCCCCCCATTGGTGGAGGGCCGGCTCCAGAAGACTTGGGCGGCGGCGGCGGAGGGGTGGCCTTGGCTTTGGACGAGGTACCATCCAAGTCCCTGCTTCTTTTTTCTTCTTCTGCAAAATAATCATCCATCAACCTGTTCGGACTATGTCCGTGCCGATCCTTTTTCTTGGCTGATCTCGTCGGCACGCTTCCCGCCGCCGCTACTGGTGAAGCTGCCATTTGTGCCGGCACCAAGAAATCAGCCGACGGTGCGCCCTGAACTGGACTGAATGTGTTGTTTCCGTATGTGTTGTCTTGAGGTGGCGCCCCAAACGTAGTGAATTGGTCAGCCCCAGCGCCTGCCCCAGCCGTCTCATTGAAGCCGCCGTCAAACATGGTATCGCCAGGTTGGTCGACGGGTTCGTCGAGAGGCGCAGGCAGGCGATGCAGTGCACCGTAGCCTAGGACACAGCCAAGAGCGCCCTCACCGCCCCAGTCACGGCTTGGAACGATTTCGAGCTCGCGCGTGACATTATACTCGTTGTTGTAGACCCAGAGCCGCAGGGGCCGGCCAATATAGTCCTCGACGAGCTCGCCGAGGCCACCCTCGCCATGCAGCACGCCGTCGGGGGTGCCCAGGATGTAGTCGCTGTACGGCAGCAGGCCCGCGTTGTCGGCCGGGGAGTTGGACGGCACGTCTAGCACATGCCAGATGTTGGAGACGACAGCGAGCGGCGTGAACTGGAGGGACAAACCCAGCGAGGGATTATCTATCGGAACCGGGAGGTGCAGAACCCGCGTGCGCTGGCCCTTGGCCGACCAGAGACCCAGAGCCACAGTGCCGCCGGCGCAGTTGCGGACTTCTTGCGCGAAGAGCCGGGGGTCGGGATTATCCTGTGAGCGCGCAGTTGGTTAGATGTGGTAATAATGGATTCACGTGATGCGAGGACCGTACAATCTCCCTTCCATTGATTCCTACGATAAAGTCGAACCAAGGCTCAATGCCCAGCTCCAGGTTGGTGTTGCGCAGGACCTGAAAACCATATCCACCTTGCTGGTGATCCCGTCGTTGCTGCTGGGGGTCGCCGTCCAAGCGGGATATGAAGCGATTGAGTGCGTTAAACATGATCTGTTGCCTTGCTACCGGTTCTCGAGACTTTAATGTGCAGTGGACAGTCGTGAACGGAGGATGAGAGACCCAATCAACCGTTGAACCGTTGTGGTTTGTAGGAAGCTGGTTTATAGTAGGAACGATCTTGAGATCGCATAGCTGTCATTTGAAAGAGGCCCAGCCTTAGCATTGTGCAGGGATATGAGCTCCCGTTAGCTACACTGAGAGCCATCATAAAAAGTACAGCGGTACCTGGTGAGTTAGGCACTTGAGCGTAGTGGGGTCCAGGTTAGAGCACTAGCAGCGCGCTCCAAGTTTCTCGTCAAATTCTCAGCCTCGTTTATAATTCTTTCTTTTGAACGTTTAGACGATCTGTCATTGGAGAAAAAAGCAAAGTTCGCGGATTGGCGCACGGCTGTTGAGATGCTTGCATAAGCTGGGGAAAAGTTGAGTGATGGTTAGGCACGTCTCGGGTCCATTTGGCTTCTCACCAAAAAAGCCCAAGATGAATTCCGTAAAGAAGCTGCCGTTGACGGACGAGTGCCACCATTGGAGGCGTTTGGGCGAGGTTCCGTGGGATCTTCAAAAGTAAGTCGTGCTTTTTGTGATAGCATTCTATTCGATGAGCTGACAAAGCTGCAAAGATACTGGCAACAACGGCACACCATATTTCCAAACTACAATGAGGGCATATACATGACTGACAGTGCCTGGTACGGCGTAACTCCCGAGCCCGTGGCCACGCAGATTGCTTGGGAACTTCCTGGAACCGTATCCGACGACAAGACTACCATTATCGACCTGTTTGCTGGCGTGGGATCAAATGCCATCGCGTTTGCACTATCCGAACGCTGGGATAAGGTCATTGCATGCGAAAAAGACCCGGCTACACTTGCGTGCGCTCAACATCATGCTCAGCTGTGTGGCGTGGGCGATTCTATTACCTGGGTAAACGGCGACAGTTTCGAGTATCTTAAGCTTCTCAACTCTTCTCCCGCAATTCTGGGCGACGACATTAGGGTGGATGTCGAGAAGACAGTCCTTTTTGGTTCGCCGCCCTGGGGAGGCCCAGGTTATGTGACCGATGAAGTCTTCGACCTTAGCACCATGGAGCCATATAATCTCGAAACCATGCACGAGGCATACCGAAATATGGATCATGCTCTCTACCTGCCACGAACTAGCGATCTCAGGCAAATTGCTCAGTTGGTTCCCGACGGGACCAAGATTGAAGTTGTGCAATATTGCGTACAAGGCGCAAGCAAGGCTTTGGTTGCATATCTACCCGCGCAACCAAGTGAAAGAACAATGATGGGCGAAGACACGACAATGGATATCGAGGCATGAGACAGCCAACTGAGAACCAAGATCGCGGTAACCGAGAGTTTTCCCAAAACTTATGCTGAGGAAATCCCATTCATAGCGCACAAATTCAGACGATAGCATGTCTAATCAGCTTTTCGTAGCTGATCACTGTAGACATGCTCATCTTGTCTGCTTTGCTTCTCCTACTGAAGTCTGTAAAGACGTACGATGGATGAAGCACAGCGAGCACTAAAACGGCACTCGACACCATCAATCCGTCAAACCACGCAAAGGACCCCTCGGAAGGTTTCTCTCTAGCCATGCCCATAAACGAAATCGCGCCGTGTATGCTTCTGATCAGCAAGCAAATCACGGCAAGCTGTATTGCTGCGAGGAACATCTGAAACCTCCGACCCAAGGCTTTATACCCACCGCGTTCGGGGTTGAACGTCGTGAAGCCAAGCTCATAAAAGGCCATTGCTGCCCGGCTTGTGATTGTGATGAGCATAATCAGAAACACCATCAGCGTCAAGGCATGGATCCCGGTTCCCACGGCGATGATCTGCCCTCCTTTGGTCGTTTCAATACCAACATGGTCTGTCGTGATTTCCCACATCGAAACACCAAGCCCAGCAAGCTGTACTAGTAGACTGCCGATATCCATGAATATCAAGTGTCGGTACCACTTTGGGGGTATGAGTGAGTGCTCTTTTCCGACTGTAAATAGTAGTCTTTCGGTGATGAGATACATGCTGGAAAAAGGTCAGGCTCCCTGGCAACATTGGCACGAAGAGACATAGGACTTACCTGCTAGGCACAAACATTGGCGCAATCGTGAAAAAGAATTGCTGAGTAGCGTACAGGGAAACGTTCCAAGGATCATATGAGCTCCTTGTTCGTATGATGTAGCCAGTAATCTCGAAAATACACGCAGTACACAGTGGCATACTGTACGCTATCCATTGCTTGGTATATAGAATAATGATTTGCAGTCCTATCAAGCTCGACGTGAAGCTAAACAGATAAACAATGTGAATGGCTTGAGATGGACGATAACCGTACGGTGATGCAAGTAGACACCTATCATGACTACACGGTAGCAATCCGGTAGTATTCATCAACAACTCAGACATGGTGGCTAGGCTTGAGAAATATGAGGCAATGGACTTGAGCAGACATGGAATGCAAGTGGATTATATCTATTGTCAGACCATGACATGTCAGCAAGAGCGAGCCCAATATCTTCCATTTTCATGCATCTGTATTGTGCAAATGTGTATGCGGTTCTTTAATTGACATTAACTCGCACGTCCTATACAAGGCTGCTAGAGATGTGCAACCCCAAAGCTCTAAATAGAACCTTCCTGCATATAGAAGGCTGACCATAGCCGCGCCGTAGCCTACATGAATGGCGGGTATGCAGGTCCCGCGATGCGGCCCGGCTATGTATGCATTCTTCGCGCCCTCAGACCAATCATGTATGCTGTGGAAAGAGTGCATCGGCATCTGCACCGCCTCATTGCGCAGGCTTCGCCTCTCCCCCGCCCATATTTGGACTCTTGCATCCCAACTGGGGATGGTTGCGTCCATTTTCGGCTTCAGAGAAATTTGATGCGGGTATTTGGTGATGTAAATGTCGATGTAGTGTATGGTTGGTGCTTGATAATGTCGGCTGATCCCTTGATGTTGTGCTCAAGCTTATACTGATTTGTGCATCTTCTGCGCTGGTGTAAAATTTCAGGCATCATATATGAATGCTTGGTGGATGGAAGCGTAACACGCCGGACGTTCTTCAAACGAACTTGCGAATATGAACAATAAAAAAGAGAACATGGTTCATTGATGGACTGAGTTCATAAGATTAATCATCAAGCGCTCACAATGCTGTGCTCGTACTTCGGTCCAGTACATCCGCCATCCTCCGATAAGTGAAGGGGAAAGGCGAAAATGCAAAATGCTAGAATTTTAAAAATGCAAAATGCTAGAATTTTAACGCCATCAACTCCGTGGGTATGAACTTTCCGGCTTCATCAAGCCGCCCAGAACATCAAATCAACGTGAAACCTCATCAACTCCTGATTTGTCGTCCCGTACTCTGGCTACCGCTGCCACCGTGGATATATCGGCACGACTTCACTCATCTCCGGAAGCCTCTCTACTTGCTTGCCCTTGTCATCGTCATTGCCTTGGAGGCCCGCTGGCTGAGGCTGCGTGTAGAAGCACTTGAGCATGTTGTTATATGCGACCACGTATCCACGGAGGACAGGGCCATATTCAGGGCTGCACTTAGTCTCTTCACCTGTATCTAAAAGCCCGCAGCTTGGTCAGCTGTGATACTCTCGTCATCACAACTCATGTGGGTCTGTGAATAGTTTGATATGCAGCGAAGCCAATAAATCGTCTTGCTTATTTTGACAAACAGTATGCGAGTATACGTACCATTGTAAACTGCCTGAGCCATTGGGTGCAGAGCCGGATATTGCTGTGGGTTTTTCTCAAAATCATCCCGCCAATACCGCTCGTCTGCCAGACACTGCTCTTGGGTTTTGCTGGCATCCAGCTGGTAGTGGATATTTGCGAGCCAGCTATTCTTCCAGCGGGCGTAATCGCGCCATACTGTCATCTTCATCAGGTCCTGTTTGCTTTCTTCTTCGAGCCCTGATATATCGATTGAGCAAATTTACTGTCAGCACTTTGCCCGTATTCGAGAGTAGGTTTGTAGGAGATCGCCATTCAAGTCGCTACTTACGGGAAAATTCTTGTTGTACTGCTGGGTGAAGTCCCGGCAACTCGTCTCTCTCAAAGTCACCGAGCACACAAGTCTGCTCGGGGATAGCCGAGAGAGGGTTGCTGCTTTGTCCCTGCCAGTGTCTTTGCATCTTGTCAGGAGAGTCCTTGCTGTGTATCTTTCTCTTGTGATATTCGTGGTCGTGGATCGTAGTACCGAGACGACGAGGATGATAAGAGCAAGAGCAAAAAGAGAAGTCGCCCATTAGATTCGTCGACATTTATACTCTGGTTCCATGTCCCTCCCATGATATTCAGACGCAAGTGAATTAACAACGACAATGGTGCTCAATAATTCAATTGCAACTTGTAAGGATTGAGTTCGAGTCAGAGCAGTCGGTCTTGTGCTTGTTCCCCCCGAATACTGTCCCCAACAGCGTCACACCAGGGGAATGAATCACTGCGATGTCGCGAGTGCTCTCTTGTCCCCTAGAGTAGGTACAAACTTCCCGTTACCAGCCAGTCCCAGTTAGCAACGGTTACGTGCCTCGAATAGAGCGAGCGTCAAACGTCGCACAACAGGCCTTTCGCAAATTCAAATGTGCCAAATACGGGTATTCAATGCTTGATTCACAGCGTACTAGAAATTCCAACTCTAAGTATCAACGTATGGAAAGAGAAAAATTTCACTTGATGCGTGATTAATATCATTAAGATAAAGTTTAGATGAGCTACGTCTACATTAAATGATTTTGACAAAATATTGATGATGCTTTCTTGTTCGAGTAAACTAAACATGTAGTGCCAAGACTATTTGAAAGCTGGCCTTTTCTTGAAGCTATGTCTGGACCTCAACCCCATTTTGAGCCTTTCGTCTGTATTGACTCTGTCCTACAGAGCTTTGACGATACTTTTCTCATCAAAAATATCCCTGAGAAGCCCCAGGACCGCAACCTCTTCATCGACGGCACCCATGGCATAGGTGCTCTCGAAAGCAAAAATACTCAACTGAGCAAAGAAAGGACGCAGGATCTTGGCAATAAGTTCGTCCTTCCGGTCTGTCGATAGCTCGTCTGGAATACCACCAGGACCAAGCAGGGGACGTCGGCACGAGCCTGAGGCTGCCATAATTGCAGCGCTCTCTGTCTGCAGGGCTGAATTCTTTGCCAACGAACTATTTCCGAGCTCTTCAGAAAGCTCGTCTACGAGCGCAAAAGGCTGGTATGCTGGACTTCTATATATAGCATCGATGGTGTCTGTGATGAAGAGCCATTCGTGTAATTGAAAGTCGTCAGGAGCTGTGCAGATGAGAAGATCGAGAAGCTTGCAAGCCTGCAGAATCGAAGTGTTATTGTATGTGTCGCTGGGGATACTGTTATCAGTAGCCACAACGGATGAGAGGGCAGCATGTATCTCAGCATTTGTGATAGGCCACAGAGGAGAAAGATGTATTGCCGAAGTTCGCAAGACTAGTGCTCGCACAACCATGTATATTTCAGCCCGAGTTGTGGAGGACGGCGAGGAGGTCGATGTTGCGCCAAGAAGCTCGACAAGACGTTCTGTTATGACCTGCAAGTCGGTCACGAACGTGTCCATAGGAGACGCGAGAATCAAGGCCGCAGCGCGTCGCAAATTGAGCTGTGTCTTTCGATCCGCTTCAAGTCTTGCGGAGGTAGCTCCTACACCAAAAACGATACCTGCTGTTGTCGGAGGGGTGATGCGACTCAGTATTTCGGTCATGCGTTCTTTGTCTGCTACCGTCCACTGCTTAAGAAGGGGAAGCCAATCACTCTGGACCAGGGAGACTGGCGAAGCAAAGAACCTGGCATCGTTGAATGCGTCTCCAATGTCCTTCTTCCATGTCTTTTGATTATTCGGTAACCGCGTGAGCTCTTGCATTAGGCTCAGGGTTCCCTTCGATACCGTTTCGGGGAAACCCTTGGACCGAATCGAGGGCCCAATGACGTTAGTAGATATGGCTGCGGCCGCCGTAAGAACTCGGTCTGACTCTACTAAAATCTTTGGAAGGTTTGGTACTATCGTAGAGAGGATTCCGACAACATCATCGGCTCTCTCTGCAGGTGAAGGTGACTCCCGATCATCAGGTTTAACCTTTTCGGGTTGTGAAGAGGAAGATGTCTCTGTGAATGATATGGGACGTGTGGTGAATAGGGCCGTGAGTAATCGAAGGAAGAGATCCTGTAATTGTCAGTGATAGCGATCAACATACAAGTCTAGCAGGCACTTACACCGAGCTCTCTTCGCATCTTACGTTGTTCTCCAAAGTTTGTGTTGTCGACTTTCTCGCCCAAAATTGCGGCGAACTCGAGCAAGCTTGGAAGCGTTTGTCGATGCGGGAATGGATTCCCAAGCAAGTCCTTCAAAAATGCCATGCAGTCTTGCCAGATCTCATCCATGGCATCATCCTCTAATGAGCGGGCATAGTCTACCAAGAAGATGACTAGATCAGTATCTTGGAGCGAGATAGTCAATGTGGACTTGCGCGAGGGGTCAAGCGCGTTCGGGTTGGTCCGACTATAAATCGCGTTGAAAATAGCCGGTATCGTGTGTCTTGGACGAGAACCATCAAGGGCAGGCAACAGGTTGAACACATCCGAGTGCTTGGTTGTGTCAGGACTGCTAAGTGACGCTCGCCATATATCGACAACGGTTTCCAGACATTCTAGAGCTTCGGCTGCAAAGACGTGCTCCAGAAGACGCCTGGCTCGGTTCCTCATCCGAAGTGATGTGTAGTTGAATGATAAGGAGGAGTTGTTGTCTAAGGACGCGGCCTCACTACCCTGGCCCCATGACCAGATTCTGAAGCAGATCCGCACAGCGTCTTGGAAGGCAAGTAATACAGTCAGCCTGTCGTTCGCAGTCGCACTGCGAGATTGAGGGGTTTCTGAGTTGAACACGCCGGATACCATATTCCCAAAGAACCCTTGTGATTGCTGATCTGGACTCTTGATGACTTGGGCTCTAGCCTCTTCAGCCAATAGTTGATCGTGAGCCTTGGCGAGCACCTGCTCGAGTGCGTTGAGCAGTGAGATCAAGGTCGACTCTGGTGCATTGAGCCCAACCGTTGTCTTTGCATCGTGTTGAAAGGTCCTCTGCAAGTCCTCGAAGGTATTCCGGACTTGCTCACATAAGGTTTCCACCAGGGGTATCAGGACTTGAAAGATGGTATTGTAATACAAGGGCAAACATTCGGTCAAGAAACCAACCCAGCTATCCAGAACGGGTCGACTACTTGGCGAAGATAAGCCGGCCTGTATACATTTTAGTAGAGTCTGCGGCGGTGCTGTAACGTCTTGTACATTTTCCATGGTGGTAGCAGCAGATAACCGGCGGTTGCCCGTAGGATAGCTCAAAGCTCGCTTCTCTCCTGTTGGGGAAGACGGGAGCTCATTCGGTGACACGTCCCTTAATTTGAGGGATGCGAAGACGACATCCAAGAGCAAGACCTGAATATAGGGATCTGGCCCATCAAGTGATTGATGTAGACGGGCTATCAAGACATCTTCCAAGTGTAGCCTTGACAGTGACTCTGCATAAGGATTCAACAAAATTTGATGCAGGAGTGTCAGAGCACATCTGTGAAGTTGAGCTACACGCAGCTGTGTTCGCTTCTCCTCTGGAAATCTATTGCCAGCTATACATCTCATGCAGACTTGGAGGAAGAATTCTTGCAGAGAAATATCACCTTCAGCACCGGCTGAGAACTAGTCAGCAACTGCTTTTTGCCCCCACAATGACATAGATTACTTACTAATCTCTCGGAGGTGAGTCTCTGGCTCTTCGATCAGTCTTGTTGCAAGGACACCGAAGAATGCATCTGGAGCCCATCGAAACATATTGGATAGGGTGCGCAGATAGTATAGTGCCATGTCTAGATCGTCATCCGAAGAGAAAGCAATGGATTGCTTCGCAGAATCGGGTGTTGACGTCTTGGGCAATGTTCGAAGAAATCGCAGTTGAGATAACTTGGTGACAAAGACCAAGAACAATCTAGCTATATGTAAGTTTAGGAAGAATGATGGGGACCTCGAGTACTTACCTTTCGATACCTATCATGCTGTTGAGCCAAGTCTTGACAGCCATAAAAAGTTGTGTTCGGTCATCCAACAAGGAATCAAGCATGAGAAACAGTGGTCGAGTCAGCATGACCTCATAGTAGTCCTGGCCAGCCAAACGGAATTGTGGTGCTCCTTCTCCCATTGGTGTTTTTGGCGTTCGCCGATCAACATTTCCATCTTGAAGAGTATGTGACCATAAGATGCTGAAACTACGTCCCGTATCCGCTGGTCGAATAGGAAAACTGCCCGTTGTATCGTTCTTCAACATTAAAGCAGCAATAGCGCTCTCAATGTCTCGATTCTGTGGGCCCAGCGCAGATTGCAATTGCCAGAGACACCGGACTGTCTCGACGTGGTACTTGGGCTCTGAAAGCGACAAGAAACCCCAAGCGTGACGGACAAGCGGCTCGACCAAGTCGGATAAATCAGATGGCGGGATTCTCGAGCTACCATACAGTTGAGTTGATAACAGGAGCATTGCCTTGAAGGAGACAAATGGCAGGTCGACACTAGAGAGACTTGCTTGCATATTTGACAAGAGTCTGTTCGTGTCGAGCGAGTATGCGTTGGGTACTTTCGATAACACAAGTGCCAAAACGCGAGTCCTGACCGTCAAGGCTTGAGATGGCTCTTTCGCAACGAGGCAGTTGCACACTAGATTGCAAGCTTTCTTGAGGATAAGGGCCCCTACATTCCGGGCAGAAAAAGGCAGAGACGACGCCTCGAGGTTGCCCTGATCACTGACATAGAAATTTCTGATCCTTTTGAGCAAGTCGTTATTGGACATGGATGCCATGGCAGAGTTCTCTGAGGACTTCATCGCATCTCTGCCATCAGACTTGGCTGGAAAAGCTCGGTCGGGTACCATATCGAGAAGACCAAGAGCTATAGAAAGTACTTGGTCTGACAGTGCAACATCCCCTGTACCAGCGCTCGTGGGTAATTGATGCCCGCGTTCTTTGGTATCCTCCAACATTGCCAGGATGGACAGGGCTGCGAGGGGCGCATGAATAGTCACCATCTCTTCTTCGCGAATATTGAAATGGTTCATGATAAATTGCACCAAACTGATTTTGTCAATACGTTGAGCATATTGAGCATCACCAGGACCGACGACTTGAGCAATCAGACTGACGAGCTCGCCGTAGATGAGACCGCTCTCGACTCCGTCAAAAAACACACTAGCGCTGCGCAGAACTTCATTGAAATCGTTCTTACTGGCAGCACGACCTTTGAAGTCTCTGACACTTTCAATGATGGGGAGGAAGATCTCAGGGACAACCAGTCCGCCAATCTCCCATCTGTCCATGAGGGAAAGGCATATTCTGTAGGGCCGCGCTCTCTCCGTGGGATTCGTATCTGAGGCAGTCCGGATCATTGATAATAGCGCCTGTGTCAGTGCCTGCAGTCCGTTGTCCTCGAAATAGCTCGTCTTGGAAGTAAAATACCCTTGATGATGATCTATTGGCGACGTTGGCGACTCTACACCGGCCTCGTGCTCGTGGCCTGCAGGCTCCGGACCCAGAAACCAAGCCCAAAGCCGTCGATTCAAACTCATATCTCTGCGAGTCACTACACCAGCAGCTGCCTTCAGCAAAAGCTCCAGATCCTCAGGTTTGACTCGATTTTGTAACACTTTGGAATGCAAAGGTAGATGCGTGACAAGGAGGTCTAGAAAGCCACGTTGTATAAGTAGTTGTTCATCGCCAAGGCCGGCGGTGAAGCAACGAAGTAGTAAACCAGGCTCGGGAGATGTGACCAAGCTCGACAGGTCTTCGAAAAGCTGGTCTTCAGCGGCGTGCTCAGCTTTGCTTTTTCCAGCAGACTCTCCTTGCACGATATGTTGGCCCAACTTTGGCAGATTCCGAACCAGATATGCCAAGGCACCAGGCCGACGACTTTGACTGGTAATGGAGGCCAGGAAAAAACACTGCCAGAAGAACTCATCGCCGGTCGCATGTGTCGACGTCAGCTCCTTGCTGTCTGGTGTACGAATGGCGGTCTTAAACTTCTCCACTAGCTTCAATGTTCTTGCAAAGTCCTCGCTCGTCTCTTCTTCCAGGCCTGGTAGCAGCGCAAGTATGATGGATTTCATGGCCGGGCGCAAGGATTTTGGGTCAAGCTCCACGAAGTACATCTCGAGTAGCTCCAGGAATGGTGCTCGTACTGTCAGGGAAGCAAACGACAGAGTCGACGCCAGGCCCGGCAGGTATAGGGGCAGATCTCGAGATAAGCCATCGACGCCTATGACGGAGAAAACATAGCTATAGACCTCCAGTGCCTTCTGATGCACACCCGAAGGTAGAGAGGGGTTCAGGCATTGCGAAAGCCTCTTTGCGACGAGTACTTTGGAGGGTATAGTGGTGATGTTGGCTTGTCGTGCCTGTAGGGCCTTGAGCAGCCGGCTCAAGAAAGAGATGTAGTCAGCCCATTCCTCCAAGGCCGTTTCGAAGAGAGACAGGGCACGCTCGACGCCGGATGCATATTTTCTGTATGCCTTGTCTTTGATAGGAGCGTCTTCAGCGCTCAACTGGTTCCTCCATTGTCGCAGGACGGGGGTATTGCGTCCAGAGCTCTCGGGGGACATGGACCCGACAGGACCAGTTTCGAGGCTCATGGCTCGTTTCTAGGGCGGTGCGGATTGCGGAAACATGAGGTCTTTCCCAGCCGTATCATGGGAGCTGAGCTGATTTAAACGGAGCGGCGAGCAGTTGGCTCAGACGTGGCCGTTCTGCGAAATCGGTTCGAGCAATTGTAGAGACATGGAAATGGTACTACATTTACCAGGTAACCTAATAAATGTTCGTAGTCGATGCGGATTACGTTGCCTGTTACTGCTAAACGCCAGCTAGCTCAAGGTACCCTAGCAGCGTCTGGACATTTGTTTCGTAGCTTTGGATTGGACCCCTGAAGGGATAACCCCACGCTTAGCTCCCGTTCGCATGGCAAGGCTGCTACCAGTATATTAGGTACACATCATTAGGTGCCATTTGGGCATTGGGCGCTGAAATCGCCCAACCGGGAACGAAATGACCTCGACAATCATTGATGGTTAAGGTCGTGATCCGCAAATAAGGCACACTGCGTATAACTCATCTCAAAGTATCATCAAGGTATCTATTTACCTACCTTACTCATATAGTACTAGGCAGATGATATTATGTAGGAATTGTATATTTTGGTTCCAGTTGTTGGTTCCAGTTGTTTGGGATGATTGGACCTGGAGGGCAAAATGATTTATATGCTCTTTGTTGCAATGTTATGCATAAGAACACTCCCTCCCTCATTCATAAATATAGCAGGAAGGTTCCAGCCGTACAAGAATACCTAAGTGGTGACGATCCATGCGCCGAGTACCATAATTGGGGAACTCTGTTCAAATGTGTTGCTGGTCTACGGAGTACCACCTCTTTGTGCCTCGGCAGCTTTAGTACTAGTTGCCAAAATTCTTGTTTCTAGGTACCTAGGTTAGCTATGTAGGTACAAATTCCTAGCGAAAGCCGTCAAAAAAATTGATGGGATTTCTGATTTGGCGCAGTTCGGAGGGGGGGAAATGCGCTTTTTCCAAATTCAGCATGCCTGGTCTCAATGACGTGAGCAACCTGGAATCCGGAAAGTGTAATAAAGTAAAACCAGCACTAAAATAGCTCTCCAAATACCGACCTGCTCTACACATACTCTACCTACTCTACCTAATATCAGATAGCTTCTCGCATAGTACACACGTCCTTTCAACATGCCAATGTTGTGCAGACGATAGAAGCGACGTGGACAACGCTCCGGTCCGTACCTGTATTAAGCAAAGCCGTCGTACGCGCGCTCTCGTGATCCATATCTGTAACCCCGGCAGAAGGATGCAAAGCTCTCGAGTCAAGCGACAATGGGACCGAGCAGGGAAGATGCTAGAGTAGCATCAGGACCCGACCCAGCCTACGACGATGCCGAAGAACGACCTCCACCACTGCCGCCACGCCCATTGTCGCATGCTCCTGGGAAGCCTCCAGCCGCCGCTTCTGATTCGGTAGAGAGGCCGAGCCTACAGTCCAAACCGACCACGGCCGTATCCACCACCAACATACAGACTTTATCTTTCCCCGACGGCACGAGGGGCACCTTTACCAGCAGCGAGGGGCAGACCACGCCTGGTCAAGAGAATGTTAACATACCGGGCGACCTGGGGTCTATGCGCGGCTTGAACACAGGAACAACCAGCGACCTAGACGAGGGCATGAGTGTTATGAGCATTGCACCGACTGCGCGAGGCGCTGGAGATTTGGAAAGCCTCCTGGTCGGGGATACGAGCAAGAGAAGCCCAGCTTGGCAGATGTTACAGTCGCAATCGGCCAGCGTGCCACCGTTCGAAGCCATGCGCCTGCCGTATGGCTCGCCGCTCCTCGAATTCGAAAGGGAGTTTGACAGTATACCAGACGAGTCGCAAAAGGAGTGGACAGATTCAGACCGCCTCACGATTTGGAAATCGAAGCTGAAGCACTACATGATCTTGTCGTCGGCCGGAAAACCAATATGGAGTCGCCATGGAGATCTGGCCCTGATCAACTCGTCCATGGGCGTGGTGCAGACCATCATTTCCTTCTACGAGGGCGCCAAGAACCCCCTCATGGGGTTTACTGCCGGGAATACGCGTTTCGTTATCGTCACTGAGGGACCTCTATACTTGGTCGCGATCAGCAAGTTGGGGGAGAGCGATGCGCAACTGCGTTCGCAACTGAACGCCTTGTACATGCAAATTCTCTCAACTCTGACCTTGCCTACGCTTCTCCATATATTTAAGAATAGGCCATCAACGGACTTGCGAAAACCTCTTCAAGGCACAGAAACCATGATTTCATCGCTGGCCGACAGTTTTACCAAGGGCTCTCCGTCCATGTTGCTGGGAGCACTTGAGTGCCTCAAGATACGCAAGTCCCAACGGCAATCCATCACCAACATATTTCTCAAGTCTAGAGCGCCAAACCTATTGTATGGCCTCATTGTGGCGGGCGGTAAGCTTGTGAGCGTCATCAGGCCTCGTAAACACTCACTTCACCCGAGTGATTTGCAACTGATATTCAACATGCTCTTCGCTTCCGGTGGTGTTAAAGGTGGAGGCGGCGAGAACTGGATCCCTTTGTGCCTACCAGCTTTCAACAACCGGGGCTATCTCTACATGTACGTGAGTTTCTTGGATGGCACGCAACCAGAATCCCAAGACAATAGCTCGGAAGCCAACTATTCCACCGAGGATGAAGTTGCGATCATACTCATTAGTCCTGACAAGGAGAGCTTCTTCACCTTGCAGAAGATGAGAAATGATGTGGTTGGCGATTTACAGAAGAAGGGAAGTCTGGATATCGTCAAAGCTGCAGCAAAGATTGGACGGCCAAAGATCACGGATATTGCTCCAAGCACACAGATCAGCCACTTTCTCTTCAAATCCAAGGCCAATGTGCAGTTCTGCATGCCTTCGCTGGACCCAACCTTTGATACCGGCATCTCTCATCGAAGACTGATGTCCCTATACCATAACCTGCATGCCACCGTGCACGCAAAGCACTCCCATCTCAAGGTCATGCATTGTATTGATCATGCCTCGACTTCTCTCGCGTGGATCACACCCATTTTTGAATTCTACTGTGTGGCAGGACCAAATGCATCCAGACAAGCTCTGACTCATGGTGCAAACAAGATTATCCAGTGGGCGAAAAGAGAAGAAGAACGCCTATTTATTATCGGCGGTGGTGTTTTCTGATAGATAGCTTGCATACCCCTTGGCTACTTGCCTACTCTAAGCATTTATATATGCTTTATAGCTCATTATCCTGGATATCTGTGGCACAGCAGCGTTAAATCATTGACAGGATAATTTTGTCGCCAGATACAATAAAACATTTGTGAACTCAAAGTCTAGTGGTAAGCCTATATACTATCTAAATGCGAACGCGGGGAACGCCTTGACTGTCAGGATAGAACGAGGGAATGCATGCGGGTGAGTGGTTGATTAATAGTTGGCTGGGTATCAGTAAAGACTATGAAAGGTGTAAAAGACTATACATACAGGTAATTCTATAGTGGTGCATGAGGCCATAATGTAGGAGGCTGGGCTCCGATCTCAACATTGACTCCCAGGTTTCAACTATCCACTGCTTGTGCCCATCCAACAGGATATAAACGACATTTTCTAGCCAACAGGAATGGGCCAAATACATCGTCCGTCCTGATCTCGATATATATTTTCAACGATTTCCGGAAATACAATGACGAATGCGAGGGTGGTTTAGCCTCACTGAGAGTTCTCCTCTTCGACCTAATCAATAACTATGTCGGAAGCTCTTGTAGTTTCAGGAATTGCGCTTTGACCAGAATTTTCTCAAGAACTTCTCACCGAATTGTTTGCAAAACCCTCCGGAAAAGGTTTCGGTCCCTTCTTCGGTCCGATTTCTGTCTTCTCTGTGGCCGAAAACTCTCCGGAGAAATGATTTTTTTGCCAACTTGCGAGGTAAGTTTTGTTCGACCTTTCTATGTCCACAGATTGACCGGCCCAAAACATTTCCAGGCCCTGTCCGTCTTGGCTCTGGTATCTCGGCCAAGTTCTTTTCGTTGGCGCAGTGAACAAGCGAATTTCTTGCTTGCACTACCGACCCTGTCGGTGAGACTGCCGGCTCCTCCAACACAACGTTGTGATGCACTATGAGATTTTTTTGGGTCAGCGACGTCTCATGAGATTCACTGTTCAAGTCGAAAAGACTCTCTTGGACGCCTGAAACCTGGGAGTGGGAGAGGTGTTCTCCCTTGATATTGCTTACCAAAACTGGTCGTGCCCATTTCGTGCTCTGGAGTAGGGTTCCAATTAACTTCACCAAACATAACGGCATCCCTCTCACGCCGCACGATCATTAATTCACCGCTTCTAGTCCGAACCTCCTCGATATCTGACAGAGAATGCTGCCATTCGCGAGACGGTCGAGTACACCGCTGCTCTTCCTCGACCTGTAATTTCGTAGATGTCCGCACCTCGGGATGCTCTGACACGTTCATAACTTCCTGCTCTAATTCGTCTCTCTGTACAGCATTACTGCCGTTGAAATGATGCTGGTGGTTGTGGCTAGAGAAATTCATCGGCAAAGGTAGAAGCGGGGGTGGAAGCAAGAGGGTTTCCATGGACGAAAGGGAATGGCGAGAATGGTAAGAGGGTGGGCAGCCCGAAGAAAGATAGTCTTCAATTTGTTGACGACTCATATCGGATGATCGTCCGTGGTATGAAGGCTACGGCGTGGTACTCTCATTTTTGAAACATCAACGGCAGGGCAAGAACGACAGAAGGGGAGCAAACTATATAAGTGCAGTACGTCTCTCTACCAGAACGGCGCCGGGGGCTTTATGAGAGTTTGGGTTTCTGGTCCCGGACCGACACGTGTTGAGGAAAATCTGTGGCCGAGTCTGGAAACCTACACAAACCCACGATAACCCGGACGACCATGAGGCAGGCAAGTATGTTTGACGGCATCGAGGTCTCATTTGTGAGTTCGCTCTACTTAAAAAAAAAAAAGGGGAAAAAAGGGGGGGGGGGGGG